CCAGTCACCTTGGCCATGGCATCGAGGAGGGGGGTCCACATGAACTCCAGCATGGACCGCACAAAGGCGTCGTCAACGCCCTTGCCCGCGTCGCGGGCCGCGGTGGCGCAGCGCAGCAGCTCGGGAAGGGACTGGACCGCCGCGGTGCGCACCTCCTCGTTGAAGTAAAACTTGAGCAGGGGGACCATGATGCCCGTCACCTGCTGCACATAGGGCAGGAAGCCCTCCTTCAGCTCGTCGGCGTAGCAGCAGATCATGGAGCAGGCCGTCGCCTTCTCCTCCAGCAGCGAGGTGCGCAGCGAGATCTTGCGGTCCCCCAGGATGAAGGTCTCCGTCTGAGATTGAAGGTGTGTGAGGGTGGAGCTTTGGTGGGGGGTGGTTGCTGACAATGAGGCAAGGAGTGGGTGCAGTCTGTGGGCTGAGTCAACATGTGGGAATTCCAGGGAGGGCAGACAGCTGCGGGCCTGTGGAGGTCGGACCTGTCGCAGAGAATCTACCCCATCCATCCCTAACAATGCATGTGCATCAATCAAGGTGAAAGGTCTAGAGCCGCGTTGATGGGCTTGTTTGCTGGAAAGGCTGAACTTCCTCAACAAGCACCAGGCAGGAGGCTCGGCACCTGTCCGATAGCGTCCAAGCCCCTGCGCCCCTTCAGCACCCAACTCACGTCCTCGTCTTCGTCCTCCACGTCGGAGTCGTCGCCGGCAGCCACCGTGACGTCCGGTTTCAGCTCCACCGAAGCAATCAAGGCGGGCATGACGACCTGCAGGCTTGACCAGGGTGGTGGGTGGGCTTGCATGCAAAGTACAGATGAGAAACAGGCACACCATCTCTGCCTGCTCCAACGGGATCAAGTCAGCATGAGCAAACTCTCAGCTGCACACCTGGAGGTAGGGGATGAACTCCTGGCCCAGGGTCTTGCAGATGCGAGCCCCCGCCTGCAGTGTGCAAGGGTGAGATGGGAGCGCTAGGTGCGTGGCAAAGGGAGTGGTCGATCTGGAGGGACAGGGTCATGTCGCAGCAGCCCAGGACTGAAGCTTTGGGGAAGAGCCATGCCAAGACCTCTCGGTCAGCAAGCCATGCCCATAAAAGACCGAGTGGCAGCTATTCTACCAAACAGACATTGACCCCAGAATTCATCCCTCCCTGACACGTTTCCAACCGCCAAAAATGCTCTGAGCCATACAGTGTTCCATGCATTCACCTCATTCCATCAGTGCCATGTAAGCCTCCTCAGCCAAACATAACCGTTAAATCCCGAGGGTCCCCTGCTCCTCCCTCCTCAGTCACCACAACTCAGCCAACCCCTGCATCCCAGCCCCCCACCTGGGTCATGTAGGAGGCCAGGGGGTCGTCGGCCTCCAGTCCCGCGGCCTGGGCGTCCTGCATGTACTTCATGACCTCGTGGGCGTGGGCGCGGAAGCGCTCGCGGCCCACCGCCATGCCCACCAGAGAGATGCACTCCAGGCTCTTGGCGCGGAGGAGGTGGTGGCTGCGGTCGTTGGCACTCCACCTACCCCACTCACTCGCCGCCCCCACCCCCCCCACCCCCCCCTACCCCCCCCAACACACCCAGTCACCTTGGCCATGGCATCGAGGAGGGGGGTCCACATGAACTCCAGCATGGACCGCACAAAGGCGTCGTCAACGCCCTTGCCCGCGTCGCGGGCCGCGGTGGCGCAGCGCAGCAGCTCGGGAAGGGACTGGACCGCCGCGGTGCGCACCTCCTCGTTGAAGTAAAACTTGAGCAGGGGGACCATGATGCCCGTCACCTGCTGCACATAGGGCAGGAAGCCCTCCTTCAGCTCGTCGGCGTAGCAGCAGATCATGGAGCAGGCCGTCGCCTTCTCCTCCAGCAGCGAGGTGCGCAGCGAGATCTTGCGGTCCCCCAGGATGAAGGTCTCCGTCTGAGATTGAAGGTGTGTGAGGGTGGAGCTTTGGTGGGGGGTGGTTGCTGACAATGAGGCAAGGAGTGGGTGCAGTCTGTGGGCTGAGTCAACATGTGGGAATTCCAGGGAGGGCAGACAGCTGCGGGCCTGTGGAGGTCGGACCTGTCGCAGAGAATCTACCCCATCCATCCCTAACAATGCATGTGCATCAATCAAGGTGAAAGGTCTAGAGCCGCGTTGATGGGCTTGTTTGCTGGAAAGGCTGAACTTCCTCAACAAGCACCAGGCAGGAGGCTCGGCACCTGTCCGATAGCGTCCAAGCCCCTGCGCCCCTTCAGCACCCAACTCACGTCCTCGTCTTCGTCCTCCACGTCGGAGTCGTCGCCGGCAGCCACCGTGACGTCCGGTTTCAGCTCCACCGAAGCAATCAAGGCGGGCATGACGACCTGCAGGCTTGACCAGGGTGGTGGGTGGGCTTGCATGCAAAGTACAGATGAGAAACAGGCACACCATCTCTGCCTGCTCCAACGGGATCAAGTCAGCATGAGCAAACTCTCAGCTGCACACCTGGAGGTAGGGGATGAACTCCTGGCCCAGGGTCTTGCAGATGCGAGCCCCCGCCTGCAGTGTGCAAGGGTGAGATGGGAGCGCTAGGTGCGTGGCAAAGGGAGTGGTCGATCTGGAGGGACAGGGTCATGTCGCAGCAGCCCAGGACTGAAGCTTTGGGGAAGAGCCATGCCAAGACCTCTCGGTCAGCAAGCCATGCCCATAAAAGACCGAGTGGCAGCTATTCTACCAAACAGACATTGACCCCAGAATTCATCCCTCCCTGACACGTTTCCAACCGCCAAAAATGCTCTGAGCCATACAGTGTTCCATGCATTCACCTCATTCCATCAGTGCCATGTAAGCCTCCTCAGCCAAACATAACCGTTAAATCCCGAGGGTCCCCTGCTCCTCCCTCCTCAGTCACCACAACTCAGCCAACCCCTGCATCCCAGCCCCCCACCTGGGTCATGTAGGAGGCCAGGGGGTCGTCGGCCTCCAGTCCCGCGGCCTGGGCGTCCTGCATGTACTTCATGACCTCGTGGGCGTGGGCGCGGAAGCGCTCGCGGCCCACCGCCATGCCCACCAGAGAGATGCACTCCAGGCTCTTGGCGCGGAGGAGGTGGTGGCTGCGGTCGTTGGCATGGGTGAGGATGTGGAGAAGGAGGGGCATGCAGGAGTCATAGTACTTGATAAAGTACTCCTGTGCGCAGTCGGCCAGGCTGGCCAGCGCGGTGAGCGCCGCCTCCTGCACGTTCCGCCCCGAGCCCTGGAGCAGGGCCATGAGGCGCGTGGCCAGCTCGTCGAGGTAGGGCGAGATGACGTCCTGGTCGCAGGTCTCCGTGAAGTTGACGATGGCGTTGCAGGCGTGGGCCTGCACGCGCGGGTTCTGGAAGTCGCCCATCAGGCCCAGCAGGGCCGGGACCACCGTGGCGTGCGACGCCTCCTGCACGATGGTGGTGATGGAGGGGACGCAAGGGTAGAATTCAGGGTGATGTCTGATCATTCCGCTGCCTGTGAGCATGGCTGCCATGGAGGGGCTGCAACAGCCATCCGCATCAGGCCACATACATGAACCTTCAAGCCAGATCCTGCCTGTCTGGGCAATGCACTGCCTCGCAAAACATGATCAGGACACCCCTGCATCTCGGCGTGACATCCAGCAGCATGTGGTGCCCACCCACGGGCCCCTTGCCTGCCCTATGCGTGCCTGGCCCTGCCTCCACCTCCCCCATCCCTGCCAACCTAGACACAACGCACACAATTCCCTCAACCCTCCGATCACCTCTTCACCCCCTCGCCATACCTGGAGGTCGGGTCCCAGGTCGGTGCAGAGCTGGCCCAGGGCCTGGCACGCGGCCCAGCGCACTTTGGGGGTGCCGTCCCGAGCGCCCAGCAGGCACAGCGCCACCAGCTTCTCCACCTCGTCCACCATGACCTTGACACAGCCCTCCGCGATCTGGGCCAGGCAGATGAGCGCGGCGTGGCGCTTCTCCCAGCTGCCCGTGTCGGCCATGTAAGCCGTCAGCGTGGTCCCCGCCACGGGCACCAGGGTCTTGCCGCCCAGCGCGAAGCTGATGCGGTCCAGACACTCCTGGCCAAACTCGAACAGCTCCCCCTCGCCCGCGTTCTCCTCCTTCTCGTCCTCTGCCGTGTGCCACTCGGGCACGTCCTGCATGTGTCGCGAGGGGAGTGTGGAGGTGAAAAGAGGGACTTCTCAGACTTGCAGTGCAGGCACAAAACGCAAGCTCTTGCCACCACGGCTGGGCCGCTGCCGCCCGGCGCCCAGAAACGTCGATGCACCCCTTGGTCCGCCTGCCGTCGGTCATTACATTGACTCACACCCAACCAACAGTCCATCCTCCCGTGCCCTACACGCACCATGCACACTAACACCCATTCCTCCACGAACGACCCTCCACCACCACCCAAAACACCCACCTCCACGTCCAGGAGGAAGAGCATGAGGCAGTTGAAGAGGCGCTCCGGCAGCTGCGGCAGGCGGCGCATCATGCCCGGCGCCTTCTCGCGCGCCTCGCACAGCGTCACGAGGAACTCCACCGCCAGCGTGCGGATGCCGGACTCCAGCGAGTCGGACTCGGCCACCTGCAGCATGGCGCTCACGATGTCCACCAGCTGCTTGCGCAGGAAGCGCGGGTTCTCCTCCGCCAGCTCGATGAACAGCTCCAGCGCCTCCTATGGAGATTGATTGAGAGGGGGTATGGAGTGTGGGATCTCACGGGGGGGGGGAAGTGGACAGTCGGTGCGTACGGGAGGACTGCGGACGGAAGTTGATAACACGTTGTTCCGTGACCGATATGCTGGCCAACGGCAGCCTCAAACCAATCCCAGCGCTGCACATCCGACCTCAGAGCCATCCTCCCCTCCATGTCCCAGCTCCGTATGTAACAGCCCGAACTGCGCCCAGAAACCCCACTCAACACCATGCGCGCCTCCGCAGACCGACCTGGGCCGCGGGCTCGTCCCCCGCCTGTATGGCGTGGCCGATGGTCTGCACCAGGGCGGGGACCAGGGCCTGGAACTTCTCGCGCTCCGCGGGGCTCTCCAGCTCCTGGATGAAAGCGCAGGTCGCCTTCATGGCCGCCAGGCGCACGTCAGTGGAGGCATGGGCCAGCGCGGCAGCCAGGATGCCGTGCAGCGTGCCCAGGTACTGCAGTAGCACGCTCATGATGTGGCTGGCCAGCTGCGCAAACATGCTCAGCGCCGACTCCATCAGCCGATCCTCGCCTGGATGGGGAGGATGTTGAAGGAGGGGGTGGGAACTATTTGTGTGGGTGTGAACGGGTTCTGTTGGGGCGGCTGGCATGCAGGCCCGTAATAGGCTATCATGCATCCAATGCCTGGCGAACGAGCAACCACTTGATTCATTTGACCCCTCCAAATGCCTGCGGGCACCTCTTTAAATCTCAAAGGAACGTGCTCCCAAACCCCTCCTTCTCAACTCACCAGACTGGATGCACTGGAACATGAAGGGGAGGAGCTCGGGCCATCCCGACTCCTCCAGCACCCCAGCCGCCAGCTCGCTCACAAGATCGCAGACCTGGCGATGGGGATGAACAGGTTTACTTTCAGCACAGATAGCATCTCCTCACCAAAACTGCTTGAACCCGCTGTGACTTCCTTGGTTCTCCCTTGAATGAGATCCAAGATGCCATGCATTCACAGTACAATTTCCCAGTGCCTCATCATAGGCAAGGGAACTGCCCAGACCCCCAACCCAGACTAACACAATACTGCGTCACCTTGTTAGCTATATTCCGTACTTGCTCCGTCTTGATGCTGTTTAGCGACTCGGTCATCACAAGTTGCTGCAATTTGGATACTTATCAGCACTGTGAGTAATGCATGTTGTGACACAAGCTCGACGGCGGCCAGCGCACCTCCCTGCTCAATGTATCCCCATCTCACCTTTGAGGCCGGCGACAGGCCAGTCCACAACGAAGGCTCATCCCTGACCAGCACCTGTGCGTGGAGATGTGAGGAAGGGGTCACTGGCAATCTCCCTCCCCCACTTTCCAAGCCAGTTTAGCTGGGCGATGCACATCCACAGCAGCCTGCAGCCGTGACGGCGACCACCGTCGACACCACCCCCACCTTGCGCAACAGCACGGCACACAGCGAGCGAGATGCTGGGTCAGGATTCGACCTCAGCCCTTGCACAAGCCCCGGCACGCATGTGTCGGGGTACTTCTTCAGCTCTGTGAAGGCTTGCTCCGCCTGGGATCGGACTTCGTTCTCCGAGGACAGCAGGCCTTGCAGCAATGCCGCAAAGGCTGCAGGATCCTGTGCAGACATTCTCTAGAGGTATGGGCAGGGACTGTCCGCTGCCGATTATCCTGGCGCGCCCAAGAGCGGAGAGACGGCGCAGAAACCGAAGGGGCGCAAACTTGTTCACCTCCTCACGGTCGGCGGGGCTGGAGATGGAGCTTGAACCTCACCATAGAGGAATACAGCGTGCTCTGATTCCCTGCCCCAGGGAGGAAGCACTTCCGAGAGCGCGCCAGGTTGGGCATGGCGGGGTTACACACTGCTGGGTGCCGTCGGGTAAATCGCTTACGTAACCCTGCGTTCAAAAAACATCAGCGAAGGCTCTTAGCCCTAAACAACCTTCAGTGGCAAAACCTGACAATGCAATACAAGTCTATAGGATCTGGAGGCATCCAGTCTGCCTCACTCATGCAATAAGCACATGCACTAAGGAAGTACATGTGGTCCAAGATACTGCTTTTTCCACTCACCTGTGCTGCGCTGACAGGACCCCTTACACAAGGTGGATTGATACATTCCTAATGATATTACGTGATTCGTGCACTACGAATATGCCTGGGGAAGCTTGGAGAAGATCGTCATGCGGAGAACGGAGGTCACTGCTGCTCTGGCAATTGAATTTGCTGTGCTCCATGCATGAAGATCCAGCATCTTAATGAGGTTTACTTTGGTAGGCCTTCACAGGAAGTCAGACTTTAGTCATGAAAGCACCATCTGGCCCTCCAACACAGATGTTCTGTGCCCTGCTTTCCTCCCAGCCCCGAAACTGACACGATCGGTAGCACACGGGGCACGACCTCGGTTGCCCAACATGCACGAGTCTGGGGCTGGCATGCAGCAGACGTAACCAACATCCGAGCAGATAAGAACAGGCTCGCCGCGCAATATTCCAAGCTGCCTCGTCGTGTCGGAGGTTTGAGGGGCTGGGACCAGTAACCCACACCGGTCAGGCCTGCCCCCCCAGTTCACTGCTGATGCTGGTGGGATGTCGGAGGCCAGGACTCGCCCCGGCGCATGAGTCCTGAATCATACTTCTTGCCTCTTCCTGGTGGAGATATGAGTACTGATGTGGCGGACTCCAACCCGGGCACCTCCTCGGAGCGGCCTCCAAACCGGTTCGTGGGCCTCTCACCCCATCGTCTGCAACGCCAGGCCTTTCCCAAGACCCTGAGCGACAAATACAGGTATATTGTCGGAGACAAGGTGTGGCAGGGTTGCCAAGCCTCTCCGATGCACGGTGCACGGTGCCCACCGCGGGTTTGTGTTCCCCCCTCCAGGTTGGGCGAGGAATTGGGGCGGGGTGCGTACGGACACGTGTTCCGCGGCCTGGACACCCGAACCGGCCAGCATGTGGCCATCAAGCAAATCGGATTGGAGCGTATCCCTGCCGGAGGCCTTCCGGTAGGAGGGGTGGGGGGGGGGCGGGATGTTGGGCAGACGCCTGCCGTCCTGATTGCGATGGTGGCAATCCTGTCCCGGGGAGGTACGGTCATGGCCCCATTTTTCATTGTCGTAGGGCATTGTTCGGGAGGTCGAGCTGCTGAAGACCCTGAACCACCCGAACATCGTCAAGTACTATGGCTCTCTGCGCACCGACACCCACCTGGTTAGTGCTGGTGGCTCTCAGTTTACATTGTTGCACTGACTTGTGAACCTGCCAGCCTGCTCTAGAGCTGCTGTGCCGCGCATGGGCGTGAAGGGGTGATGGTTGAGGAGCATGCAGTGTGTGCCCAAAGTATATCCCTCTTGGGCCCCCGTGGCGTTTGCAATCCACTTGCTTTGCAGCCGGGGTAACAGACCCTGCCATCACGCGAGTGGTTGCCGGGTGCTGCTCATTCCAGCTCTCCACCCACATGCAGTACATCGTGCTGGAGTATATGGAGAACGGCGCCCTGTCTGGCGTGATCAAATCCTCGAGCTTTGGCCCTTTCCCGGAGACCCTGGTGGCCGTGTACGTCCAGCAGGTCCTCCAGGCGAGTGCCAGAAAGGAAGGCATGTGGGCGCGGCACCCACACCGTACATGCCCCTTTGCCTGGCTCAAGTCTCTCCCACACTACCACCAACACACCTCCACCCCAACCCACTCCCCGGGCAGGGGCTGGCGTACCTGCACGCCCAGGGTGTGGTCCACCGCGACATCAAGGGCGCCAACATCCTGACCACCAAGGAGGGCGTGGTCAAGCTGGCGGACTTTGGCGTGGCGGCGCAGCTCTCCGACCTGGACACGCGCGCGTCGGGCGGCGGCGGCGCGCTGGCCGGCCCCGGCCCCGCCGCCTCCTCCCCCGTGGGGACCGTGTACTGGATGGCCCCTGAAGTGATCGAGCACAGCGCAGTCGCCCCCGCCGGCGACATCTGGTCCGTGGGCTGCCTGGCCATCGAGCTGTTCACCGGGTCGCCGCCCTACTATGACATGCAGCCCATGTCGGCACTGTACAACATTGTGGCCGACACCCACCCGCCCCTCCCCCGCGACATCTCCGCCTCCATGCGCGACTTCCTGCTCAAGTGCTTCGCGCGCGACCCGCGGGAGCGCCCCTCCGCCGCCGCGCTGGCCGAGCACCCCTGGGTTACCTACAACCGCCGCACGCTGCGCGGGACGTGGTCGCGCACGCGCGGCGGCCGCGCTGGCGGGCGCGCGGGCGACGCGCACACCAGCGTCGCGCTCGTCGTCGAGCGCATGCTGGCCGTGGACGAGGGCGGCGACGGCGACGGCAGAGGCGGTGGCGCCACGGAGGCAGGGGCACCTGCCGCGGGGGGCCACCCCCCGCCGCCGCCCTCGCCGGCGGCCGCGCAGCAGCAGCAGGCGCAGCGGGCGCAGCAGGCCGCCGGGCCCGGCGGCAGCGCGGAGCCGCCGGGGACCGACGACCTTACCGGCGCCGGGCTGCTGGCCAGGCTGCAGGCCCGACGCGAGTCCTCCACCGGCGCGGGCGTATCGGGGAAGGACGGCCCCGGCGTGGCCCCCCCCCCTCCGGCCGGCTCGGAGACCGCGGCCTCGGTGCGGCGCCAGCTGGCGTCGCTGGACCTGGGCCCGCCCGCCGCGCCGCGGAACCAGGTCAAGGAGGCGGCCGCCGCTGCCTCGTGCGCCGCGCTGGCGGGCCTGCTGCGCGGGGGCGAGGCGGCCGAGGCCGCCCGCGCGCTGCTGGCCGGCCAGGGCCTGTCCGCCCTGCGCGAGCTCCTGGGCAGCCCCTCGGAGCGGCTGCTGGACCGGGCGCTGGACGCCACGCTCTTCGCGCTGTCTGGGACGGCGGGGAGAGCGTGCCTCGCGCCGGCAATGGCGCTCGGCTTCGCGCCCGCCCTCCTGCGCTTCGCGGCGCCCTCCCACTCCCACATCCTCAGGGTCCAGGTGAGGAGAGGTTTGATCTGGGTTGTGGGGGAGAACACACACCAGAATCCAATGACAGGCACACCAGACGGGGGCATGAACACCCAGTCTAAACTGTGACGCTGCGGACAATGTGCGCATATCCCTACCGCATACTTCCCGGCACCATGTTCTCCAGGACAAGCCATACAGACACACTTGAATGCACACACTCACACCCCTGCCTTCAGGCTGCGAGGGCCGCGGAGATCCTGTGCGCCTCCAGCATCGGGGCGCGGGCCGTGCTTTCCTCGGACGCGCTCCCCGCCATGCTCGACCTGCTCCTGCCGCCGGAGAGGGGCGACGCCTCGCCCGCGCTGTGCGTGGAGCTGATGCAGCCGGCGCTGAATGCCTGCTGGCTGCTCCTACACCGCTCCGCGGCGGCGGCCGAGGAACCATCCGCCGCGCGGCAGCCGGCGGAGGGGCTGCCGCCGCTGGACGCGCTGCTGCGAGCCCTAGCAGCCGCCGCCCTGCCTCAGCGCATGACGGCGGTCCTGCGCACGGTGCTGAGCGCCTACTGCCTCAAGGCCGGGCTGAACGGGCCGGTCGGACGGGGGCCGGGAAACCACTCCCGCTCAGCCTCCGTGCCGCTGGTGAGTTCAAGCCTGCAGGGAGGGGTGGAAACTTATGTCGGGGATCTGAACCAGGCCTCTAGATGTGGCATCCATGCATCGAAGCTGTTGGATTTCTGAGGCGCTGCCAGCCTTGGTACCAAGAAGAGCTAGAGGCAGAGAGCGTCGCACTCCCTGCATAAAAGATAGCCCTTGCCCGTTCTCACCGACCTGGATGCTTTGTCCACAAACCCACCACACATCCCCTGGACACAACCCCACCCAGACGGAGACAGAGCTAGCCCAGCTGGCGGAGGAGAAGCCCACGAGCAGCGGCGAGACCACACCGCCGCGCACCCCCAGCCGGACGAACAGCCCCCGGGGTCAAGGCCCCTCACTCACCGCCACGCTGGGGTCGCCGCGGCGGGGTCCCTCGCCCACCAGCGCTCAGCAGACCGTGTCACGCCTCGCCTCCAGTGTCTCCATGTAGGGCGGGGGCACGCACGTGGCGTGGTGTCTTGGGGGCTGCGGGGCTGTGGACTCCTGGCCTGCAGGGCGTCGCGCGCGCGGGGGCCGCGGCAGGACACATGACTTTGATTCTTGAACTCAAGCCTCCCGACCACCCTGCCCCAGGCGGAGCGAGGACGGGCTCACCGCCGGCGCCCCGCCGCCCCGCTCGCCCGTGAAGCGTGCGGGCAGGGCGGACGCGCCCGCGCCCCCGCCGCCGGCGCCAAGCCCGCTGCCGCTGCTGGACGCCATCCTGAACATGTACGCGGCCATGGTGCTCGGCGACGGCGTGGTCAAGGCAGCGCTGGTGCAGCGCGCGGTGCTGGCTCCTCTGTTCGAGGTCACCGCCTTCCTGCCGCCGCCGCTGGCGCTGACGGTGGTGAGCGCGGTGAGGGCGCTGACCGTGGACCCGACCACGCTGGGCCCGCTGGCCGACGCCAGCGGCGTCGCCTTCCTCGTTGCCCAGCTGGCGCGCGCGGGAGAGCCCCTGCTCCAGGACCAGGCGCTGTCCGCCCTGCACAGGATGGCCGCGGCAGACAGGTGCGTTTGGGTCTTTCCTGGTTGGGGGTGAAAGGGGGGGAATCGGTGCCGCTGGCAGGGATCAAAAGGCCCATCAGGAGGGTCGCACGCCTGAACAGTGACGAGGCAGCCGCGCCGAAAATTTAATCTGTGTGGTGGCGGCTTGCGAAGGGTTCAACACTCTGCAAAAAGGGCCCGCTGCGATGTGCTTGAGAGCATCCACACATCTTTGCTGGCAACCCCCAGTGTCCCCATGTCTGACCAGTGGACCACCCCCCCCCCCCTCCCACTCCTCACAGAGCGCGGCAGGAGCAGGCGGCGGTGGCGGGCGCGGTGCCCTTTCTGTGCCAGCTGGGCATCCTGCCCCAGCGCGGCGCGGTGGCCGCCCATGCCCATGGCCTGGCCGTCTCGCTGCTGTGCGCGCTGGCGCGCGGCGGCGCGCGCGTGCGCGCCGAGCTATGGGCGCATGACGCGCTCTCCGTCTTCCTGCACCTGCTCAAGGACGAAGCGTGCCAGGTGGAGGTGCTGGATGCGCTGGCGGCCTGGCTGGCGGCTGACGCGCCGCGCATCGAGGCGCGGCTGGCCGCCGGCGATGCGCAAACGCGCCTGGTCACCCTCGTCCCCGTCATGTCCACCGCGGGGGAGGGCGACGCGCTGTGCGCGCTGCTCGTCCCCCTGCAGCGCCTGCTGTCGCTTTCGCCGCGCATGGCGCGCGAGCTGGCGCAGAATGGGCTGGTGCCACGCGTGACTGAGCTCCTGCGCCGGCCGACCTCCCCCACCACGCTGCCCGCGCTGGACGTGCTGGCCACGCTGGTGGCAGCCGCCGCGCAGCCACGCGCGTTGGCCGCGCGCTTCCGCCTCGCCCAGGTGCTCGTGCCGCTGGCGGGCCAGGCGGGCATGCAGCCGGGCGTAGCCGAGAAGGTGGCCCAGCTCCTGCAGGCCATACGCGGGTGACGGGTCAGGGAGGAGTGTTGGGAGGTCAGCCGCAGCTGCTGCTGGGAGCGGTCGTAGGGGACGGCGGGGAGCCTGTGCTGTCGTGCATGGGGGCATGCCATAAGACACACCTGCATGACGGCGCCCCCCCAGTTCTTCCACTTGCCCCCTCACCCCATGCTAATATGTAACGAGGCTTATGCACATACTGCAGTGCTGCCTCTCCGGTCAAAGAATCACAAGGGCACCCTTTGTGTGAGTGCCGTTTGACACACCTCATCGACATTTCAACACCGGACAACATGGGCAGCAGGCACTCTCGTATGCAAGCAACCACATCCCAGTTACAGGATCCTATGCGCCCACCCCAACCGTGTGTGCAGCATAGAATAGGAGGTAGGCCTGGCAGTGCTGGACGTCGGCCTCGCTGGCCGCCGAGATGCAGGCGTCGTCGCACAGATACCACTCGCCCTTGCCGCAGCGCAGGTATGCCACGTAGTGCCCGCCCTGTGTGTGGGTTGGGAGGGGGCCAGGGTGGTGGGTCGAGAGTCTTCCTTGCGATCACGGAGCCACGGCCATCGAAGGAAAGTCTTTGGGAGCCTCAGTAAGAGGGAGTAATGGTACCGCTGGGTTTCCCAGACTGACGATCCACATGTCCCACACCCAGCAGCCACACAGGTGTATCCTGGGAGCCATAACCAGGCGATGACCCTCCCAGCTTCGCGCAGTGATCACCTTGAAGTCCCCCTTGTGGACGACGACGGCGTACAGGTCGTACAGGGGATAGGTGCCCTCTGGGTTCATCATTGGCGCTGCAGCGCAGGCGCCATTGCCCTGTGCATGCTCCCGTTCCGACCTGCCATGGCGGGAGAGTCTGCCGGCGAGGTGACCATTGAGGGGATACGAGCATCCTGTGCACAGGCAAAGGACGTTTCTCTTGTTACAGGGCCAGCACACTCTCTCCCCACCTGGCCCCAAGGGAGCTGAGGAAGGGCCGCATGTCCAGGTTTCTCATGGGGAACTCCAGGTAGGTGTTCAGCTTGGTGGCCACGCCCCTCAGGCCGCCTGAAATGGTTTGGGAGCGCAAGTGATGGTGTGAGGTCGGAGAGCGGGTGACGCCCGAGGCTCGCTTGCTGGCAAGGCGCGGCGGCTGCAGACCGCCCTCGTGCACATCCGATCGGCCACCCGGGGCCGCCTGGTGCCGGCTCCCTTGAGAGCCCTCCCTTCCCCTTCCGTCCCTCCCTTGCCCCCATGTATCGTCCCCCTAACCCCCCCCTTCTCAAACCCGCCTGGGTGCTCAAAGCGCTTGGCGTGCAGGACCAGGAGCGGGGGCAGCGCGGCCAGGGTCAGGCGCTTGGTGGCCCCCCGGCCCCTGGCCCCGCACGCGGCGCACTGCCAGGCGGCGCCCTGCAGGTCCTCCGCCCGCGTCAGGCGCTTGAGCGCGCCCAGCAGGCTGGCACCCGGCCAGCGCGTGTACGAGGCCAGCGCCGGGTGCTCCCCGCCCCGCGCCGCCCGGGCCTGGGTGGCCGGCGCAACCGCCTCCCCCCGCGCGTCCTCGTTCCAGGGGCCCGCCGCCGATCCGGGGCGCGGGGAGGAGATGGCCTCGGCCTCGGGGCCTTCCGCGCCGGGGCTGCGTGATGTGGACACACGGGGAAGCCCGCTCCCCGAGCGCAGGGTGGCGTCGCTCCACGCGTCACTCTCTTCCCCGCCCGAGTCGGGGGTGGGCGGTGGGGGGGAGCGCGGCGCCGGCCGGGCGCCCCCCCGACCCCTGCCGGCCCGCCCGCGGCCCCGAGCGGCCTGCCAGAAGAGGGATCGACCAGAGGGAGGGAGGGGTTGCTCATTTTGGTGGCGAATGCTCTCAACCCAGCGTAGAGCACGATCGAGGGTAGAGCTGCCGGTCAGCTGCCAGGCTTGGAAGGCCACTGAATCTAGTTCATGCCTTCCACTTCACTCTGCGTTGCCGCCAACTATCCCAATGATCTTTGACCAACAACAACACCCCAGCACACCCAGGCGCCTGCCCACCTTGGCACCGCGGCCGCGACCCCGGACGGGGGGCGCCACCCGCCTCCCGTTGGCCGCCCGGGGCGCAGGCGGTGGGTCGGCCGGGTCGAGGGCGATGGCCGGCGCGATGAGGTGCGAGGCGGGGGGGATGTCCAGGGACAAATGCATGAAGCCGTCACGTGTCGTGGAGGCGTGGGCGCACGCCCAGCACGTCACCTCTGACTGCAGGGCGCCTGAGAAGGCCTGCGCCACGGGGTGCCCTGCAGAGGGTGTGTTGTGATTTGGCTGAGTGCCCTGGCTGCCATATTCCTGGCGGCCTGGAACACCCTTTTCGAGGAGCTGGGGTTGACGAGAGGCACCGGCGCCCCCAGGCCAGCCATTGAGGGTGGCGAGGCCCCTGCATCCTCGTTTCACGGCAGCAGTTAGGTCTGCAGCCCCACATCCGGGCCCCCGCCCACCTGCGTCCTTCATGCTGACCAGGGCGTCCAGGAAACATACCAGGAACTCATGGGCATCCTGAGCGAGGTGCATGAGGGTGGGGGAGGGCTGTATGCAGGGGAGCGCCAAAGGTTTTGCCTCCAAAAGTAATACATCAACGGAGGCGCATCGAGACAACTAGGCACTGGTCTCCACATCGACCAAGCGATGCTCACGATTATCTTAGCGCTTACCCACCAAGCATCCACCACCACAAACCCCCCTCAGGCACCTGCTGCTGGTACCCCACCAGCTCAGCCCCTGCCTTGCACCACCAGGCATGGAGGAAGCACACGGGGCTGTAGGGGGAGCGGGAGCCGCAGTATGCCGCGGAGAAGAGGGTATCCTGGAGTTTGGGAGAGAATGGTCGCCGCCCACCAGATATTTCGTGGCGAGGGACGGGCTTCCCAAAAAGACATGATGTGTACACATGCAATCTCTGGGACGGAGCAAGCAGCGAGACTCCTGCTCATCACTGGATGGGCCGTCTTGAGCCAACACCCCTGACTGACCAAGGCACAAAGGAGGCAGGGAGAGTCGTCATCTGAGATGAAGCAGGTGTCCCCATTGTGTCGGCCCATGAGATGGAACGGCACCAGGAAGGGCGAGTGTAGCAGTGCCTGAGGCAAAGGCAGGGATTGTTGGGGATAGGATGGCGAGCAGGCATGAAACTCACAGTGGAATGGCCAGCAGTGACGGTCCCCGTCTGGCAGTCTCCATATATGCATGCGACAGGCAGCCAACTTGGACTGCGCCGAGCCTCTTCCTTTCCATCTCAAAACAATGAGCCCACCTGAAGCACACTATTCATGAAACATGTGTTCCCAAGATTCTGCAAGCCCCGCAGGCCCGGGGGGAACCCATCCTGGGGTACATCCACACAGCCAGAGGCAGTTGGAGTAGGGGGGCTCTCCCTCTTCACCGCGATCATTAGAGCACCCTCCTGGATTGGAGGCACCTTCCATTAGAGTTCGATTGTCCAGTAGGAATGTCCATCACGCAGGGGAGCGCCACATCCAGCACTCTACAGGCGAACGCACTTGTTTGGTGCTACTCTTCCATGGTCATTTCAATACTCGCGGATCGCTCCTCAGCCCAAATGGCAATCAGACTTGCATGGCATGTATGCGCATGCCAAGCTTTTGGTCCACCAAGTCCTTTGTTCGGCCCTTCGAGGGTTCTCTTTGCTTCACAGGCTGATTGCCGGTTTTGTTACGAGAGCGGCTCTTCGCTCAACACAGCCAAGCAGCAGGTCAGGACTTGTCGTGCGCTGGAATCAGTAAATTCAGCATGCTTGATGTGAGTGATGACTATGCTTCCTGTCTTGTATAAGATCGCAGTCCGTCGAACTCTGGGACCCTGAGATGCATGATTTCCGCGCTGAATCACCGATTGTTGGAATCGCGGGGACTCCAGGTTTCCTTCTGGGCAGGGAGTTCAGATTATCATACACAGTGCTCGGCAGACGACCAGGTGCCGCAGCCATGGGCCTTCACTTGGATAGGAAGAGGATGTCCTCGTCTGTGCCGGGTACAAGCCGCGCAGCATTTAGACGGGCTGCTGGCAACCACAAAGGCGCGGCCCCCTCCTCGGAGGGGTCCATGACGGCAAACCGTTCGGTTCTCGGGTCAAACCCACAGACCAGGATAAAGTGACCATGATACTCCCCTCCTGGGACTCCCAGCATTGAGCAAGTCTTGTCGACGAGCAGGATGGCAAGGCTACCGCTGAGTCGCTCGAGCAGTTCCTGGTCGGTGAGGCTGGCGCATAGTACACGGATCCCAACTGCAGCTGCTTCCTGCATGGAAGTCGGGACAGGAAAGCACGCAAGCCTTGGTCTGTCTACCTGTACTAAGCCAAGCTTGGGAACAACAGCAGAGACCAGGCACAATACTCGGCTCTCTCCAGAGCATCCACTGACAGGATGGTCCCCGAACAAGGCTCCATTGCAACCACAAACACTCTGTACTTGGGAACCTGCCTGGAAGAGTCGGTCCACTCTGGGCGCATCTTCCTCCATCTGGGCTGCGTAGAAGGATAGGCGTGCATGGCTGGTGTCCACGCCAGGCATCCTGGTGCACAGCACCACCTTCAGGCCGCGCCCCGCCAGGAGGTGTGCCAGGTCGATGCTCCATGCTGCCTGCTGCGGCGCCTCTCCCACAATGTCCTGCACGCTGACGGGTTTCTGGAGCAGGGCCGAGAGAGCCATGGCAGCACAGGCCAGGCCGCAATCCCTGTTGGGAGGGCACAGGGGGTGGGTCGTTACCTCATTTAAAGGATTGAAACCTGACGAACGTGTCCTGGCCACCTGTTGACACATCCTACCATTCGGAGCACTGTCGAATGTGGGGTACTGGAACCAGGAAGCCATCCTGCGGCGACCGGCTCGCACCCTCTCCTCCTGCCTCGCGCATGGCAGCATGATGCCGAGCTCGCGTGGACACCATGCGCCTCAAACATTACAGCAGTTGATCCATGGTGGAACGCTGTTAGATGTCATCCCATGAGCCGAAGGGCGACTGCGAGAGTCTCACCGCTCATTCGCGCAAATGGCCAGTCCAGGGAACCCATATCATCGAATCCCGCACCGCTGTCCTTTAGATCGTATGAGTGCTGCTTTATTTCCACCCGGGGGCGTTAGCTCTGTATTGCATTGATGCGCATTGGACAACCCCCCGCATGCCGCAGCACGGATCCTCCCCCCCCGATTGGTAGGAGGTGATGGAGCCGGGGGAGGGTGGAATGCTCGCCATCCAGGCCCCAGTTCCTCACTCCATCGTTCCTGTGACCAGACAACGCCAGGAAGGATCAGGAAGTGGACGTGGACCAAGGCCTGCCTGCTGCTCCTTGCTGCCTGTCAGTCACAGGAGATCTGTGGCCAGTCTCAGAAGCTCCGACTTGAACCTGTCGACGTCGTGCTTTGAGATCTGGATGACCGTCGTGTCAAAGAGGTCGTGCCAGGCCTCCGCCTTGACTGCCTCAGTGGCCGCCGCAAATGCATGGCCCAGCTTGTTGCCCTGGGAGGACGAAGGCCATGGCTTTGTGTCAGAGGTGGTGTTTTGGCGAAGAATGTCATGTACCACGGGCGACATGGGGGTTGAGTGGGACTGTGCCTGGCCCTGCGCCTCTAATCCCTTTTCTGCGGCACCCCACCCTGGGTCGCCTGCCCCTCACACCACAAGGTCACCCCGTAAACACCGTGCTCCGCTCCCACCTGCATACGGCCTGTAGCCTCGTAGCCGACGGCGAGGCACCGCAGGGAGGCGTCCGCCGGCCCGATCAGGACGACAGGCTTCCGCCGATTGGTGTGGTGGAAGTGCTGGTCTTGAAAGAAGGCAGCCATCCTCTGTAGTGCCATGGGGTGACTCTGTGGCAAGGGGAGTGGGGCAGGGTGGAATGGAGAGGGAAACTGGAATCCAGCCATAGCCCAGAGACGGACGCAAGTGGCCTGCAGGCACAGCGCAGGAAAACAAGCAGATGCGCTACGTATCAGGATGTCAACTCACCAGGAGGTGCTGGTTATTGATGCTGTGGTTGCTCAGGTCGTAGATCCGGAAGTGCCGAAAGTTGTGGAAGAGCTTCTGCTGCACCACACCCCCGCCATCGCTGCATGAGGCAGGAGGGGGTCCCATGAAGAGTGCACGGTCCACAGCGGAGGTTGGCATCGAGACCATGGGGCCCAGCAAAGTGGACCGCGGTAGGTGCAGACTCGCGACCAGCTTCAGTTTTAGATTGAGTCCCCTCATGTGGCATCTGCGATGCAAAATCCCCCCCGTAGGCACCTGATGAGCGCCTTCTGCACCCGCTTTGCCAGCTCCAGCCCCTTCCGCAGCTCCCCTTGGTCGTGGGCCCAGCTCAGTGCGTGGTAGCAGCGCCTGTTGGAAGTATAACGAAGGGCCCAGCGGTCAAGGTAGATGAGCGAGGGAAGTTATAGGACAGCTGAGACATATTTTGCTCGTCCACAGGAAGGTCGACCCCTCTTGTGTTGGGCAGAATGCGCTACTTCTTGACCCCAGTACTTGTCAATGACCCCTCCCAGCCTGGCAAAGAGCCCAAGCAGCGCCACCTACCAGAATTTGTCCACATGATCGGCGGCCCCCGGCGTCGCCGTCTCGTTCTTGGTCCCGCACTCGAGCAGTGCCGTGGCGGCGTGGACCACGTCGATAATGTTCACGCATCGCTTCAATCCATCCTGCGGGGGGGGAGGTATGGGGACGAGTGTGAGTATCGATTCAGAATGTGCTCAGAAGGGGCCCGCCAATTCTAGACATGGCAGTTGAGAAGGCAGCTTGCGGCATCGCCTGGCCCCCAGAATAGTCCCGAACTGGGGTCGATTGTCATGCAACCATGAAACCCCAGCCCAAGTGACGCGGCGCACAATGCCCCGCCGTGCCCACATCAAAGTTCTCCCTGCAGCAGTCTGCCTTGCCTGGAGTTGGAAAGAGTCTAGCATCACGTCTGCCATCCTGAACGCTGGGGCATGCTGGGCCAGCCTTTCTGGCAGCGCCGCCTTGTACCTCGGCTTCATGTCCACTGCAGGTTGGAACGGGTAGGTGGATGAGCGCGCGCAGAGGGCGAGACCCCAGCCCCACCCTGGACCACCGCTGCACCAAAAGATGCGTGCACCGACCCACTGTCACCCCCTTCACAACCACAGCCTCGACTCACAGAGATATGGGCTTTGAGCCTGCTGCAGGGGGATCCCGAGCTTGGCAAGCAGGAGCTCCAGGGCGGTTTTGCCTTTCTCTGTGTATGTTTGCAGCCGGGCGGCGACATAGGGGCTGTAGAGCATGGACTCATACAGGGACCATTCCCACAACAGCCCAAAGCGAAAGTCCCTCTGAGGTCTGCAAGGAAAGGACGGGGAGGGGTGAGGCATCAGAGCTTTTTACCTGATGCATGTCAAGCGGAAACTACGTCATGTAACAATGTGGGTAAAGCCGAGAACCACACTGAGCTCCCGGTCTCCGAGCCACAATGACAAGGCCAAGTTCCAGGCACCCCCCGCCCTCTACACCTCCCCCACTCTTGCTGTGTCTCACAAAATTCGGCAGTTGATGGCCATGTTTGCGACCGTAACGCCATCGTCCTCTGCAGCAGGCCGCTCCTGAGGAAATGAAGGGGGCAGCGGAGGTCGAAGAACTGTGCACGTGCGGGACTCTGCCCCTCTGCACCACTCTCACTGCAGAAAGGCTGGCCACCACATACCGTGGCGACGTCCAGGTGACCCATGTTCTGCACATGGCTCTCATACAGGTTGTAATAGCTTTTGTATTTGTCAGCTGCGCACAGGAGAGGATGGGTGACCGCATGGACAGGCCGCTGCATGCAGCGGCAGCCATCGCGGAGAGTGCCTTGTTCTATACAATCTCCCGGCATCGGATTCGCTGGGATCACATCCCAGGGAACATGCTACCCCCCTGGGCGATTGCCTCACCATGGATCCTGCTGTGCACCATGTGGTCAGTGAGGCCCACCAGTGCCAGCCTGTGGGGAGGCCATCGGGTGGCGATGGAAGGATCAGTCGAGAGAATCAAACCCGGCTCCAACGTGCCAGAAGCCATATCCATGCCTGGCAAGGCACTGGTGCGCTGGCTCTGCCCGGCCCTCTGCGCCGCCGCTCCCGTCCCTCACCAGAGCATGTGACTCGTCTCCTGTCCCAGCAGGGCCGCCAGGTCAAAGATCATGCATGCTGCAGGCTTGCCATACGATACACCCTGGACGAGGGGCGGCGGAAGGTTCAGCTGGTGTGAGGACACCAAACAGAACGCCTGACGAGAGATGGCAGCTCCGGTCAAGCCAGTCAGGCAATCCATACCATTTGACCCCGCAACACAGTCCTGCACCCCACCCGCTCGTACCTGTTCATAGTACACTTCCCGAAACTGCTCTCGCTGCTGTCGCTCCCTGCGTGCCTCCATCCTGCGTGCCTGACGGCCGCTCGTCCCGCCATCCAGGCGTTGCCTGCACGGAGTTGGCAGGGGGTTTCCGGCTTGTGCATGGCCTGGGGCTGCATATGGAACCTCGTCCTGGGACACACTCGCTGCTACAGACCGAGGGTCAGCAGGGAGACAATCTTCAACATAGAACCCAGGCATGGATATGCAAGCCTTGGTACAATCCAATAGCCAAAATACCTTTGAGCATCGGGTTCCTCGTCGCTGCCAGCCTCCACGTCTTCCCCTGAATCTGGGTCGTCGTCCAAGTCAAGCTCATGGTCATCTGAATATGGGTGGCGGGGGGGGCACTCTGATCAAAAAGAGCATCATTCGGGCCTGGGCCCACTCTGCAAGCTGATGCCTGCCAGGTCAGCCTGCTCCAAAAGCAGGGAGAGACTGCCGGCAACCCCAGCCCATCGCAGCTGGCCCTACCTATGCTGGCAGGGGGGATCTCTGCCTTGTCCAGGCCCTCGCTCTCGTCAAGGAGGACCGCCACGCAATCCTCTGGGCTGTCAATGTTATTGGCGTGGCAAATCGGTCGATGGGAGTCAACGATGACCACACGCACGTTTGGGCGGTTCTGCAGGTTTAGGAAGGACCGTACGTCCTCGGCAGCCCCGCAGTTGATCAGGATGGCTGTCCGCATTGCCTGGGGTGCATTGAAATAGGTGGAACAAAGCCGGGGAGGTGTGTGTGAAAGACACATATACGGTGGCATTTTGGCATATCCATGGTGTGGCGACATGCAGCAAGTGCAACCTGAAGCGATTCTGAGTAGCTGTTACCATGCATCCCCATCACATCCATAGCTCAGGTCCCCTACCTCCTCATCAGGTTGGTAGCAGGCATCAAAGTCCTCCTCAATCTCCTTGTAACGACTGACGGGCAACCACCCATGCGGTATCATGTCATTTTTGAATAGCCTCTGTGGTGGAGTGGCAGGTTCAAAGGGGGGGCCTGGTGTGTGTATCATGCCTTAGAACGTCCACCAAGGCCTTCAATCCCCAAACGCCAAACAGTTTGGCACCACAGTGGCTGGCTAGATTTGTAGACCTACAGCACATAACTTCCCAACCCCGCACACAGAACACCATGCCCATCTCCCCCCTTGACACCTCCAGGATGCGTAGGGCGGCAACGGAGTCGGCATCTGCGGCCGAGGCGTAGATGAAGACATGCTTCTCCTCGCTGCAGGAGCTCTCCTCCTTGATGGCGTTGTATAGGGCAACCCACTCATCCGGGGTCGTCACAATCATGCTCGGCGGGACACGACTGGTGGGGAGCCTGCTCAATTGCTCATCCTATGCCGGGCTCAGAACGGCATGTCGAGTTCTCTAATGGGCCACCTGCGGGCGCAGTGCAACGGGCCAGGCCACTCGCCGGTCTCGGGCCACGCCTTCGTCGAGCCAACCAAGCTGATCAGGAATCCGAGAGGGGACGGAGCTCAAAAACAAACGGTAGGACGTGGCTGAGGGGCAGGGCGAGCCCTGTCGAGCTTCAAATCAGATGAACACGAAATCCGAGGGCAGCAAGGAGCAGATGAGGGTACCGCCGGATGGCGTCCTGAACGCAGGCGCTAGCTAAGTTATCGACTCTACCAAGTGACTATGCAATAGGAAGTGACTGCTCTCCCAGAGTGCCTGGCTCGGCATCCAGGGTCAGCCTCTCTGGCTGTTTGTCGAATTTGAGTGCCGTGTCCATTAGGCCCGCAGGAAAGGACGGACACGGTGACCTCCCTATGGACATCAGCTCGATGGGCACTCTTTGATATTCACGGGGAAACTGTCCTCGTTACAAAGCTGCTGACTCTTTTATTCTGTCATATCCTTGTCCAAGCCCATTGACAGCAAAACCATGATCACTGGAAGACATCAGCCAGCTCGCTCCGCGGAAGTGGGTTGGCAGCGACGTGCTGCTTGCGGTGCTCCCTTGCATCCACCTTGGCACCATACTTCCCAGACTGCTGCTTCTTCAGTGCCGCTCGGATCTGTTTGGTAAAGCGGCAGGAGGGGCAGTGGGTGGGAGTGCAAGAGGTGCTGCTGGGGATGAGCAAGAAATGCCCACAGCAGCCCCAGGGGCGGGTGGTGGGCCAAATGTGGGCCCCACAGCCTGACTCACCGCATTGGGAGATACAAAGGAAGGGTTCTCATAAATCACAGGTCCACCAAAGCTCCCCGCAAACATCTTGATGGGGTTAAGGCAGGCCCTGGGTCCCACCTGCGTAAGATGAGGAGGGGTTCAAACTTTGTCGTAAAGCATTCCATGTTATGGGATGGTTGCACAACTGGTTGGCCCCCACAATCACACGCACCTCCACCAACGTGACATCTCCGGGCGCCGCCTTCTTCTTCTCGGGGTTGGGAAGCACCTGGTAGTTCCTGATCCAGATGCGGCCATCTGCCACCGTAAAACTCATCACATGGTCGAAGAAGGGCTTCACCTTGTGGTGCCGACGCGGCACGGCAAAGGTCTGCGTCAGCATCTCCTTGAGCACCTGGAGGTGCGGCTCTTGGTCAAACGTGGCGTCGAAAGAAAGCACGGGGCGGCTCCCTTTCAGGTGGTTGCCGCTCAGCTTCAGCTCGGCCATGGTGTGTACTGCGGATGGACACAGGTGGAGGGGGGTTGATGGGTGATGGGTCCCAAAGCCAGCCACACCATGGTGCCATGGACTGCACAGGGTCCGTGCTGCTCCTGCTGGCAGGTCAGCTGTCAGGCTGATGGCAGCGGATCCTTGGGACACCGACTCACGGTCAGCAGACGTTGGACAGGCAAAACAGCAATCCCACCCCGCGCGCCATGCATCCCACTCACCGTTGGTGACATGGAACTTGGCCGTGGGGCCTGCTGGCGTCTTGCCCAGCCACACATACAGGTCCTTGTGCTTCCGCGTCTCAAAGAACATGCCGGTTGTGCATCCCTGTGGTGAGAGTGGGAGGAAGTGGCGTGGCAGGGAAGGTTCCTCTGCCGTGTCCAGGCAGTTAGGCCAGAAATTGTGTTCAAGTGTCCAACCCATGCCCTGCACGCATCCCTGGTTGCCGGACCTTGAGCTCCGCCACCTCATTGATGAGGTTCCTCTCGGTTTTGGTGTCCAGCTTGGAGTCCTTTTTGGCATGTGGGAGCAGCTGCATCATGTCCAGCATCAGGTGGCGATACCTGGAGGTACAGCATGGCGCACACTCAGTTAAGAAACCACCTCCTCTGATGTAGCCCTTGGCTCATTGCACCAGTCTGATGGTGGACCAGACTCTGATGGCGGAGGAGGACCGCAGGACAGCACGAATCAAACCCCCCAAGACATAATGGGTTGGTGACCATATTATGGCAAAAGAAATGAGAGGGGCCCTTTCGGTTGCAAATGTCCTCACCTGAAGGTAATCCCCCTGGAGGTTACAATGAGCACACGCTCCTTGTTCTTAAAGTCCAACCCGTGCTCTGAGGTGGAGGGCTCGTTTTCAGTCTGCTTCACATCAGGGTCTGAAACAGCCACCTCCCTCGCTTTCCGCTTGGCCATGGCGCCGTTAATTGGCTCCGTATAAGGCTGTGCAGGGCCGGTGAGGTGGCAGGCTACTAGGAGACGAGACGGTGCGTGACGCCTTCAGGTGTTCAGTTCTGCATGCAATGTGTCATGTAGCGAGAGAATTTCAGGTAGCATATAACAAAGGTATACCAAGTCCGTTGTGATACGGTGCTCCGAGTCCTTTTGCGGGTGGAGGCTCCCACGTCAGCAGTCCAGGGCGCGACGGGTTGGGAGATGGACGCGACGACGTTCCGACAGAGTTGGAGCTTGCATTGTTATCTTTGAGCGGCAAATCGCATGGCTTTAATGCTGTGAGTCAGGCCAGTCTCGCCTTAAGCAGAGCGAGAGTTTCTCTTCTTTCTGGAATGCACATACAAATCACGAGGAGGTCCACCCAGCCTTTCCATGCGCATCCACGCTCCATTCACGTCAGCTCCAGCTTCGCATGCCCACAAGTGGGGATCCTGCAGTCGGCCTTGGTGTGTGAGGCCTGGTGGTACCGGGACAGCAGTGGCTCCCCCAACTCGTGTCAGTGCGCTTCCCACGGCGCCTCTCATCAAAGTGTGCGGCGTGACTCGGCCCGAGGATGCAGCACATGCCGCAGCAGAGGGTGCCAACCTGGTAGGCATGATCATGTGGCCCCGGGCGCCCAGAGCCCTGACTGTGGAAGCGGCGCAGGCGGTCGCAGCTGCGGCACGATCCCATGGCGCCGAACCAGTAGGAGTCTTTGTCGATGAGGATGCAGAGACAATCGCCAGGTGTGGTTACCTTCCTGGATGGCGCACCGTGGAGAGGCTGGCTAAGAGCCTAGTTTGCCTGTCTCCCCTGCCCCATGTCTGCTGTGCCAGAGCATCTATCATCCTCACACAGGGTGGCCCAGCTGGGGAATTTCTCGACTGTACAACTGCATGGCGCTGCATCACAGCGAGGGCTGGCCGACATTCCCTTGCACCTCCAGGTATGTGCAGGATCAAGGGTGCCAACCTGAGCCTTACATGTGCCTGCCTTCTGTGCCCATTTGAGGGCGTTTCGGATTGTAAAGAGTCATTGCCATGACCCCTCAAAACGGATGGAGGTCCAGCCGAGGGAGCGGTCCAGCCCTCTGCAACACCCTCATGCACTGTCCCCATCCGCAGGTGGTGTTTGTAGTGACAGTGGACGCTGATGGGAAGCTCCAGACCGAGATACCAGACCCCCTCCCCAGGTACAGCAATACCTGCTTAGCGCGGTGCAAGGGTCCCAGACTCTCACAGTCCATACCGATCTATTCTTGTTCTTGTGGGTTGCACCTGCCCTTTGCACCTGCGACTGATGGTGCATGTTTAGAGTCGCAAGGGCAGGTGCCAACACACCTTCTCCCGACGTATATGCTCAATCACCAGGCCCATTGATCTTTTTCTTGTGGACTCTGCAAAACGGAAAGGGCCCAGCATCGTCCTTGACTGGAGGACGCTCCCTCCCCCACGACTAGCCTCGGCTCGGTGGCTGCTGGCCGGGGGCCTCACGGCAGAAACAGTCAAGGGTAAGCGTGGAGTTCAAGTATTATCCTGTGAGTGTGGTGCACCCCAGCGATCCAAGGTGGTCGGGCAGGGTGGGCCCTATCAAGCTGAGCCGCAAGTCACATGCACACAGCTGCCCGCTCTATCACCCTCCTCCCAGATGCCATCATGACTGCCAACCCGTGTGGCGTGGACGTCTCCAGCGGCGTGTGTGGTCCTGATGGACTGGCAAAAGACCATGCAAAAGTGGCAGGCTTTGTGAAGGCTGCTGCACAAGGATTTTCTTCCATAACTCCACCGGCAGTCGGTGTATAGACTTTTGTCAGTTGGGGATTAGTACCATGCTCATTGGCATATATCGAGGAGAGGAGCACACTGTGATCCTTCTGCATCCTAATGCTGGCAGGGATATGCTCCTGGGCTTCACCAGACTCCACAGCAGCCATGCATGGCAGGAGACATGCTCCGACCTAATCGTCGCAGACTGGGAGGGTCAGAAACCCAATCCTGCGTGTTGGAGCACTGTGGCACAACCACTGTTCTTGTAATCTGACAATCTTGTGCTTCATTACAAGTTACTACAGGAGTATTTAAACAGTGGAGTGGTCATGCCCGACCAAAACCAGCATCCAGCAGCTTCTTCCTGCGATGGCATGTTGGAGGAAGTGGCGATTAGAGGTCGCCCAGGAGACACCACCAGCGCTGGCGTCCTCAGATATCCCACAAACACAACTCTATGCACACACAGCTCACTTGGCAGCCTTCCGCGACTCCCTCTTAAGCATGCCCTCCTTGGCCTCATTCTCCCTCCGCACGGTCAATAACTGGGCAACCTATAAGAATGTAATGAAGGGTAGCTGATAAGCAGCCAGCTTGCACGCAAGTCCTCTCTCATCAGCATAGGATTGCCAAGTCAATTGATGAGTGCAGCCAGTTTGCCACCTCACCTTGTGCTTGATCTCCTTCACAGATGAAGGTTTCCAGTCCTGCGGCAAAGGGGTCGCAGCTTTTGTCGCACATGTACATTAGAGCAAGCAAACTGGTGAACATAAACATAGTGAATTGCTGCCCATTTCCGAGCACAATCTCACTCACCTCCTGCTTGGCAAACTTGATGCGCAGGGCAAAGAGGTCACGTTTGAGCTGGTCCACTTGTGCGTCAATCTCAGCGATGGAGAGGTTCCTGTGTACCGTTGAGAGTTAATTTGAGGGCTTCCAAAGCAGCGAGAAGAATCCAGAACTGCCACGCCCTGAGGCTGGACCCCTTTACATGATGTCACCACACACCCTCCACCTCCACCGTCACACCTCAGCTCCGAAGCCTTGACAGGCTTCGCCATGCACACAGGAGCTTGCCGGGCATGCTGGGGTGACTTGCACGGTACAAATGGTCGCTGCAGAGGTCTTGCTGTCAAAGAGGTGGCGGAAGCGACTGCAAACATCACTCGTCCTCGAAGTAGAGCCCCGGCCTACTGACTGCTGCCCACTTGTTTCCTGGTATGCAGCAGGCTCCGATGTCAAGTCTGAAGTAGTTACCCCACAAAATATTCTTCGTGGTGCCCTGAGGATGCTGGTCTGCCCTTGCAATCGGGGGAAGCGGTTTCCCCGAGTGCCCGTCCTCCTTATCCTGACGCCACGGGTACTGCACCTCCGGGTACCACCTGCACGAGATGCTGAACACCCCACCATGACCGCATGCATGACTTTGTAACCCTTTTCAAGTCTCTTGGCGATGACATCGATAAGCGGGATAGGGCATGCAGGCTGCTGAGCCGAGTTGCTGGTGCTGTGAAGATCACCGGGACGTCCGCGTGGCTCTACTGTCCAGAAGCTAGTGGGCGATGTTCTCTGCAAGCATTTCGAGCATGGGCGTAAGGCCCGGGGGAATGCGACTGGCTTCCATCCCTCCAGGACGCCGACTCGCCAGGCCCTTCCGCCTCGTCAGGGGGCCTTACACCTCCAGACCGCTCTCATCCGTCCAGGACCCAGTCGTGAGTGCCATGCGGCCCGATCCCCCCACCAGCTCCTATTGGCTGAAGCAGACAGCTTCAGGCGCAGTCCTGGGCATGGGTGCCATGCTTGCCATGGTGCTAAGACCGCCCGTCGCCCAGGCTGGAGAGGACGGGACCCCCTACAGGTACAGCCTGCATCCCATGAGGGGGCGGGGGGAAGGGACAGCCTAGCTACTCGAGAGGATACTGATGCGGTGTCGACGGGATCCTCGAGTGTCACTCCACAGCTGCGACACCCCTGCTCCTCCTGGGCATCAACTCGAGCAATCCTCACTCTTACTCCAGGCCGGGGTCGCGTGTCACTCTGAGCTCCAGCGAGGCGGAGCCACGGCGCTGGCAGGACACCGGCATGCTGCTGAGCATGGCTGGAGACGAAGGCCGGGCCGGGAGATCCAGCAAGTCAGGGAAGGGAGGCGCGAGTTCCAAGACGAAGGCTTCTGGGAAGGGCGCCAAGACGTCAAGGGGTGCGTCGGCGTCGGCCGTCAAGTCGGATCCGATGCCCACAGAGGAGGAGTCGTTTGCGGTGCTGGGGCTGGACGATGTCCCCCCCGGTTCGTACAAGGACGATCTGCACCCCAACCTGAGGATCCCCCCAAAGAAGAAAAGCCGCGCCTACAGGAGGGAGGGCAGGATCAGCAAGGACAGGGTGAGTGTGAGAGAGCGTTGTTGCTGGCACGCGTGGGTGTGTGCTGGGGCGGGGGAGGCAGGGCAGCACCCTGATTTGGTGCCGTGCCAACAGGCCCTGGCGTCGCTTTTTTGTGAGACCATGTGGCCCGTGTACTTTGTACAAAAGGACAATCGGAGGAGGGGAGCGTCATGCTCCTTCCCCAAACACGATTAGCATCTTGGAAGTCTGCATACCTGATGGATCCCCACACTCTCCCTCTCCTGCTCACCCCTGTTTCAGGTGCGCTGGAGGACTTTCGATGAGCTGACGCTGGCCACCGACGAGGCCATCCGGGAGACTGCCAACCGCCGCAACCAGAAGCACTACAGAAAGGGCAACCGTGCGTCCCGTGGGGGTGTTGTGGGATGCTCGGTGCACAGGATGCGGGGTGCTCGGCCGGAAAAACGCCAACGTGTTTGCAGCTAGGCTTCTGGCTGCGCTCGCGACCCCTGCTTTATGCCCTCCTTCGCATCCACTTGCAAACCCTCCCTGAACCCCTTCCCTTCCTTGCAGTTCATGCGGCGGACAAGCCCGTCAGCTTCCCCAAGCGCAGCCTGGCCCCCGTCCCCTTCCGGAACCCCCAGAACAAGAAGCTCCCGGAGTCTCCGATGGTCAGTGTGATTCCGGGACTTGAGAGGTGTTTGTGTGTGCTCAGGGGCACGCCATTGGGCGCACGTGCTCATGATGAGGGTTTCACTCCTTGCCCTGCCAGTCGACAAGGGCTGCGTCAACCAAATCTGTCGCTCATTCACCTCCCTGTCCCCCACTCCAGACGGCCTGGAGGACGGACAAGCTGGCCGACCTCACGTACACCCAGTTCTGGACGCTGGTCAGAGAGAGGGCGGTTGAAAAGGTGAGTTGCAAATGCGCAGAGCGAGGGTGGGAGAAGCTTTCCAGGGATCCCTCCAGTGCACAAGTTCAGAAGATGAAGACATACAGCTGGTCTTGTCCCTCTGCATCCTTGTGGATAAAGTTTGTGGATGCATTCGCAGTGGTCAGCTCCCAGACTGTCGCCCACAACCCTGTGCTCCCTGCAGGCAACGTACTCGGACGACCGGCGATCGCTGTATGTCACCCTCAATGAGCACGCTCCTGGAGGGGCTCGGACTGAGAAGGTGGTCCTGCCCTTTGACCCTGACCTCTTTGAGCACATGCTCGAACATGGGTACGATGCGTAGATTACATGGGGGAGGGCAGAGGGCTCTGTGACTTTGTGTCAGTGTTGGACACAGAGGAGAATTGGCCTGCGTGAAAATTCTTGCATGGCTAACACTCTGGTGGGTTGTTTCCACTGTTCCCAAGCAGGACAGCTAAGCTTGCAGCAGTAATGCTCTGCTGCTCAGGGGCAACAGTGTCTCTGAGATTCCAGCACCTGCCACTCCCTCAGCCCACCTCCCCAACCCACAGAGTGTACATCGACTACGAGAAGCCCAACCCCTTTTACCCCATCCTCCATTCCATTGCTCGCCTCTTCTTCCCCATCACCTTCGCCCTGTGGCTGGTCCAATTCACCTTCAGGTGAGGGCTGCTGTGCTGCTGTGTGACAGAAGACATGGCCTTGGACTTGTGGAAATCTGCTGGGTGATGGTGGTGAGCAAGCTATCAATCTTTTCATGGTCACCCCCATTGCCAGGATGGGGCGGAAGAAGAAGAGGGACGACATCTTTGGAGGCATCAAGATGCAAAGCATCCAGGTACTGGTGGAAATATATGTGTAGGGAGTTGACCCCAGTGATTGGGGTGCGGAAGGGGATCTGTGCATGCATCGTCAAACATCCTCCAAAGAAGGGAAGATAGTGCAGCGTGAGGTCCTTGATTTCAACCTGATCACTCCACTCCCCCCGTCCTACAGCCTGGCAAGGCGCAGTACGACTTTACCGATATCGCTGGAATTGACTCGGTGAGATGAGATGGAGGCAGTAGAGGATAGGCTGGGGCAAACAAGGTGCATTCAGGAGGCAGTGCTCGCATTCCATGACACGGAGTGTCAGCCATCGATTGCAAGCCCACTGGGCACTCGGGTTTGCAGATTCATTCAATCTGGTGGGAGGCAAATACTCAGCATGGCTCTCTCATCCTATGCTTTTGTAGATCAAGGAGGAAATCCGGGAGGTGGTAGAGTTCCTAAAGAACCCTGCCCGCTTTCTCAAAATGGGAGCGCGTTCTCCTGCTGGTGTTCTGCTCGTTGGACCCCCAGGTGTGTTTTGTGTGACGCTGGGTGTGATATCGATCGAGGGGATTGCCAGGCCCACTTTAGCAGCCATGGATTTTCGAGTGGACACATAGGGTTGGTCCTGCTACTTTTTGCTCCAACACAAAGACCTGGTCCATCCCACTCCCCTTCTCAGGCACGGGAAAGACGTTGCTGGCAAAGTCAGTTGCCGGTGAGGCGCAGGTCCCATTCTTCTCCGTGTCAGGAACAGGTGAGAAAGGTGAAATGAGACCATGGAGGGCCGATGTGTCTCCTGCAGCCTGCACGAGCTTCCTTATTCCCATTCCCAATGATAGAGTTCATGGAGATGTATGCTGGAATCGGTGCGTCGAGGGTGAGGGACATGTTCCAACAGGCTCGAGCAGCGGTGAGATGGTGGTCATTGAGATGGTGAAAGAGGGAGGGGGAGGGTAGTGGTCATCCTCCGAGCTGGGTGTCATCCAATGATGCTGGGAGCGGCGGCCATTGGGTGCCATGCTGCAATCTTCGAGGGAATGTTTCCGCTGTCCGGCAAATGCTCTGAGGAGGTTGCTGCTCGTATCAGGAAGATGGAATCGCACACGCCCTGGGCCCACATGTCACGCCCAGACTTATACCCTGGTCCCCGCATAGGCCCCCTGCATCCTCTTCATCGATGAGTTTGATGGCGTGGGCAAGGCCCGTTCCGCCACGGCCGGGAACGAGGAGGCAGTGCACACCATCAACCAGCTGCTGTCAGGTGCGGGTGGAAGTGGCAGGGGCTGTGTGAATAGACGGACATCAGCACGTATGTGCTTTGCAGGGAATGTTTTGCTTCAGAATTTGGTCTTAAGACAGACTTGTGCCCCTATTGACCTTTCGATGCGCACTTTCCCCCGGCTCTGGGCAATACCAATGTGCAACGCTCCCTGAATCTCCCTCCAACGCAGAGCTGGATGGATTTGATGACAACACGGGCGTGGTGGTCTTTGCTGCGTCCAACAGGCCGCAATCTCTGGACTCTGCCCTGACCAGACCAGGGCGGTTTGATCGCATCATCACACTGCCCTATCCCAATCTGGAGGTGAGAAAACGGGCGAATGGAGGGCGGGGAGGCTGAATCGAGGAATTGAGTGAGGCAGAATTGCAAGGACCCTGTTCTGGCTAAAGCTGGTGCGCCGGCAAAGCCAAGGACTCGGTGGTACAGCAGCAAACCTTCCCGGCTTTTTGGTCCCTGTGTGGGCAGCATTGAACTCAACCCACCATCCAACACCTGAGCATACGCGCAGGGACGCATCCAGGTGCTCAAGGTGCATGCTCGCGGCAAGCGCGTGGCCCAGAACCTGGACTACCACAAGATCTCACGCGCCACCGCCGGCTTCTCAGGAGCCCAGATCATGAACTTGATGAACAATGCTGGTGGGATGGGGGAGGTGGTGAGGGTGTTCAGGGTGGGTATGGGATTAATGCCAGACCCACCTTTGCTCTTGCGCGGTTTTGAGAAGGAATTGTCTGGGCGCCGTAGTTTCCGCTGTCTTGCCTGTGAGCCAGCACTGATCCGAGGGTTGAGCCTGCATGCGGCCCTAGACTTGATCTGCATGCGCATGTGTGTGCTGCCTCCGCTCACATGCCAACTGTGCCTCTCCTGCAGCAATCGTGGCTGCGCGGCAGGGGCGCCTGGAAATCTCAGATGCCGAGGTCTTCGAGGCCTTGGAGAGGATCACGCTTGAAGAGGTGTGTCTGAAGTGGCCTATACCCTGAATCAGTGCATCTTTCACAAGGAGCAAGGACCTGGTACTGGGTCCATGGCGCAGCATCATGGAATGCCAACGCACATGTTCCTGACCTTGGTCACATCCCCGCACCACATCCCCTTCCCACAGTTGGGGGACAGTGGAGTGGAGTACGATCTCACGGAGATCCCTCAGTCTGTGCGATCCAGCATCGCCGTTTACGAGGCCGCTCGCGCCCTCGTGGGCTACATCACTCCCGACTTTGATGAAGTGCAGCGGGTATGTGTTGAGGGAGACCTCTAGCTTGTTTGAATCGGAGGAGTTGGGTGGCATCTGTGCGTGAGAAGCTGCCATGCCTTGGAGAGGGGTGCTTGGGCCAGGCACCACTAATCAGCTGCACCTCACCCTCCTATCATGTCAAGGAGTCCCATGGATGTCCAAGTGTGCAGCCCGGGCTGATACGCAGCCTGCTCTGACAACACAATGCGAATCCTTTCTCGCCCTGCACAGGTATCGGTGTGCCCCAATGGCACAGCGACGGGCTCCACCTACTTCCTTCCCCTGGAGGAGCAACTGGAGACCAGGATCATCGAGAGGGGATATCTGGAATCTAAAATGGTAGGGTCTTGGGTGCGTGTGCGCTGGGTTGTCCCTGACGTGCTTGAGGGCTGTTGGCCACACTGAAGTGAACGCCTGCATCTCGTGGACTCCAAGTCCGCGGCATTCTCTCGGCCAGGCTGGGGGGTGCGGACTCCTGCTCGGCATCGAATCAGCACCGGCTCGCACCCCGTCATCCTCAATGCCCCCCCCCCCCCTTCCACCTCAGGTGGTGGCACTGGCGGGTCGGTGTGCGGAGATGCTGGTCCTGGGGGAGGCCAACTACACCTCGTCTGCTGGCGAAGACCTGACCCTGGTATGCGACTTGCGTGTGTCGCGGATTCGTGGGCTTTACCAGTTTTTAACACTGCTTTTGTGGACCCTGCCTTTTTGGCTGGCTGACGGCGTCATCATGGTCTGTTTGCACTGCAGAACACCGCCGTTCACTGTGTGAGCTGGCATGTCCTGATTCCCATCAGCCATGCCTCCCCATGCATCCCATCCCCCCCTGCAGGCCAACTACATCGCGCGTGAGATGGTCTACCACTCCGGCTTTGGCGCCCGCATGGGCCCAGTGGCTCTGCAGGACGACGATGAGAACTTCCTGATGCGCGAGAAGTAGGGCGGGGGAGAGGGGGGAAGGTGCTGGGTGCAGTGCGGGAATGGTGATTTTGTGTGCAGGGGTCGCCATGCTGGGTCCAGACGACGTGCCGCTGAGGGAAGGGGCTCTGAGTCATCAAAGCTCATCCCATGCCCCCCTTTCCACCCTGTCCAGGTCGGAGCCGGTGTCCAACATCTCCACGGAGCTGTCCCTGGTGGCCTATCAGGACGTGAAGGACATCCTGGCCGCAGCCGAGGCCAAGGCCTACTATGGCATCGTCAAGAACTACGCGGCCTTCGAGGCCCTGGTCCAGAATCTGACCGTGCGCGAGACGCTGACCGGGACGGAGATCAGCGACATCCTGGACAAATTCCGTGAGTGATTCAGCGGGGGGCCGAGGATGGTTGTGGGGGATTGGGCGTGAAGGGCAGCGTGCCCGGGGGTCAGTGTGGGTGTGTACCGCGTGCAGAGGCTGGGCCGCCGTTCGATGCGGACCGGCTCCCTCAGCGACCCCTTGCTCAAGTCCTTCATCGTGTCGGCATGCTCGGACACCGGTGTCTGCCCCCACTCAGCCAGAAACTCCATGTCCCTGTACACCCGCAGCGCTGGAGCGGTACCCTCGGTCCACCCTGTCGGGCTTCTACTGGGAGGAGGATGGGAGCGTGGGCTACCCGGGCAAGCCAAAGGTTGGCTTGAGTTGGTGCTGGCTGGGGCCGGGTCTCAGGCTGGTTACTGTGTCTTGCAAGGGGCGTGTGTATCTCCCCCCCGACCCAACACACACCCTCCCTTACTTCCTCATCCTCGCCCTCCCAACCCCAAGACGCACGAGGGGCGGCTGGTGAAGGTGGGCGTCACCCGTAACGGCGTGGAGATCGGCGCAGACACGGGCAACGGCGCCGCGCCCGCCAACGGCGCGGAGGGCACTAACGGCAGCGGCAAGGGCAAGGGCAAGGAGCGGTACGTGCCCGAGTGGTGGGCGCCCGGCAACCCGTACGCCGTGCGCAGCAACATGGGCCGGCTGCTCCTCCGCGAAGGGATGTAGGGGGGTGGATCTGGGTTATCGTGGCCACCCCTGGTCAACACATCTTCCGTCGAGACACGGCCCTGTGCTCAAGTCTTTGAGCACCTGCCAGGCCCTGAGGCGGCATCTGGTGAGCAGGCGTGTGCGCATCTTACCCCTTTCCATGCACGTGCCTGGTCCCTCCCCCCTCTGGATTCGTTGTGCTGTACAGCCCGCAGCAAGGCAACATCAGGGGTCAATGGCGGGGCTGTTGTCATGTGGTGGTGACACAGGGGGCGTGCTCCCGCACAACCGATCGCTGCACACTTGGCTCGGCACAGTTCGCCGGGCGATGGAATATCATCTGGGGGCCGGCCCGAGAGCGCCCCCCTCCAGGCCCAGGCCCCCCCACTTCCTCTACACCACACCGCTGGTGGCGCCACGCACGCCACGCCGAGCGCTCAGTCCTCCTGCTTGGGCGCAGTGAGCCAGGACATGCGGTCCACGCCTCGCAGCTGCATGCCCAGTCCCTCCTTGTAGATGTGGGCCGCCAGCACGTCCTGGCCCGGGAAATCGGCGGCCTTGGCCGCCTCGATGGCCGCGTCCACCTCCTTCTTGGCCTCCTTCTCCAGCGCCTTCAGCTCGGCCACCTCCGCCAGCCCGGCGTCCAGCAGCAGCTTGCGCACGTGCTCGATGGGGTCGCGGTGCTGGCGGATGTTGCTCACCTCGTCACGCGTGCGGTAGGTGCTGCCGGGGTCCGACATGGAGTGCCCATGGTAGCGGTACGTATCCATCTCCAGCACGATGGGCCCCTCTGCCAGCGCGTGCTGCTTGGCAAAGGCCACGGCGGCGCGCACGGCCAGCACGTCCATGCCATCCACCTTCAGGCCCGGCATGTAGTCGCCGCGGGAGAAATAGGCGGGGGACTTGGCGCTGCGCCACTCCGCCGTGCCCATGCCGTAGTGGTTGTTCTCGCAGACGAAGATCGCGGGCAAGTTCCACAGGCTGGCCATGTTGAAGGCCTCGAAGATCTGGCCCTGGTTGGCTGCGCCGTCGCCGTAGATGGCCACGCCCACCGACCCGTCGTCCAGGTACTGGTGACCCAGCGCCAGGCCCGCGCCCAGGGGGACCTGCGCGCCCACGATCCCCTGCCCGCCGTAGAAGTTGTGCTCGCGCTTGTACATGTGCATGGACCCGCCCTTGCCCTGGTTGGGTGGAGGGGGGTGGACAGGGGCTGGGTGTGGTTGGGGTCTGAAAGGGCGACAGCAATGTGCATCGAGAGGTGTGGGGCCCGGAGCCATGTGCACGAGGCCGACACAGAGCCGCCGCACCCTCCTGCGACCCCTGCAGCCCAACCTCCCCGCCAGCCCTGCACCCAGCCGTCCACACATCTCCCCGCTACCCTCCTCCGCCTCTCACCATGGAGGCGCCCGTGCGCCGGCCCATCAGCTCGGCAATCACCTCGGCGACCGTGCCCCCGCGGCCGACGTGGGTGGCGTGGTCGCGGTAGCTGGTGATGATGGAGTCCTTGTAGGTCAGCGCTGCCTCCATGCCCACCGAGATGGCCTCCTGGCCGTCGTACAGGTGGCAAAACCCGCGAATCTGCTTGGCCTGTGAACGAGGGGAGCCATGGGTGGTGGGGGTGGGGAATGGAGCTGCAGAGTGCGCGAAGGCAGAGGTGGGGAAGCCCGTGTCCTTGCAACGGCGTGTGAAATGCACTCATCCACCACGTTAAACAGCCCGGAACGGTTTCAATGCCTAAACCCAATGCAGAGACCGCGCAGCAGCCTGTGACCCCCCTAGGCCAGGCACCTTGTACAGCATGTCGGCGCTGATCTCCATGCGCCGGATGAGGTACATCTCGCGGAAGTACTTGATGAGCTCATCCTTGGTGGCGGTGACGGTGGTGCTGGGGGGCTCCACCTTGTGGGCAGTAAAGGGGTTCACCTGCGGCACATGGACACACAAGGGTTCTCAAGCCTGGGGTGACGCGAGTATGCTGGCGATAGGCATGCGGAGCGTGACCAGGCCATTCTTCCGTTGATAATTTGGGCCTTACAGGCCTTCAAGGGGAGTGCAGGCCACAAACGCCACCCACGAGCAGCCAGGGCGCGGCCGGTGACCCACCTCCACGCTCAGGGTATCGCCATCGACTTTGGCAGCGAAAGCCCGTCCTAGGATATCGCGAGGTGCCCCTGAGCTCAGCCGAGCGCGCACAGCGCTGGAGCTGGCCTTTGAGAGGGCTCCCAGCATCCCGGGGACTGTAAATAGGGCAGGGTCTGCACCAGCGCGTATCGCTCTGCAACCACGCACGAATGCAACTCAAGGCCTGAGGAATGTATGGCACAGATGTGTACAAGTACTCCAAGACCTCCGAGTGTGGCTCTGGGTTTGGGCTTGCATGCAGTGGGGTTTGCGCCTGCATCACACGGGATGGCTCCCGCCAAAAGCTGCACATGATCTGCCCCGCACGTCCCCTCCATGATATCGGGGTTCGGGTTCCCTGCCTTGACTCCACTCCCCAGCCAGAAACTGGAGCACCGCCCTCTGAACCGACATCTGCGACGCGATGTCCCTGGCCACTGCAACCATGTCGACCACCGGGTCCTTGCAGGCACCCCACGCCAGGTCCTGCTCCTGGCTCAAGACCTCCGCCCGGATCCACCACTCCGCCGCTTTCCGTCAAGCCGTGCATGCCTCTCGCCCCAGGCCCAGCCTTCGCGTGTTCGCCAGCGAGGCCGTGGCTGCGCAAGGTGGGCGCATCCTCAAGGATTCCGTGTCCTTTTCCCACTCCCCGATGCGCATGGCCATGCCCTGTGCTAGGGGGCCCGGGTGGGCCCGGGCCACCCACGACGTATGCACACACCGTTTTGCCCCTTCGACCAGGTGCAGGGGTGGTAAATGACGAGACGTGGGAGGAGCTGGTGCTGAAGTCGCCCGTTCCCGTGCTGGTAGACTTCTGGGCCCCATGGTGCGGACCCTGCCGCATGATCGCCCCCCTGGTGGACGAGCTGGCGGAGGAGTACGGGGACAGGTTAAGGACACTTAAGCTGAACACGGATGAGAGCCCCACCGTGGCCACCGACTATGGCATCCGCAGCATCCCCACCGTCATGATCTTCAAGGATGGTGAGGACCCTGGGTGGGGGTGCAGCAGCTTGGGCATGGGCTCCGGTCGGGTTGGTCTTTGGCACTCAGAGCTGACTCTTCTCCACCCTCTTCCATCCCGCCACAGGCACCAAGCTGGATGCCGTGATTGGAGCCGTGCCCAAGGCGACGCTCAAGCAAGCCATCGACAAGTACCTCGAATAAGCTTGAGGGGGTAGAACACCCTGCCGCAATTGGTCGGCCAGCTACCGTGCCACTCTAAGCGCAGGTCAAAGGATCTTTGTGTCCGAAATGAGACAGACTTTCATGTACACGTTGTAAGGCGTACTCTAAGGACAAGGGGGAGGTACTGGGGAACGATGACAGTGCAGATGGCAAGGGTTGGGGCCAGCAATGTCTATTTTGGCAGGGGCCACTCATCTTCTGGCCATCGGTTGATTGCATCCCCCAAGATCATGCCGCCTGGTCGGTGCTGCGCCCTCGGGGACGATGGGCCTTGGTGCTGGGCCCCTCCTCGCGCGCCTGGGAGACAAACACGCCCACCATGATGACGATGAGGGCCGCCACCAGCGTCGCAAAGGACAGTGCGCCTGGCCTCCGCACCTGGGCCCAGCCGAAGACGCCGTGGTGGCCCAGCAGCATGATGTCATTCAGCCCATCGAAGTTCCAGTCGGCCACGAGCAGGGGCTGCGCCGGCACCGATGGCAGGACCATGCTGTCGAGCACCCGACCATCCATGTCCAGCACATAGCCATGAAGTGTGCCGGCTGTCATTTTTGAGGGGGCGAGGATGGGAAACTGAGAATGTTGAACAGGAGAAACTGTAACTGGCGGTGTCACTGTCGGCGGTGCATTGACACAGGTGTTGGCATAGATAGAAGGACAGGAGAATTGGAGCGCTGAGGCAGCGGCAGGGCTGTCTCACATGTGACTTAACCGCCCGGCACCCTGACCACGTATACCCCTTTTACACCAAAAACAATGCACGTGCAACACCCCCCCCAACCTGCAAGGATGGCGGTGGGGAGTCCATGCGTGTGCAGGGGCAGGGGTCGCAGCGTGGGCACTTCTCCTTCGTCCTCCTCGGGGTCAAAGGGGCCAATGCCCGTCCACGTCGCATCCACCGTCTCCTGTGGAAGGGAGTGGGTGGGTGGGGTGAGTGACGCATAGGTATGTCTGCCTACGCATGAGCAAAGGATTGCATGGCAGTGCATGCAAGGTGTGCCAGTCACTACTCTGCGGCCTGACGACTCAAAGCTCGTCAGCCCTGCCCAACACCAGCAATGAAGGGCACAGACTGCTCTGGGTCAGTACCAAATGTCCGCTCGTAGGCCCTGCTCAGTCTCTCGTCCCCTCCCTCGACAATGCCCCCCCCACCTCCCCACCTTCCACAGTAGGTCCCCCTCCGCATCCAGGGCTGTGACCTCGCCCTGGCTGTGCAGGTACACTGTCATGTGGCGCTGCCGGATCGGCTCCGGGTACTCGCCGTCGGGGCCGGGCAGGGGGAGGGCCATGGGCTGCGCCACCTCCACACGCCCCTGAGAGGCGCGGGCGAGGCGGGCGTGCGGCACGGCGTCGCAGATGGTGGCGTTGAAGAGCGGGGCGCGAGCCGGGATGCCGGTGCGGGCCACCGCGCTGCAGGGCCCCAGGTGCGTGTGGCCGGCGCTGGACTCGTCTTCGTCGACATCCTCCAGTGGATCGCCGCCTTGGTATGGTTGATGTGGGGGAGGTGAACACAGGGTGGAGTAGGGTCGCGTGTGATCCTTGTCAGGGGATCTCGGGTGGAGCGTCGCACAAGGGGCTGGCTGAAGGGCATGCCTACCAAAACTCCCCACAAAACATCGCTAAACATCTATTGCCACACAGTACACCTCCCCACCTCGTGCCACGATGTGGTCTGGCACCCCGTCGCCGTTCACGTCGATGTGCAGCCCGGGGGAGGGCAGGTGCAGGCGGCACACCACGCGGCCAGAGAAGAGGTGGACCACCTCGATGCCCTCCCCTGGGGATGGGGAGTCAGGGGATGCGTCGTCAGCGATCCTAGAAGGGCACCGGGCATGGCAGCGGCACACTGTGGGCCCTGGTGGTCAGGGCCGACAGAGGCATCACGCTTTGTCCTCGGTACTACTCACTGAGGTGGGCGACGAGAACATTGGGGGACACCTCCTCCCCAGCCTTCCTCCCACGCAGGAGCTGCAGGGGGGGGCGTGGGAGAGCGCACCGCTCGGTGTTCCACAGGTGCTTGGATCGCGAGGCCCGCCACACCGAAGACACGAAACACGACGGCTGGCACAGTGGCTCCTGTGCGACCCTCGCCAGCTCCCCTGACCCCGCCCAACTCACCCCGGCCAGGGCGTTGGGCGGCGACCCACCCAGCTTGAGGCCGGTCCGCTGGGCCGGGAAGCTTCCGGCCCCGCCGTCCTCGCGGGCGAGGCGCGCCAGGTCAGCCTTCTGCTCCCCCTTCCCCCGCTTCTGCCTCTGGAAGTGGGCCAGGTGCAGCGCCGTGTCCCAGCTGCCCTGCCAGCTGTGTGGGAGGGCTTCCAGAACAGAGGTCCGGAAAGCGCGGCACGACTCCTCGCCATACTCTCGTGCCGCTGCCTGGCAAGGAGGTGAGCAAGGCGTGCACTTCGACATGGCACGACCAATGGATAACACGTGACCTGCCCAATCCATTGTAGCAAGATGGCAGGGCGCAACCAAAACAGGGCCCACAGAGCTGTCTGCTGCTGGAACGGAGCACCCGGCCCACCTGCTCTGCCGTGACATGGAAGGAGAACCTGTCGGACAGTCCGTCCTGCAGGGCACCCAGATCTCGCTTGAAGTCCGACGCCTGGTGTGAGCATGGGGACAGGCGTCCTCAGCATGAATGGCAGCACAAAAGGTCATCACTCGCATTTGCTCACCTTGCAACATCCAGGCTCATGCATCATAAGGGCATCACCGAAACAATCCCCTTGCCCGGTCGCCCGCCGCCCGATTCCGACCTCATGCTTCCATCTGAGCTCGCCCTTGCCACCCTCAAAAGCAAAGTAGTTGAACTGGCGCGGCGCAGCACTCAGATTCTGCGCGTTGAGGAGAGTACAGAGGTGTCAGCTGAGGAGGGTGTATTCCGAACTCAGCACATAATGCATCCATGCCTGAAGTGCTTGCATCCAGACACCACACACCCACGTACGTGGAGAACGTCCTTGCTGCCATCCTCGGAAGATGCGGCGCCGTCCTTTCCAAACCCGCGATTGATGCGTTCCAGCCCCTCCCCGAGCAATGCCTCCTCCAGTGCGCCATCTAGATGGATTGTTTCGTAAGGGGCAACAGTCGTCAAAGAACCGAGTGGGCGGTATCACCTCGCTCCCTGTCAGTTGCAACCCGCCCTGCACCCAAATACCACCGCTGGACTCCCCCAGCCCCTTGCCGCGGCCCTCGGATCCCAGCACCAGCCCCAACTGATCCAGCAAAGGGTCCCACCACCCCTCCTACCTCGGAGCTTGCGCCCCGCAGCAGCGGCATGGGTGACGCCCGCCCCCAGCACGACCAGGCCCCGGTCCCCCTTGGACACGGAGTGGTGGGAGACGTGCAGGGCCACCTCGCCGTGCGTGGCGCGCGCCGGGAAGCTGGGCGCCAGCCGCTGGCTCCACAGCGGGCGCAGGTTGTGGTCCAGGCAGTGCAGCGTGAGGCTGCTGGTCAGCAGGACCACCACCTGCTTGCGTGGGGCCCTCACCAACTCCTTGGGCTCGGGGGTCAGGTACCCCGTCGCAAGCGCCAGCAGCGGCATGTTGTTGTCGGGCTCGACCTCCGCCGCGGAGAGGACCTGGGAGGGGTGCAGGTGACACATGGTTGGGAGGAGCAGCGGAAGAGCGTACCCTCGGAGTGCCATGCTGGAATGGGCTAGGCACAAGCCGTCCGCCCCAGGGTCACACCCAGCCTGCCCCTCACCCGAACGCGTGCAAACCCATCCCCGGGCCGTGCTGGGGCGAGCAGCTGGACCTGGCCATTGGGAGCAGCCACGAGCACTTCAGGCTTGCCATCGCCATTGAGGTCCACCTTGAACAAAAACCCGGTATGGAGCGATTGAGAGGGGAGCATCAAGATGCTGAGCATCCAAGCTGCGAGTTGCTCTACGAAGCGATTGCTTGGGCGGACATCATCAGCAGAAGGCAGACACCTTTGCGAGTCCTCACCGCGAGAGGCTTGGGGGAGGGGTAGGGAGCAGCAGCAAACAGGTCTGATGCGTCCTCGAAGGTGTGGTACCTGGTGAAGATGGGACCGGGGGCTGAGGTTGGCTACCTGATATGCAGATCAGTATTCAAGAGGGAACCAGGCCCCTCCCGAGGACCCATCGCGCACCATGCTTTTTGGAAGTGGAAGGACCCCTCGCGCTGGAGGGAGAAGTACAGGGCACTCGCGGACAGCACCACAATGGCGAAATCCCGGCGATACATTGTCACCACAGTGCTACGCCTATTGGGTGCATGAGTACGATCATGCCTTCCCGGGCATCTCGCGAGAGAGGTGGCAGCTTCCTGAACCCCTACCTGTGTATCTTGCACCCCCTTGCTGGAATCTAAGGCACAGCTGGGTGGTGAGCGTCGAAGATGGCTTAGTAAGAGTACTGTATCGTGCCCTCGTCAGTCTTGAGCGTGATTGGGCCCCGGCGGGTCTGTCAAACAAGTGATCTGTACTCGTCCGTGTCCGGCTTCCCGCCTAGGACCGCAAGTGATCAGCGTCGAGTGCACAGCTCACAAGGGGCGACACACGCACCCGACACATTTTCATCCTGCTAGTAATGATACAAGCATAGATCAAAGTTAGAAATATGTCGAGCATGCGCCCAGTCAACGGTCATGCAGTTTGTGACGGCGGGACCTGCTCGTATGTGTCTGGACCTTCCAAGCCCACAAGCAAGGGCAGAGCCCCCTCTCGCCCCCCTGGAGCACCCGCTGGATCCTGGGAGGTATTGCCCTGGTGGCACTGTGAGTGAGAGGGCGCGACAAGACGGGCGATGTCACACAGCCCCAGAACCGAGATCGCAAGCGGCCCAGTAGCCAGGGTGAAGGTCCATACCAACATGGACCCTGCAATGCTTATTGGGCACGAGGCAGGCAGCACCCTGTGTCGCACCCTGTCAATGGCCACTCTCATTCTCCCTCGTTGCACCAGGCGCGTTTGTGGACCCTTACGAGCGCGTCAACTTCTGGAGCCACAGCGTGCCTGCGGTGGGCCTGGCCATCCTCTGCGCACTAGGCTTCCTTCATGGCTCCCCCTCGGTCACCGTGTACGCTGCCTGCGCAGCCACCACGCACGGCATGTCTGCCCTGACCCACGTCTTCCCAGAGAGCCGAACCCTGGTAGGCAGGAGTCTGGGTCATTCTGAGAAACAGGGGCAGGACAAGACTGGACGGCATCACGCATGCAGGCCGGTCCCTGGTCATGCTGCTTGGGTGGATGCGCATCAGCTCCTATGCTGACACTGCGTCCCTTGCCGGAGACAAAGTCGCTGCATGATGCTCCATCCAGCATTCTCGTCCCCCACCCCAAGCCCCATGCTCCATGCAGGAGAAGGCGGATCACATCGGGATCGTTGCCACCATTGTGGGGACCCCTGTGTCCGCCATGCTGGCGCACAGCGCGCATGGCATCAGCGAAATGCCGCTGGGCGTCTGGTTCATCTTGGCGGGGCTCTTTGCCTGTGCGTGGGCGCGCCCCTTCCCTCGCACCAGCGGATTCATCGGCCTGGGCACCGGCCTAGGTGGGAGAGGTGGCTTCTGGCAGGGCACACAAGGCGGGCTGCAACCCGGCAAATGTATTTTGAAGAGGGGCGGATGGATCAAGTGTGCAGTGTATCATGGGCGTGATGTTCCCTTGATCTCAAGCTTGCTTGGGGTATGAAGTGCAATTGCTCTCGTACCATGTAACCCTCGCCTGCCAAGCTGTCCCCGTACCCCCTGTCCCTGTGACCCAGTGTACTACTGCTGGGATGTGATCAACTTGAACCTAACCACTCAGATCCTGCTCTACATCTGCGGCGCGGTGCTCTTCCTGAGAAACTCAGGGCACTCCAGGTGTGTTGGGTTGGTGAGGTTGGCAGTGATTGCTGGGTGTCCTCGGAGGGGGTCTGACACTCTGTTGGGATCCCCCCTGGTGGCCTCTCAGGGAAGGGCGAGCCGGCCCCACATGGGCCTGGCCCTCGCGCTGCAACCTCCATCATGCATTGCCACGCTTCCTCCCCCTCGCATACAACTCATGTCCCGCCAGGTGGCCCGGCTTGTCGGATCACCACGGCTTGCACTACTGCGTCACCATCGCCGCATCCATGCACCTGGTCTACCTCTACAACGCCCTGCACCCCCAGCCCTGAGGCTTTGATTTTTCACAGTCACTCCTTGCCCTTTTGCCACTCCGCACTCCTTTCCTTTTGCCATTTCACGAATAAATTACCCGTGCGTGTGTGGGACGAGTCAGCCAGCAAAATGGAGCAAGAGGCCTGAGGGCAGAAGAGGTGGGGCTGGGACGCCCGACCACCCAGGAACACAAAGGTGGAACCGGCGAGAGTCTCTGCGGCTCGCTCAGTTGGTGGCGTGCCCGTTGCTGGACCGCGTCACGCGCTTGGCCACGCCATCGATCCGGTGCCCGTTGCTGGGCTGCAGCGTCGGCGCGTCTGGCTCCGCGCAGGACACCTCCACCTGCTTGGGCGCGACGCTGCCGTTTGCCTGCCGCCCGTCTTCCTGCGCGGGCAGGAGGGAGGTTTGGGGGGGTTGAGGCTTGATGCATGATGGCTGCTCGACGTGGCCATGCCTGCGACGGTGTACCAGTCATGCGTGTTGACCCAGGTGCGGGCACCAAGGCCCAACAGAGCCCAGACAATCCTGCAACACCTTGGGCGCGCTGGCCAGGGCAGCCAGCACGGCCATCGCCTCCCCCTCCCTGCCCACGATGTGCTGCCACGCGGCGTGGTCCTTGTCGTTGATGTTCCGCAGCGCACGCCACACCGCGGAGTTGCACTTGAACCCAGAGCCAAAAGCAATCTGTGGGAATGGCAGTGACCTGGATGAACACGGTGTGGCACACCAACCCTAGGCCATAGGGGCAACACGTGAGGCATTCCTACCAAGGAGATAAGGGAAGGAGACCCTCGGTACCCTATGCATGACCCTTTACCAGCATGCAAACATCGTTAACCACTCTCCTGTGCACCACACACATACCTGCCACACGACGTCGCCGCGCTTGACCCCGGTGACGGCCTCACAGAACCCAAAGCTGTACCAGACGGTGCTGCTGGAGGTGTTGCCATACCTGCGGGGCCAGAAGCACGTGAGCACCAGCCAGCGGTTGATGGTGGCAGCCCTGGTGACACCCGAGAGCACGGCTCCAGGCCCCCTTCAAGCGGAGAGTCCGGCCAGGCCACCAGCTCCGGCCTGTGAATTCTCACTCACCAGTACAGGGTGTTGGCGCTGGGTGCCATCTGCGTCGGGCTGAGCCCCAGCTGCGCGCTCAGCCCCTCCACGACGCCCCTCCCGCCTGCATGGGTGGGTCAGCGAGCGGCAGTGGGCGGCAGCATGAGCCTTGCAGCAGCGTGCCAGGATGGCAGGGCGACGGGGCAGGCCCACGCCTCTGTGTATCACACCACATCGGCCCTTCCTTTCACCCAGGCCTGCGCCCCTCCCGGGGTCTCACCGGCGTGGAGGCAGAAGTGATCGAAGGCCCGCGTGAAGTCTGGGACATAGGGCGCGACGGTGCCCGGCTGGCAGACCTGCCTGGCCACCCAGTTGAACGCAAACATCAGCTTCTCGCTCCATGGCAGCACCAGGGGCCCTGTCCAGGTGAGGCATCGGGAGGGTCGAAGCGGTGCAGGGTGACTGCAGACAGTTGGGTGTGCCGTGACGCCGTGCCAAGGACGCAGCGGGGGTTGGGAATGCTTGCCGTACCTGGCCGTGCAGCCGCTCACCTGAGGAGGATCACATGCCACCCTCACATTTCCAACCCCAATCGCCAGGGCCCAGCCATGCCTGGGCCCTGGCCCCTGATCCTTGTCTGAGCACGCCCAGTGCCCTGCGCACCCCCTCCCCCAAGACACGTCGCGTGGCTCCCACCGGTCGGGCCCTGGCCCAGCCGGGTCCCACTCCCAACCCCCTCACCCAGGCGCGTGAGGTTGGCGGTCATGGCGCGCGCGGCCACCTTGACGATGTCCTTGGACAGGGCCACGCCCATGCTCCCCGCGGCGTCGGGCGCCTGGAAAATGCAGCGGTAGGCGGCGTCGTCGGCGCCCAGGTGCACGCGCACCAGGCGCTCCAGCCTGTACTTGCAGCGCCGCCGCTCGGAGGCGCTGCTGGTGAGCAGCACGGCCGCGGCGCCCAGGCGGAAGATGGTGTTGGGGATGAGCATGGAGCGATCGCGGCCGCGGTACCAGTTCTGGGTGATGTTCTCCGTGGACACCACCAGGGCGTAGCCCCCGCGACCCCGCTCCTGGGATGGTGGGTATGGGATGGGAAGGGGGTGGGGGGTGGGGGGATGGACGGTCACCAGGACGCGAAAGCATGGCGCGCCGCCCGACGAGCAGAGGCGGACTGCCGGCGTCCGACGGGGCGGGCGCGCTCGCGACCGGGGGGCGCGGCGCAGGCAATTGCCGTGAACGATGGAGGCGCCACGCAGGCCTTGGGCCGTCTGAGTCCATGGTTCGTCGCTGCTGCGAGGATGTCAACCATCAGGGTGGGCATGCAACTCCCCCCTTTCCTCCCCGCACCAGAACCCTGAGCCTACTTTGAGCAGCTTGCTGGCCAGGCCGACGGCCAGGACCCCCGCCGAGCACCCCATGCCCGCCAGGTTGTAGGAGTCGACGTCGCTGCGCATGCCCAGGCTGTTGATGACCATGGCGGCCAGGGAGGGCGTGGGGTTGAACAGAGAGCAGTTGGTCACCAGCACATCCACCTGGCGGGCAGTGATGCCTGGAGAGGGTGTGGAGAGGGGGGGACTGAAGGGGATGCCAAGGAAGCTTTTCCGCTGGCATTCTTCATTGGGAAGTGAAGGTATGCCCTGCTGCGGCTGGACCTCCTGCGGCATGACGTCAGCTGCGCATTCTCATACCTGTCTTCTTCAGCAGCTGCTCCACGGACGAGCACATGACCAGGCTGGCCTCCTCACGGGCACTGGCCATGCTAACCTCCGGCGGGCTGGCTACGGGGCACAGGTGCGGAGCGGGCAGTGATCGATGGACGGGAATTCACATTCCGGGTGTTGGTGAGGCATGGCTGCGCATGCCAGCCGCCCAGGTTCCACCTGGCCGCACTCCCTTGCGATTCGCCTAGGGGAATAAACAAGCGCAAAGCCACAGAGGTAACCTCCCGCTTCTGCAGACCAGTGCATGCCGGGGGCAGTCGCTGCCGGTCTCACCATGCAGGCCGGGGGGGAAGAAGGTCTCCTGGCTCAGGGCAGACTTGTTCAGGATGCGGCGTTGGAAGTCCAGGGCCTCAACGTCGAAGAACTGCACAGCAGGGATGGGCGACGGGCTGGGTGGGAGCAAGGGGGCTGGAGGCTTGAGATTATGAAGCATGGCCTCGTGCCCCAAGCGCTGCGCCACCCAGGCGTATGCCGGGTGTCAATGCACGAATCGATCCGACTCGTACCCTGAACCCACATGAACTTGCCCTAATTTGACCCCCTGCTGGTCAAACACATCACAAGTCCCACCCACATCGTACGAGTCACCGCGCCTCACAACGACTCACCCCTGAGTCGACAGAGCCCTGCATGAAGCGGTCATAAGTGACCTTGAGCTCGTCGGGGGGACGGTAGCACACAAAATCCAGCAGGTAGATGCTCCGAGGCCGCAGTGCGAGCAGGAGGAGGCCTCCCAACACTAGAACTGCTGCAAAAGCCGCCAGCCATGGGGTGTGGCATTCTTGAGGGAGCCAGGGTCGAACTATGGGCCCAGCCTCTCCCCGCAAGAAGAGTGCATACCCCTTGACCTGCAACATTGTGTGTGGCGGGGGAGTGTGGCACATGCAATACTGGCTGAGCGGGGGTCTGGACTCCAATTAGTTTGCTCAGATTGCATATCTTTACCTACCAGCCAATTCACGACCTCTTACCGCGAAATTTCCACAGATTAGACCAGCGGCCACTACAGCTGCAACCTGCGATTTGCTAATGGCTTGGGCCGCGGCAGCGCCGACCCACTTAGGGGGTAACTCTGCAGAGGATGATTCGTGGCTATGAAGATATTTTTATCGGGTTCTTGAGACAATGCAGCAGCTGGGGTTTGGCCAGAGGTACATACCTCGTTGACGCCCTTGTGGGAGGGACATCCCTCCGGGTTGCGCAGGAGCCAACCCCTCTGCTCGTCTGTCGAGGACACAGCAATTAAGGCAATGGTAATTAAGGTTCGAATGTCCGTCTCCAGATGTCAGCTGGATTCCTAGAAGGGTACGGCACAGACCCAGCTTTTTGGATTCGAAAGGTGCCTCGGCATGGCGCTGACGTGGGGGGCGCCGAGATCCGGCAGGGGTGGGGACACCCCTCCCCGAAAGCTGCCAATCACTGGTTGAGTCGCAACACAAAAGTCCGAATACATACTCACTCCCAGACGGTTTTTAACCGATCCATCATCACGCGACAGCCGATCGGCTCACCGCCATGAATGGTGCCGGGGAGGGAGGGCCCTCTCAGCCCCTGTCCAACGATGACTTCCGTCGCATGCTGGCGACCCCTCGCCCGGACTCCCAGCCCCGTCAGAAACAGGGAGGAGCTAAGAAGAAGGGTCGGCCGCACAAGGGCCCCAGTCAGAAGCCGGTGGACGATGCAGAGGACGCAGCTGCAGGGCCTGGGTACAGGTAGTACTGGCGTTCGGCTCCGGTCCAGGCACCTTCATGGCACTCGGTGCAATTACTATCGTTTGGTCCTAAAGATCCTGATAAAAATCTCCTTCCCTGGTGGCACTTGCAGGGATAGGGCCCTGGAGCGTAGGCAGGGGCTCGGACCTGAGCTGACGGGGGTGCCGCAGGACCTCGTCAGCCTCATCAACAACGACGGGGTGGGATGCGTCTGTTTTGAGGGCCTGGTCTGTAGCAGAGGAGTGCCCTTGCAGGTCGCCCCAGTGTCTGGGGGATTCACGCCCGGCCTTGTCAGCGCAGTTGCAGCCCTGGGGTGCCATCACCCGTCAGTCCCAGCCTCCAGACCCTCCTCTCTGACCCCTTCTCCCTCCCCTGGGCCAGGAGACCGCCCTGCACGGTGTGAGCTACGAGGAAAGCAAATACCTCGGGGGCGACGTGGCCCACACACACCTGGTGAAGGGGCTGGACTTTGCGCTCCTGCAGAAGGTGCGGGCCGAGGAGCAGCGCGAGGCCGAGGAGGAGGAGGACAGCGACCGGGAGGACAGCGGCGACGAGGCCCCCGGACCCCAACAGGCTGCTGCAGGGCGGCGGGCGGCGCCCTTTGTGCCGCGCCACATCGCCCCGCCGGCCTCGGCCCCAAAGGCCAGGACCGCGATGGCGGCTGCCCTGCATGAGTACCTCTTCACCCCCAAGCCCAAAGCGCTGGGAATCAGTGAGTGAGGGGGGGGGGGGGTCGTCATCGGAGGGGGGCGATCAATGTGTGCAACCATGAAGTTGCTGTCATGGCAGAGGGTGTGACTCAGCTTGGTGAGGACTGTTCACACACCAGACCACTTAATATCATTTTGTGATGCCTTTCCCGGCCAGCTGCCCGCAAAGCACATCACCATGTGGTGTCCCGCCTTCTGCTCCTCTGCAGCCGCGGCCGAGATGTTCCAGCCCCGCCGCACCTCCTTCCTGTATGAGGCGGAGGGGGGCGGGCTGGAGAACCTGCCCACCACTCTGCATCGCGCCAAGGAAGACTGCCCCAAAGTGAGACATGGGGTGATGATGGGGACGATGTCTGCCTGGGATGCCGGAGTGAAGGATAGACAGCGACTGGACGCTGCTGGTCTTGGTGGAGCAGAGGGAGCGCTGGAGGCAGGTGCACCCCTTCACATAAGCACACCTAGGCCCATGAAAACCCTGCCCACTCATGCATCAGGTGAAGGAGACGCTGCAGGGCGACCTGGACGCACGCATCCTCGAGCGGCTGGTGAAGATCATGGCCTACATGTCGGCCGCGAGTGGCGCAGCAGCCGTGAAGAAGAAAGTCAAGAAGAAGCAGCACCTACAGGGCATCGTTTTGCCAGGCGGCGTGGCTCTGGCCGGGTCCCTTCGTCCTGACAGGGATGCTGCGGCGCTCAAAGACGGTGCCGGCCCTGACGCAGAGGGCGCTGGGCAGCCAGGTGTGTCTGCTATTTGGAAATCGCACAGCCTCTTTGCAACGAGGAATGGGGCTGTGCCTGGTGGCATGCAGGCCAGAGTGATCTTGTTGAAGCTCTCAGCACTGCTTCTGCACGGATCTCAGTGTTGGCCGTTCGGCTCGCTGATCACCGCATGAGCAGCTGTGGCGTGAAGGTGTGGCCGTTTCTTCAGCATGCCCCTGCCCGCTTGCGCTGCAGGATCACCAAGCCATCGCCCAGCCCCCGTGGATGATGACGAGAACATCTTTGACGACGATGGCGAGGAGTACAAGCCGGAGAGGAGGGCGCCTGGCGCAGCACCAGTACCCCCGTTGCCAGGACCGGCGGGCAGGGGAGCCTACTTTGGCGGCGCAGAGGAGGGCCAATTGATCAGTCCCACACAAGGTGGGCAGGGGGGGCTCCAAATTGGAGTGCACATGCCCTATGAGCTGCTTATGCAATGTTGATGGCAGGCGGAATCTTGCCGGAATCTAGCCTAGTTGTGCTTGGACGTGGCAGAGGAAATAGCCCCCTTAACTCGTTTGGGGTGGTACGGAGCCCATCGAGCCTGAGTGGATCACGGACTGCGTGAACTATTGCCCCCACATTGTCAATCCTGATGCAGGTGTGGGTCTGGCAGGTCCTTCTGGAGCAACAGAGTTTGCCCCACCACCCCCGCCTCTACAGCCTCTCGGGCACGAGGAGGAGGAGGAGGAAGGCGCCTACCCGGACACATCTGCTCAGTACCCGGACACATCCGCTCAGTACCCGGACACATCCGCTCAGTACCCGGACACGTCTGCGCAGTACCCAGATACGTCTGCGCAATATCCAGACACATCTGCGCAGTATCCAGACACGTCCGCGCAATATCCAGACACATCCGCGCAATATCCTGTGGCACAGACGAGTGCACCGGCAGAGACTGGCGTTGCTTTCTATCTAGAGGTATGAACACCGGGTGTTATACCACTTGTTGGAGCGACAGCTCATCCAGGGTGTGGCGAATATTGACTTGAGATTCTGCAACCTCTGGGATCATGTGCTGGACATCCATTGGGTCTTCAAGCTCAGTGAGCCCTGAATACCACCTGCAGGACGATAAAGCTTCTGGTCAGATGGCTGCAGAGGACAAGCCTCCAGCTAAGAAGCCCCAGAAGTTGGTCCTGCAGGACGCAGGTGCGTTGGAGCGTGTGTGTGCTGATTGGTGGATCAAAGCTTGAGGCACCTTCCTCTGTGTGGTGGGGCACGCAGCCTAAATGATGTTGACCACCGGAACGGTCCTTCATGCAGTGATGCAGCCCTCTAGTGCCACGACAACTCACCGCAGCATCCCCGCTCCCATGCCTGCTTCGTTGCGCAGATGATGGGTACGCAGAGTGCTACCCCAACTACTTTGATGCTGCTGGGACTGTGGTGGACAGCGAGGGAGAGGACGAGAAGGCCGGGGTGCGTCCCCGGTGGGGGTGGCCTCGGCGCATGTGGCACCGGCCTCGCGCATGATGCAGGATGTGCTGACGGTTGGGAGCGGATCGTGTGTGCCTGTGTTTGAAATTAGGAAGCGCAGAGCCTTCGCCTCCTGTTCACCCCAGCATCACGACCCCATCTGTGCAGGAGGTCATCCTCAGCCGGCTAGACTTTGACTCACAGGCCGAGTGGGAGGCTTACAGCGCAAGTCTCAAGCCCCAGGTAGCCGGCAAAGGCGCCAACCCCCGCAAGGCACAGGTGAAATGGGCGTCCCTGCATGCCCGGGCATGGACACGAGTGCATGGGGAGCTCGCCAGGGTGTGCTGGTTGCGCTGTAGGGACCCACCCACCCCTTGGACGAGGGGCCTTGCCGACGGGCAGTGCTGACCTTCCCTCTCGATCGCACAGCGGGAGCGCAACAAGGAGGCCATCAAAAACAAGAACAAGATGGACGCCCAGCTGGGTCAGATTCGCGATCTGATGGAAAAGAAGGGACAGAGTCATGACAAAGCTTTTGAGAAGGGGGGAGACCGCGCTTCCACCAAGCCATCAACTCTGGGGGGACCTACTGTTCCTCAGAAGAAACGCCGCATTTAGTGCCGTACCCAGGCAGCTTGTGACGGGTCGATTTGATCACTGGGGGAGCAGGGTTTCAGTCGGGTTGCAAGCGCGCCCATGCCTTGGCGACAACCCGCGCACGAGATCATGCGAGCACTGAGGAGGACGAGCTGCCACCTCTCCCTGCACATCGGGGATGGGAATAAAGAGATAATTTATTATACACTTTGCATAATTGGGGCATAGCGTCAGCAGGATCATTTTCCCGACGTCCCAGTCAAGGAGTTGCCGGCCCCTTGGGTAATCATATGTCAGCATGTAAATTGATCGGGTACTATCGCTTCGTGTCATTCGCATCATGTTAGCCCGATCAGGAGCGCCTTCTCAAGCAGGCACAGAATCCACTGGTGTGCAGGCTGAGTCTTGTAGGTGGGAGCAGTCTTCCACAACCTCCTGCTCTCGACACAAATCATGAGAGATCTCGACATGCATGCAATCTTGCAGGCTGCAAATTTCCATCCATCCTCGAGATCGTGTTGGAAACGGGCTCTAGCCTGCGCGCCGCGCTAGGGACGGGCAAGGGAGGCTTAGGGGTTGACTCCTACTTCATTCAGGTGTGGCCCCCTCCCAGGGATGGAACCCCCTGTGTTGGTGTGATGCTTGCTGAACAGACAGCCAGGGAATTCTGTGGAGAACATAGTGATTTGGTGCACCGAGCCAGTGACATTCATCGTGCGGCTCCTTCCCTTGCCCAGCCAATTCACCATCTCAAGCCCACAGATACTGGCCTTCCTGAACCTGCTTTCTGCCCTGGATGGTCAGGCTGCGGTGTCGGTCCGCTCCGTGAGCGACCATGGCAGGTGAGCAAAGGCGATGCACGGCCAAGATCCCGACATGTGCCCGGCTGCTTGTCATAGTGTTGGGGAGGTGCCCAGGTGGACTGTCACGGCGCTTGCTGCTTGGATATCCCCCCCTCACCAATCCCTCCCCTCCGCCACCTGCCCCGCCCCAGCACGCTGCTGTACGAGTCCTGGAAAGCGGGCACGGCGCAGGGCGCCGCCGCGGCGGTTCACGCCGCGCTCCTGGCCCTGGCCGAGCGGGAGGAGGGCGCGGATGCAGCCAGGCCCACGCGGCGTGTGCTGCAGCTGTCGGCCGCCCTCTCCCACGTCCTGTGCCACGTCAACCGCCTGCGGCGCGGCGGCGACACGCCCGCCCGCGTGCTCTGCGTCCTGGCCTCCTCCGAGCCATCCACGCAGTACATTCCCCTGATGAACGCCGTCTTTGCGGCCCAGGTGAGGCGGGGATGGCGGGGCTGTCTGTGGAGAGGACCCCTGGCGCGGCAGCCGGGAGGGGCAGGGCACGGGAACCGCGTGCTTCTTCTCTGCTCAGGCGTACGAGTGGCGTCGCCGAGAGCTGCACCGATTCCCCAATCCTTCCCTTATCCCCACCCTTCCCTCCCTCTGACCAGCGGGACGGCGTCGTCATGGACTGCTGCAAGCTGGGGAGCGGGGAGGCCAGGTTTGCGCAGCACGCCTCCCAGCTGACGGGGGGCATGTACCTGAAGCCCAGCGAGCCTCAGGCACTCCTGCAGAACCTCCTGGTGCGCGTCGTGGAGGAGGGGTACCAGGTGTACTTGTTGCGACGTGACCTCCCAGCATGCCGCCTCCCAGCGCCCTGCCAGGCATACTTGCTCTTCAGACCCCGCTCAGGCAAGGCCCCATGCCTCTGCAGATGGTGTTTGCGGCGGGGCCGGGTGCCCGAGCCCAGCTCATTCTGCCCACCAGCGCTGGCGTGGACGGGGGCGCCACCTGCATGTGCCACCGCAGGCCCCTGACAATGGGACGAGTGTGCAGCGTCTGCCTGAGCGTCTTCTGCGAGCCCCTGCCCGCCTGTCTGACCTGCGGCTCCAAGTTTGTGACAGGCTGATGGAGGGTAGAGAACATCAGGCAATGGGGGGTGTCAAGAGCAAGCGCAGACAACCTGTCAGGGCAGAAGAAAGCCCGGGTGACAGGAACACCAGTCTTGGATAGGGTCCTCCCAACATAAATCAAGGAGTGCCAATGGAGGATACGAAAACGACAGCTCTATAAAGGTGCTTGAATAATGGTGGATCAACAGAAGGAGGGCGTCCCTTCTTTAAGGAGGTAAGGAAACATTCTGCAGAAACATCGTGCCGGCTAGTATTGCAAAGAGACGGCCTGCGTGGGCTAGAGTGGACGCCTCGCGTCCCCTACCGCATCCATCCGTCGCCCCATTTGGGGCTCCCCTCACACGGGGTGCTTCAGCTTGGGCGAGGCGGGCGAGACCATGCTGAGCCCGGCGTGGAACCAGGACAAGGCCAGCGAGCTCAGCAGGTGGCCCACCACGAGCGTCGTGGGCGCGATGGCAGCGCCCATGGAGAACAAGCGGCCCGTGAAGGACTTGAGGCTGCGGCGGCAGGGCGATGGCACAGGCAGGCTCAGGAGCAGGGGGGGAGAGGCTTTGGGAAGGGCATGCCGCGGCCCTCGGGCATTGTGCGTCCCCATGGAAGCTAGAACCCCAGCGGGGAGCGATCATGCAAGACCCACACCGATGCCCGGGCCAATCACCCACCCCAGCACGTCGCTCCACCAGGGCAGGATGCCCAGCAGGCCCAGCGTGACGCCAAATGCTAGCGCCGTCTGCTGCCACAGGTTCCCTGCGCTGGCGGCCAGGAAGAGCCGCCCATCCCTACGGGTGCCCGAGGTATGGAAGGCTTCCGTGGCTCTGTCGAGAACTATGCGGGGTAAGTTTGCTGATGTACTGCTCGTTTCCACAGAGACAATGGCTTTAGCGACCTGACAGCAGACAGTCTACATGCACTGATCCCAAGGCCTACCCTTCAACTGACGAAATGTTGTTGCCCGCCTGGCGCAGCCCGAAGCCCCACTGGTAGACTGCCCAGAGACTGGCACCAAACAGCGCAGCAAAGGACACCGCAATCCACTCATAGGCCAGCATCCAACCCCACATGGGGTCCACCTGTGTGTACGGGGCAGCGGGGGGATGCAGGACCTTGGAGACAAAGTGGGATCATGGAAACCTCCTCTGCTCTGGTGGAGCCAATGAATGACAACCTCCTCTACCGCTCCCGGGGGGGGGGCATATCTAAAGACTCCTCCTCTACACACATTAGGAAGCGAACGGCCACAGCACCACTCCCAAGCCCACAACCCTCCGCCCACCTGGGTTGGGACCAAGCAGACGGCAAAGCCGACGGCCAGGCACAGAGAAGTCAGTGCGGCCAGCAGGATGACCCAAGGCATGCACGCCACCCTTTCCAGTGCCAGGGCTCCAGACATGCCGGGCGCGCCACGTCTAAAAGAGAGGTTCCGGAGGCAGGGACTCAGGCTGGGGGTCCGGCGCATGAAGAGGGCGAACAGCAACCAAGGGCCGGCGGCCAGTGTGCTGACCAGCAGGCGGCTGGGCCCTGTGTCTGGGCCGGGCAGGCGCCGCCGCAGCGCCTGCCACCGCTCCATGTTCCCCGATATGATCCAGCTGGACCACCAATTCCAGGGCTTGAAGCTGGAGAGCGTGAAGTGAAGGACAAACAGCTCATCCTGATGTGGTGTTGGGAGGAATGAAAGGAGGGGTGTGAGGGGTGCCCTGAGTGTTCCAGGTGGCTTGGGATGTAGATGTTGCACAACTACAGCCCCAGGTATGTAAGGCAGTCTCAGGCGCAGTCTCGCACACGGGGGCAGTGACTCGCTGACCCATCTGCGCTTGGAAACACATCCTCCATTCAGGTCCCTGGCTCGGTGTTGCTGAGGAGATACCCACCCAGCCCCCACGATGCCCTGCGAGCCCACCTCGGGCACCATCCATCGGTTGCTGTTGAGCACATACAGGCCCAGGTCTGCATTGTACTCTGTGGGAAGCCTGCCCATCCTCACACGGGCCGCCGCGCCTCCGGTGGCATTGCCCGGAGGCGGCCGGGCCCAGCTCTCGCTCAGCAGCCGGCCCCTGCCAGGGTCAAACAGGGGGGAGGCTGCAAATCCAGAGAAGTAGGCGTTCAGGAAGCCCTGGTCGCCGCCGGTGTAGCTGGGGGTCTGCTCGATGCGCGACATCATGTCGCTGAACAGCTGGGCCTGGGGCTGCAGGACCATGACCCCGGAGTTCAGCCGCTCCGAGTGCCGCATGACACCACAGAGACCGTCGCAGAGGAAGAGGGCATCCAGGTTACGCAGGGCAATGGTGTCAGCATCCAGGTACACCACTGTCGGTGTGGGGGCCCGAAGGAATGGCATTGGTAAAGTGCGCTGTTGGCCAGAGTACTCATGTGAATATTCCCTCCATCATCCGTGTGGGAGACTGTGCATGCTGCAATGTGCACGATTGGGTCAGCCGTGCTCCTTGAAGGCGTGCAAGCCTTCCATGGCCCATGACAACGCATGCTCATCCCTCAGGCCGGTACCTCGTTCATACTGAGTGAGATTGAATACCAGCAGCTTGGTGTAAACTGCCCAGAAACGGGGTGGAAACGACCCAGAGGCCGTTCCTGTCCACAGTCCAGGATTCTGAACTGCATCGACCTGCACAGAATGGACAGGTCTCTGATATAAGGCGGGCCAGCACCATGACAATAGCACCACATCTAGTTTTCCCACACGCACGAGGAACCCTCGCATGGACGCGACACGCAACCAGTCCCCGACAGATATTGAATCGCTCTCCGACGCCGCGCACCTCGTGTACGATCCAGCCATCCTTCCTCAACACGTTCTTCGAGAGGTCTGAGACGTGAGATCCAACCACGACGGCCACCAAATCCCTGCGGCCGAGAAAGTGGAATAGTTGCGGACGCCCCTGCGGGTTAATGAACGGCATGAGTTTGATAATGGGAAGGCACACCGTCCTGTCCCAAGTACCTGGTGGTTTGAGACTCCCGCAGTGACTGGCCGAGCACACGCATTCCCAGTAGGAAGTCATCCCCATACATGAGGGAGACGTAAGCCTGCTTATGTTTCGTCCCGGCCTCCGGCTTCCCATCACCAAGGACTTGAACTGCATGGACTGTGCAAAAGACCATCAAGGCAGCTAATAGGTTGAGCCACCTCATAATGGACCCTCGAGCTTTCTATGACCAGGGCGCAGAGGATGACCTCCCGGGAGACTGCAGATTGTCACGGTCGGGTGGGTGACCTCGGGACACCAATAATCCCCCACGCGACGTCCTGAGCGGGAGCCTTCACCAGGAAGTCGAAGTCAGATCTAGTATGGAGTGGGTCTTTGAGCATCGTGGGGTCTTGAGATCCTGTTTGCGCAAAAATTACGTTGCCGTGCGCATGAAGACCTCGCGCCACCCCGATCACGTAATTTTGATCATGGCGCGATATGCGCGCTGAACTAAAGCCAAGTTGAGCTTCCGTGATGGGCGAATTACGAGGAGATGGTAATACTGCATTGCAATGTCCCATCCTAAGAGCCTGTCAATTAAATCTGGTGGTCTGGCAGGACTGCTCTCACGGCTGGAGGACGGGCACGACCTGCACATCTCGAAGAAACTGGAATCGGTGCTGAGCCTGTGTCAGGATGATGGCACATCCGTACACAGCCACCACTCGGGTGGAAATTCCAGGGCAGCGGGGCCGTCTCGCATCGGGGAACCTCGATGGTCGGACCCATGCTTTCCCTCTTGCATCGTCGATCATCATCACTACGGACAGCAAGTGCGACCTTCCGAGAGTCAAAGTACGTCTCTGTGTGAGAAGAGGCAGGAGAAGAAATATGACAATGCGCGCATGCGCGCGCATGCGTGCCGGGAAGTGGCTGTGGCCAGCCATCGCTAGCAGACGGAGACCCCCTGATCAACCCCCCGTGATGGTACACAGCCTTGTGCGACCTGCTGGAGCAGAGCCGGACCTTTGCGTCACCCAGTGCCGAGGATGACATGGCAGTGGCATGGGGATTGCAGGACTGCCTGGTCTCCCTCAGGTGACAAGATCAATGCACAGGGGATGACACGCCTGGTGCACTCTTCGCAAACTACGCAGTGCCTGGGCCCAGTCCGTCACAACCATGCCCATTTCACTCCCACAGGGGGTCGCTCTTCAGTCCAGTGCCCAGTGTGGATACAGTGACCCGCTTGCGTGCCGGGATGAAGGCCAGGGTTGCACGGGGCTGGTCGATGGAGGCCCTGGGGAGAGGGGTCAAGCTGGCGAGGGAGGGACGAGCTCCTGAAGCGATCCCACACTACCTCAAGGTGAGCGCTATGCTAGCCAGATTGACACTGGGTTGTGAGTCCAACTGCCTGCCTTGCTTGCCGCGACCTCTTTGGCCTCGGTGGGGGTTCCGCATACCAAGCCCGACAGCCTCACATCGGCTCATGCAGCCCAAGGTCGCAGCGGCAATGCTGGCCTGTCTCGACAGCTGCCCAAGTGCTCTGCCTTCCCCCCCAGGCCCTGGAGCTGGACCCGACAAACCCCGACGCGCACGTCGCGCTGGGCGCGGCCCATGCCAACGCGGGAAGCTGGCAGGAAGCCGCCGACGCCATGGCCGCCGCCCTGGCCCTGGACCCGGACCACGCCAACGCCCTGGCCTACGAGCGGCGCATCGCCCAGCGGGCGAAAGAGGAGGGCGTGGCGCTGACGACTTTGCGGCGCGCAGGGCAGCCAGGGCCCTCACGACCGGGCCCGGAGGGGTTGCGGCCGGTCGGGGAGGCGCCTCGGGCAGCCTCCCCCCCTGCGCCGAGCGATCTGCAGGACGACGATGCCGTCGACTGGCCCCGCTCGCCCAGCCCCGAGCGCGGGGAAGGGCTGGACCTGAGGAGGGCGCTGCGCATCGTGAAGAAGCATCGCCGCCAGAAGGGGGGCGCACAGCAGTACGCCGCTGGTGGGGGAGGGGAAGGCATGCGCACTCCATGCCCCTGGCGTACCTTGTGCTCCACCCGCAGCGACACACGGTGCTCACAGCGGGTTGGTCTCGACCATCACGCAGGGGCCACAAGACCAAGCACAAGCGCAGGCACAGTAAGAGGTGCGCATTGCAGGTTGTCGATGGCTCTCGATGGCATGCTCCTCCTTGGGCCAACCAGTTGCTGTTTCTGTGTGCGACGCCTGGCTCGACCCTGGCTCGTCTCCTCCACATCCCAGCAGCCGCAAGCACAAGCACCGATCTGGCGATTGATGACCGCGACACGGCTCGCTCAAGCTCCGGCGGCAGGGACCCCGGTGGCGACCAGGATCTGGTCTGCCACCGCCGACAGGTCGTGCTCGGTGCTGCTTTCCTCGAGCCGACCCTGGGACTCCCCGGGCAGCACACCGGTGTCCTCCGCCAACCTGTGAGGGGGTGTGAAAGAGGGGCAATGGCTGTTGAAGGAAACCAGACTTGGGAAGGGCTTAGACTTCATATCAGAGCACGGTTTGACATGGCAATGGTGCATGCAGGGCAAGCCGATGAGGCCCCTCGTTCCGCACAGCCCTTGCTGGAGAGGGCAGCAGCCACCTCACAGTGCATCCCTTGCCCTGAAGACTCAGCGCGGACCCTGGCCCACAGGCGAGCTGCCCACCCACCGACGCAGGGCCGCTGCGCAATCGCTCAAGCTCTGCAACCCAGAGGGTGCTGCATCTGCGCCGTACACTCCGGACTGAAGGTCCCGGATCTTGGATCGCAGCGCCTGGCAAATGGGTGGGTATCATACAGGGGGTTGCTGGCTGAAATGCAACGCTTGATTCTGGCAGCAACATCACTGGCCCCTCCAAGCCAGAATATCCAACAATCGGTCAGCGCAGTCCCGATATCTTGTAGCTTCTCAACCTCATTCCCGCTCACACATGCCAACCGACCTCCAGGTTCTGGGGCTGGCTCTTGGCAGGCAGCGCAGGCAGTCGGCTGCCCGCATACAGCTCCAGGAGGCTGGAGAGGCGCAGCCCTGGGCCCTCCCCCACCGCCCCCGCCGGGCTGCTCGACTCCAGGCCGACCCCGAGCGTGAGGAGCAGGGCGGCCAGCAGCGCCAGTCCAACCCTGGGGGGCGGCAGCCAGGACTCGCTCGTGTCCGTCTGGAGGATGAGGAGGAGGGAAAGCGGGACCAGCGGCACGGCCGCCTGGCGCAGCACCGGTGCGGCCGCCGCGGCGGCGCTCGCGTAGCATTGCCACGCCCCATACACGTTTACGATGGGGCTGAATATCGTGCTGGTCGCCAGCCGCCAGACCGGATCCTCGGCGGGCTGTTCTGTGGGTGGGGCGGCGCCGCCCGCCAGCTGTGGGACGAGGGTTGGAGAGGTGACAGTGGCGCTGAGCTTGGTGTCCAGGCAGAGGGGCAGCGTGCGTAGTGATGTTATGCGACTGCTTCTCTGCACTGAAAGCAAATAAAAAATCTCAGCAGCCAGCTCTGTGATGTGTGCACGGCAACAACCCAGCGTCCAAACATCAGCAGCATCGGGCAGACTCTCAAGGGCGACCCCTGTCGCATACTGCAGCCTGCACCTTGTAGTACTCGTCCAGAGCCCGGTGGAAGCCGCGTTGGCCCATCTCCTCAAAGGTCAGCTGCTCCCCTGCGCCGAAGGATCTATCGCGCTTCAGCACGGCGGGCAGTGATGGCTTGCCTGCGGGATTGGGGGGAGCAAAATGACCAAGGCGGAAGTCATGGCTGCAGTACAGGGATCGTAGCCACAGATAACAGGGTTCCACGCACCCAAGGGTGTCCTCATGAGCGGTTATGAGCTTGGGCGATGAGCAGGCTGGAGGATGTCGGCAATCGCAGGATGGTTCCGAGATGTGTCCCGCAGGGGTGTCCCGGCCTGGTGGGTGCGAGCTCCAAAACGAGAGGGCTTAGTTCCCTTATTGATGCTTGACACAATTTGACAACTAACTAAGACTAATCATGCACTCGATGTCTGGTTTCATGTCGCATAAAGTACGGGGTTGATTCCATTTCTTGATCGCCACGGAGCGCCTTTCCGATTGGGGTTTCGATGTCACCCTAAATGAAGTGCCGTCAGGTCGGGCAGCAGGTTTCTTCCCATTACATCTCCAAAACCGCTGCTTAAATGTATGCCTGTGAGACATGTAGTTTATTAGCCAAGCCGTTAGTGGACGTGCATCGGTGTGTCGCGCATGGCACAGACCGTGGGACCCCCCTCCGGCGCCTTTGGCAGGGAAGGGCGAGAGCTTTCGCCTCATCGCGCAGTGCCCCTGGGGGATCGCTATCACCATCGCTGGTTCCATGGTGGGTGTGGTGCTCGGAAACATCTTCTTGAACCCCCTACGCACTGGCATGAAGGACCCAGGGACCGTGTCTTGCTCATATCGAGTGAGTTCAAGCTCCCCCACACCTCAGCAGTCGGGAGCCGCGCGGCCACATACATGCGACATCAGCCTGTCAACAAACAGCATCCATAGACTCTGCAGCATCCTGTTATGGGTGTGGTGCGGATGTCCAGACCCGGAATCCCGCGGCGGCTGGCTTTGTGCCCCCTGATGTCCTGGCCACCAAGGCCCGCTTCCACCAGTTGGACCAGCTGCTGTGCACAAGGTAGGTGTTGTCGGATTACCTGGAACTCAAGCTGATTCTCTTTCAGTGGATTCCTGCTTTTAGTCATGGCCGGAAGGGAGGATGACGCCCCGCCCCCCTTGTGCTGCCTGCCACGGGAACAACACCATCCCCCCACCCACCAACACACATTTGCACACATTGTCTCCAGGTGCCAGGGGCTCAATCACGGTGCCCCCATCCCAGGGGTGGCTGACCTAGCAGTCCAGGCAGCCGAGGACGGCTCACGGCTAGTCACCCCAGAGGAGCTGCGGAACAAGATCATGTGAGTGTGCGAGTGGGCATGACTCCAACAGGCGGAGGAGTGAACGCTGAGGCTAGATCTGCGACCATGGTGGGCATGCTGTGCAGGAAGCCTTGCAATGCCCGAGCCAGTGGCCGGCTTCCAAAACCGGTGAGCGGTTCCAGCAATCACGGACCATCTCCTTCACACGCCCTTCTTTCCTCTCCTTCCGAAAGGCACCTGCGCACCGCCAAGGCCTTTGTCGTGCTGCTGGTGGACCTGGTGGACGTGTCTGGGACGCTGCTGCCCAGGCTGCGAGACATGGTGGGCGCCAACCCGGTCGTGGTGGTGGGCACCAAGCTGGACCTGATGCCCGCCGGGGTCAGACCGGACCAGCTGGCCACGTGGCTGCAGGCCGCGGTGGAGTTCAAGGGCATCCGCCCCGTGGCTGTGTACCTGGTGAGGCCGGCGCTGGGCGCAGGGTGGCGGGGCGCTGGGACAGGCCACACGGTGCCTGGCGGGGCTGGGACATGCTTGCTGTGTTGGATGACGTCCCCTACCCTCACTGCTGCTCGTTCAAACATTCCCGCAATGAGAGCAGGCACCCCCTCATACTCCCGCCCTTGGGCACCACGCAGACCAGCGGCAGGACCAATGCAGGCGTGGCGGCCGCCGTCGCCGGGATCCGCAGCGAACGGCAGGGCAGGGATGTATACCTGATCGGCGCCGCCAACGCCGGCAAGTCTGTCTTCCTTCGAGCCATGGTCAGGTGCGCAGGGCGTGCGTTTGTCCTTGAGGCCAGGTGGCTGCGTGACGAGGCCCTTGTGTGCGAAGGCATCACTAGTATTAGGCTCCTCTGCGGGGCGCACAGCATCACTCCTCATACCCACTGGGCTTGCCAGCTGCAGTGTGGACCGGCCACTGCATGCCTGGGGATCGCCGCTGCGCCCCCTGGCTCATGTGGGAGCATGCCCTCCCCCCCACGCACAGGGAGATGGCGGACATGGGGAGCAGGTCGTACGACCCTGCCGCCATAGGGGCTGGCCGGCGGCTGCCCACCGCCTCCGGCATCCCCGGCACCACCCTGGGCCTCATCCCCCTGCCCGTCTTCTCCTCGGGCGGCTGCCTGGTCGACACCCCCGGCGTCCACCTGCACCACCGGCTGCCACACGCGCTCAGGCCGGAGCACCACGCCGCCCTGGCGCCCCGCGGCCGGCTAAGGGGGCGCGGGGTGGCAGTGCCACCTGGCGGCGCCGTGCTGTGGTGGGGTGGCTGCGTCCGCCTGCATGTGGCGCCCCACCGCGGCCAGCACGTGTCCCTCACCTTCTTCGGCCCCAAGTCCCTGCACGTGGCCGAGGCAGGCGGCGGCGAGGAGGCCGCTGGAGGGCTGGCTCGCGGCGCCCCTGGTGCCGGTGGTGTGGGCGCCTGCAGCGATCGACCCCCGCCCCCGCCCGCCGACGGGGCCTGGTTCCGGGGGGGCAGCGCGGCGCTGCTGGAGCGGGGCCTGTCGCGCCCCCGCCGCCTGACCAAGCCCCTGGCGCCCGGCCAGCCCAGGGCCATCGCCGACCTGGCCGTCTCGGGGCTGCCCGGCTGGGTTAGCGTGCACGGCAGCGGGGCAGGCGAGCTGGCACTGGAGGTCTGCGTCCCGGCCGGCGTGGAGGTGTTCTGGAGGCCCCCCCTGCCCGTGCATGTACCGGCTTGATCGTAGTGAAGGACTTGACAGGCTGTGATTTGTACGACCGAATGTTCGACAGGTTTGGGGAAAAGGGCATCCCTTGGATCAAGTCTGAGCGTCCTGATGGGTGCCAAAAGGTATGGGAGTGAAAACAGTGGTGGGAGGAAACAATGCCGAGAACGTGTAGGTGTCAAAAATATCAGGTACAGATGGGAGGTACATGTTGTAGGCTGATAAGCCGCCATCATCATAGGATCTGAAAGGCCGAGGCAACAATCACCAGACATGCGCAGCCCTGATCCTCTGAGGAGGGAAAGTAGCTGGTGCGCCGGCGCGTCCCCATGGTACACCACCACTCGCTATACGCTGCAACCTTTCAGGGGCGGCCGCCTTCGTCCCAGGGCGACGGCGCCACCATGAGCATCTGGATCTCGCTCCCCTGGCTGCTCCTCCCACTACCGGGCGGCGGCGACGGCTTGGGGACGGCGCCGCCGGGCTGCGCGCGCCAGCGCAGCACTGCGTCCTGCACCAGCACCTGGGCGATGTTGACAGCCAGGGGGCACATGATCATGACCGCCGCCAGCTCCAGGGAGGGGCGGCCCGCGAAGGCGGCGTCCAGCCCGGCAGCCAGCCGCTGCAGCAGTGGGGCGCACGCAAAGATCTGCCCAGGGGGGTGGAGGAAAGGCAGTGTGAGACACTTGGATGAATGGCTGCAGAGGGGCATCGGGGCCAAAGTATTGCTGCAGCGATGTGCAGGTAGAGAAGACAGGAGCAGGCCGGATGCAGAGCATAAGGCACCCGCCTCACAACCCCTCTAGCAGCTCCTCGACGACGCACGATGGAGGCGCAGGCGGCGCGCGCGCCGACAACGCACATGACCCACTCCAGTGCCTGAGCGGCCCAGCGTTCCCAGCGTGGAGGGGTACCTGGAGTAGGAGCGAAAGATGAGTGATGTCCAGGTCTCTCCAGCGCGCCGGTGTGACATCGACGGAGGTCTCACGACATTCAGAGCCTACACACATAGCCGCTGCATCTAACAACCTCTCGGCACTCACCATAGTCGCCACAGGGCACCAGGACCTTGAGGGCCCCGAGAAGGGTCTCTTTGATGTCCACAGCGCCCTGCCCTGCCTCCCCGGAGGCCACTCGCATGATGATCATGTGCAGTCCCAGGGACAAGGCCATGCCCAGGGTTGTGTCGGCAAGAAAGGCAAAGAAGTACCAGGAGCACTCGGAGGAAGCATGGCCGTTGGGGGTGTGCGCGATGAGGATCGCTGCGGCAACACCTGTCGGGGTTGGAGGGGCGGCTTCAGTCGTGCTGACCCCAGCCAGTGGCCCTGCATCCCGCAGGCACTGGAAACTCCACCCTGTCGACCCCTTACATTGCATCAAGACATACCTGATGCATGAGCAGCTAGCATGCCCACTCCCTGCTTTCCAACATCCAGGCTCCAGACAGAGAGTGGTCGCTGAGGCTTTTCATACGACCTGTGCTGGGGGTGGCTTGCATGTCACGTGGAGATGGCAAGGAGCTCACAGAGGCAGGGAAGAGTACTCCAAACCACCCACATGGTACGCAGACTCGTGCACCACCTTTTGAGGAGCAGGGAAACCACCGCCAACAGGGCGAGGAGGCCTTGAGCGGCGAGCGCCACAGGCCCAGTCAACAAGTGACACTCATGCTGCGGCCCGAAGGGTGGCATGCTCCTCTCTTCTTGCAGACTCATCTATTTCTACAAACGTTGATAACGTTGCCGCAGCTCATCTGGTAGCTGCCGAGGGCCAAGTGCAGACAGGTTGGGGGTGCATTCCGACACTGTAAAGGAGCCGGAGCCCCTCGAGTCGATATTGCTCACATCAAGTGGTGGATGCATCAGTTGAAAACTTGCTTCACGAGCCTTAGTATTCAGTCAGCAATTTCATTGTTTCACATCGCGACGTGCCTCGAAAGGGGTTCTTACGCGGTCAGAGCCATCGCCAAGCCCGAGTCAAAAGGAACGGCATGCCACGCTTTCTCTTCCTGTTTCCAGAGCCGGCCTTGGCAAGGACCTCGGCGTGTTTCTCACCTATCCCTACTTGAGCCCTGGGTTATTGCCTCTCCATCTCTTTTACCTACCTCCGCTCTTGTTGAACGGTGTTACTCTGACACCTGAGTAGCTCCCCAGTACTGCGTGCTCACCCTTGCGCTACCCCGCCTCCAGCTCATCCGGGTCGTTATGTTTGATTTCTTTGAGATTCTTACCGCTTCATCGTCAGAATTATTGTCCCTCTTCTCACCCTTTTGTCTGGCCGCGCCGCAGCAAGCTTCCGCGGGCGGGGCCCATTCAGTGCGCGCGTCCTCCTCGGACCCGGTCCTCAGACGACCGAAATTACCTTCTGACACAAATCCCATCCTTACGGTCAGATATACTCTGCCGGATCCTCTGACCCTTTTCCAGTCCAGCCACAGACATCGCCCGGTTCTCCCCACCACTCTGCATCTCCCCATACCACACCGTCCCCCTTCGGATTGGCCGACTGCATTTGGCAGTTGTTACGAGGGTCTGCCACCCCACATCCACGGGCGGATCCTTGTCACTTCCCACTACCAAGGTGCCTGGGTCTCTGTTGCCCACTGCATTCGCGCCCACATCCACCATCGATGAACATCGTCAGCACCGCTGGCAACCCCCGCCCCATCCTTCATCCATCATCCCTCACTGCGGAGGAGGATGTGCACAAGATGGCCTTCAGAACGTATCTCGGGCACCCTCGAATGTATGATCATGCCTTTTGGTCATCTTAATGCCCCCGCCACCTTCCAAGCCCTTATAAACTTCCTATTCAGTGCGTTGCTGAACAGGTTTGCTCTAGTGCACCTCAACGGCGTCTTGGCACACAGCCAAACTCTTGACGACCATCATCTTCACCTCCGCCATGTCCTTCAGACCTCTGACTCCACCCATCTCCATGCCGAGCCCGCCATGTGCAACTTCACCCGCGCTCGCCTCAAGTTCCATGAGAATGTCCTCGACTCGCGCGGCATCTTCACCGCCCCCTCCAAAGTCAAGGACGCAATCAAGGAACTCTTAGCGGGTGCGGTAAAAATCGCACTTGGATGGCTGCACGTGGAGGTGGGGGACGGCAAGAATCCCGAGTACCTGTCGTAGGTGGCGGTGATGGTGTTGAAGATTGGGCTGAACACCAGGATGTCGTCGAGGTCCACGGCAACAAACTTGTTTTGCAACGCGCTGAATAGGGTGTTCATAAGGTTTTGAAACGTGTCAGGGTCGTTTGTGAGCCTAAACGGTAAGGCCAGCCACTCGTAGGGACCGTTACAGGTCTCGAAGGCCGTCTCGTGCTCGTTCGTGGTCGACTCCCGCCCGCCCGAGCATCCGGGATGGTTTTCAATTTCAAAGTGTTTGGAGGAAATAGGTTCTGTCTAGAGGATGCGGTGAAGCTGCAGCCTTCGCTCTAGAGGAAGTCGTGTACGCGCTGTGTGGAGACGTTTGCCTGCGTTACGAGGGTTCCATTGCAGCGACCGCGAATTGTGGCCTCGGTGGGAACCGTGTCGCCTCGGCGAACGAGCCCTCGGGAGGCTGAACAGCATGGGGCACTTTCCGCATTGTCCACCGGCTAAGATACGGTATCTGAATGTCAACAAGGTACTCGAGGACTTCCCGGCAATCTGTTTGTGAGTTTTCGCAAGTCTATACCCGAAGAGAGCCGGCAGTCCTCCAGGGTAAGCCACCCAGCCGCCCACAATCCCAGTCCAGGCCTCATTCACAATGCATGTCAGGTCAGGTCAAGGCGTCGTTTGCCATGAGGATGCGCATCGGGCACGCACAGAGGGCAGGGCAGGCGGGTGGCTGCGCCACGGAGCGCTACCTCCTCCCGTCCAATTTGCCATACGGCGTCCAGTGTAGCCTGGAGACGTCGATGTCTATCGTCTTCTGGTTGGCGATGGAGCGCATGTGCTCCTCTATTATTTTCTGGGTCACGCTGATGATGTGGTCTCCCTTCCAGTACTGCGAGGATTGAGATTCAGGGTGGAAGGGGGTGTGGTACCTAGCCAGTTGAAACGATGCAGCCTCATCAGGACTGGTGCTCGCCAGTTTGCACGGCGACATGCACCATCCCTCTGCCCGCTCCCCGACCGAGTCCGTGCAGAATTCTCTCCCAACCCTCTGCCACTTTCTTCCCGGCCTCCCTCGTTCCTCCATCCAGACACCGTGCCACTTCCGCCATTCTTTCGGTCGTACCGCCGCCCCCGCCCCCCCCCCCCCCCCCAAACCGCGCTCGGGTCGACCATTACCTGGCCCTACTTCACCAATTCCAGCGATGCTCGCGACTTCTTCGGACTCATTGATTTATTCCGGTGCTTGAAATCCCACTCTGACCTCATGTTCGCCCCCCCTTACCGAGCTGTCGGCGAAAGTACCTCGCTCTCCAGGAACCCTGCCGGCGCCGCCGACTTTAGAGCTTGACGATACGCCCTTTCTCCTTGGCTCCTGTGGTGGATAGGCCTATATCCAGCCTTGTTCAATAGGGGAAAGTGTCGCCTCGAAGCTGGTACCATTGCAACTGTGCTCCTAATCCAGCGCACTTTCCTTTGGGAGGCACGACCAGGGGATTTCTGCTGGCAGCCTCAGCCTCATCCACCCCCTCCGTTCCGAGTTTCTCTTACCTGATCCCGGACCATGCCTCTACAAGTCGCGCAACAATCACGGTCAGGCATGTCTCCGATGCCACAGCAACGATATAGCACCCATCGGACACTGCAGTACTGCTGGGGCTCACCCTTCCAGGCAAGGCACTCTTCAGCATGGTATCTCTGCGCTTTGATCCTATCCACCAATGTTCGAAACTGGCAAGCCCACTGCCCTGTGCTGATTGACAATACAGACGTGCAGGCCGGGTGCCGTACTGTGCTTGCAAGCATGCTCAACAAGGGGAAGAAAATACACACTCTGGGCTCACGCGATCAACAGAGGCGAGGTGTCCCTCGCGCAATCAGCCCACGTCCAGCGTGGGCCGTCAGAAGAGGTCGGGGGCAGGTCCCCCCGCCCCCACCCCACCCAGCAGCACCCCCGCGCTCTCCGGCAGCAGCACGGTCAGCGCGAGGAGGGTGATGCCGAGGGCCAGGGCCTGTCGCGTCCCGCTCACCCCCGACACCTCGTCCTGGATCCAGCCCTCCGACTTTCGCTGGCACACCAGGACGTAGAGGCCAAAGGGGAGGGCCAGGGGCCCTCCCAGGGCGCCAAAGCCCAGCAAAGCATACACCACCAGGCTGGAGAAGGCGAGCGCGCCCTTGCCAAAAGCCGCCTGGGTGACGGTGACGGGGGAACGTGAACAATGGCGTGCGAGACTCGTGGCGTGCGAGACGTTTGGCCCAGCTGCTGCCTTGAGCTCAGAGAGGCAGCAGGCTTGTCCCTCGCCGGCCCTCCAACAAGAGGAGCAAAGTTTGCTGCCGAGCTCCGGCAGTAACATGCCAGTCAACAGCCCCCAAGAGCTCACCAAGGTGGTCCGGCCGCCGTCCAGGCAGCCCACAGGTAGGGCGTTCAGTGCGGTGTTTACAATGCCCGCCCAGCCGGCGACGAAGAGCGGGGAGACGTACAGCGTGGGCTGCGCGAGGGCTTCCTGGGTCAAGCCCAGGTTGCCCAGGGTGGACAGCAGGAGGCTGCCGTGGAAGAGCGCGGCGGGCACCGGGATCAATCCAGGCTGCATGGAGGGGGGGGGGGCTGGGTGGAGAGGGAACGGAGGAATGGCTTGCTCCCCGACAACATCCATTCCGTCCCCGGCCCCAATGTCCCTCTTGGAAGGTGCCAGCCTCCTGAATTTGAGCACAGTAAGGGCCCCCACCCGCCCTACTCCGCACAGCCCCTGCAAACGCTTGCCTCGACGACGGCTCCGCCGTGAGAGGCCTGCAGGCCTGCAATCATGAGCGCCAGGGCCGTCGCCCCCCCCCCCAACAGCCCTGCCGCCGCCAGGTCGAAGAGATCAGTGCGGCTCCGGACCAGGGACGCCAGCTGCCGGATGCTCCCAAAGGTGCCCAGCGCGGTGCTCGGCACCAGGAGACTGGCGAGGGTCGGAGGAAAGAGGGAAAGGTGTGCTGTGACAAGCAAGGAGCGCCGCCACCCCTGGGAGTATGCCATGCGCGAGCGTGACCTCAGGACTTCAAGTGCAAGTGTGCCTATAACCCCCCCCCCCCAATAAAAAACGGGCCCGCAACAGACAGCCTGGCCTCCACGCACGGTGCCTTCAGCTGGATGCCACGCAGACGGGCCACCAGGGAGTGTCCTGCATCGTGTGCAACCTACAGCGGCGAGGAAGGAGGAGGGCATGGTTCCAGACCCGGGAAGATCAAGAGAATCAGGCTGGGCATGCAAGCCAGTCTCGAGAGACTACTGCTGCACCGTGGAATCATGGCCCCACAAGTCCCGCACCTGTGGAATGAGACTCAGCGCCCCCACAGACACGGCCGCCGTCAGGAAGGCCTGGGGGTCGAATCCTTCCAGGCCCGGCGGCAGCGCATCCCCGCTGATGCTGGAGGGGTTGGCCAGGAAGGCCAGGGTCTCCTGCGGCACAGGGAGGGTGCAGAGCAAGAGCTTCACATGTGCATGTTGGCGGGTATGCACAGACCCTATCCTGGATCCATGGCCTGGTTTGAAGCCAGAGATTGAGGGCCATTTCTTGCAAGCATACCCCCTCTCACCTTGGGTAGGAAGAGGAGGGAGGAGGCGAGCCCGAAGCTGAGGGTGGATGCAGCTGTCAGAGCCACCAGCAGCACTCCCACCCATCGCTGCCAGGTGGCGGGGGGCGGGGGCACTGCGGCAGCAGCGGGCAGGACCTCGAAGGCGACAAAGGAGTCCAGGCTGCGGTCGCTCTTGTCCTCATCGGCCTTGAAGGCCGCCTCCACATCCAGGATCACCCTCAAGACGTACTTTCCTCCTACAGGGAAAGTGAACAGGACAGGCACGGTGGGGAGAGGGGGCTCGAGAGGATCTGACGCAGCTGGAGGACGGTGCAGGTTGCGAGGCTCTTGCATACCATGGCGTCAAACATCCTGCAGCCACCCAGGCCCCGGCCTCATCGCGCACACCCGCGCCACGTAGCGCACCGTATGCGTCGTGCAGGCGCTGCATGACCTCAGCCACCACCTTTTCCCGCTTTCCCCTGAGGTTGCCGCGGAACATGACGCCGCCCTCCAGTCCACTGCTGGGCAGGACGTCGGTGACCCAGAAGGTGTCGGGCCCAAAGACCTTGGACTTGATGTCACTGATGCATGGGAGGGTAGAGTGTGGACCGTTGTGCCACAGCGCCATGCCGCAGCGATTCCGGCAGCGGCTGCTGCTGCTGTCCTGTTTCTTGAAGGCACGAGCAGACGGGCTGCCCTCCCAGTGTCACACACTCAGACCGGACTCCCACCCACACGTGCTGGCCCATCAACCCCTCAGGCCTCGCACCGACCTGTAATCGTCCTTGTCGATGCCGTTCTTGGACCGGATGAGGGAGTTCAGCAGCTTCTCGACCTGGCGCTGCAGGTCCTGGCCCCCCGCCTCCTTCTTCTCCTTGTCCTGGAAGTCCTCCGACTCCGCGAGCTTGCGCGCCTGCTCGATGACGCGCGCCAGGGTGTCCTCAATCTGGGACGCCACGGCGCCTTCATCCTGAGCCTTTGACCGGGCCGCGTCAGCGGCCCCAATCTTCTCCAGAACCTGCTTGGATGCAGACACTTCGATGGCCGGCATGACGTCCTGCGGTCCGTACGGCGACGAGGGAATTGTATGACCTGGTGCACCTGGAATCCTCGGCCCAGTGCCATGCTGGGTGACGCCGACCACTCGTGGGGTGATATGAAAACAGGGCCAGCTGGACCCATCAGAGCATTCATGTCACTTGACAAAAAGCCTGCCTCCCGGCAGCAGCACCTCCCACCTGGTCCTTGGAGGCTGCCTTCTGGTCCTCCACCCCCAGCAGCTCGTCCAAGCCGCTGATGGTGGACCTTATGCGGTCGGAGGAACGTGAGGAAGCCCCCTCCTCCCCAGAGTTCTGTGCATTTGTGGGCTCGCTGCTCTGCAGAGCCCTGCACCTTCCCATGGCTCGTGTGCCGCACGGCCCAGAGCCAGGGAGGAAGGGTCTGAACTGGTGGCGGAAGCGGCGAGGCTGGAATCCGGCACTCGCGGCGACGACTCCCACCACGTCATGTCGGGTTGCAGTGCAAAGGTTCGGTCGCATTACGGTGGTCATGCAGGCTCTTGAGGCAGCAATCCGGAAGGTCGAAGCTGGTGCGGAAGATGTGCCTGCCTGTCACGGGCCGGACAACTGGCTGTGCTTCGTTATGAAAGTCCCCTGTCCACCAAATGCACCAGTCGGACGGCGCATGCCAATATTCACATGCAATGCTTGCAAGCACCCTGCCGGTTGATGTGTACAAGCGGGGCCCACATGCATAATGGACGTGTAGGATCTGCTCACTTTCCATCGAGTCCCCCGCCCGAATGATCACGCCAGGTGGATCTCGCAACGCAACCGATTGATCTGGCAGTGCAGTTTCAAGAAGCTCTGATTATACATGTGCGAGTAAAGATCACAGAGACAACTGGGTCCCTCCCGCTATCGCGGTATGGTGGCGGCATGGCGGAGGGATGGTGGAGGAGCCCGGCTGTGCAACCACACCACATAGCTCGCGACGTGATCCGGGACGTCAGACGCAAACTTAATGCCCCTGGGTAAGCGTATGTGCAATGATTTGCGCAGATAAAACAATGCGACGCCTCGCCACTCGGGAATGCGCCTTGAATAAGGCCAGTCAACCCCCCACCCCCCATTGTAGGGATCTGAATGGCGTTGCGCACCAGCTCGCTCGCATCTCCCCCAATGAAACGATATCGGAGCAAGACGCCGATGCGCTTGTGTCCAGTCTGCTCGAGTATCTGGCGGAGTGCCCCCTCAGCACTTGGAATGGGGCTGCCGCAGTGGTAGCCCATGCCCGACCCTTCCTGGCCAGCAGTCCAGCGAAGCACAAGTTGAGGAGAGGCATCCATGATGCCGTCCTGCTCAGGGCCCCACGCGAGTCGTCTGCAAGGACAGGAGGCCAGGGCGGGTGCCGAGAGCTGCTACTCCTCCTCGTGGCTGCCGAGAATCTGAAATGCTCGCCGTCAACAGACCATGGCAGCTCTGGCGACGCCGTGTCTTGCCAAGATGCATGCGCCGCGGCCTTGGTGGCAGCCTGCCGAGCCGCCGGCCTGGGCGATGGCTGCCTCGGACCCGCTCTGTCAGCGGTGCTGGAGCTGCTGCAGACGTGCCTGACCCGCCCCGGGGCCAGCCTGAGCTCCAGCACTGCAAGCCTGCTGAGCGGCGCAGCGCTGGAGCTGCTGGACCCAGCAAACGCAGGGCTGCTGGAGTCCACGGGCGCCCCCCTCAAAGCAGCCCCGGCTGCCGGCTCCTCCCCAAGGCCTGTCACACAGAAACTCAGTAGTAACAGCAGGATGTCTACTGCAACCAGCGACAGCGAGGGGGAGGGGCTGGTGGGGACGCCCGCCGGGATCAAGCGTGCGGCGCTGGTCTGCCTCCAGGCGGCGGTGAAGGTCGACCCGCGCTCCTTCCACCAGCACTGGCCCGCGCTCCTGCAGGGCAGCAGCGTCCCCGGGAACCAGCAGGTGGGATGTGGGTCGGCCCGGCAGTCACTGGGTGGGTAGTTATCTTTGGCTGACCCCCAACAGGGCACTCGTCGCCGAGCAGCCAGGCAGCTGCAGATCCCACGCCTGTTGCATGCAGGAACTCCTCTCCTGCTTGATGATAGGCATGCCGCCTCCCAGCGCTTGCATGCTCTGCCACCTGGTGCGGTCTCCAGAATTCACATCCGACCCCCGGCTGCCCCTGATCTCCCCTGCCAGACTTCGTCCGTGGTCAGCGCGCTGGCACACGACGCCTCGCCCCGAGTCCGCCTCGCCGCGGCCGCCAGCATCGCCACCTTGCTGCAGGGCGTCGCGCAGGCTGCGTACTTGGGGCTGGCCGAGGTGGCACCGGGAGGCAGGACGGCGAGGTGTGTCGATGGGTTGAGAGGAGGGCAGCGTCCGTACCTGTCCCCGGCATGGGCAAGGGCTGCAGGCGTCAACACATGGTGTGCCAACATTGCAGCGGGCCCCAACCATTCTGAGCAAATCCTGATCCCCAGATCACCCTTTTATTCCTCCCCCCCCCCCCCCCACCGCTTCATCCCACTGTCTGAGCGGATGGGCCACCTGGTGACACGCCTCCACTCCCAGCTGCTGGCCGCCCTCTGCTCAGAGAGCCAGGCCCGCGTGCGTGCCGGCACGCTGAGGGCGCTGGGCACGCTGGCGGTGGGCAGCCCGTACTCGCGCCTCCCGCCCGAGCTGGCCAGCGAGACTCTCGAGGTTTGGGTTTAGATTGGGAAGGCAGGAGGAGGGTGTGGTGTCAGAGGACCAGAACTCTTAGGGATTGGCTGCGGCGTGACCAGACCGCAGTCTAACACCCCCCCCCCCAAATACCTACAGGCCGTCCTCTCGCGGCTCACTGCGCCCCCCCCCACTGCTCAAGACCTGCCGGCTCTGCTCACCTGCCTAGCCGCGGTGGTGTGCCACACCGCCGGCGTGCCCTTCCCCTGCCCCGCCATCCCCGCCGCCACGGCCGCTCTGCTGCGCCTCGCCGCGACCTCAGCACCCGCCCAGCAGCTGGACGCCCTGATCACACTGCGCGGCCTCGCGGCGCGAGAGGGCGGGGCCCTCGCCCCCGTCCCCTCGGCCCTCGAGTCGCTGCTTGCAGCGTTTGCGCCGCACCTGCGTGAGGCCAGCGGCGCCACCGCCCAGGCCGCCGCCCAGATGCTCCGCCTGCTGGCCGACGTGGCCGCTCGGGACGCGCAGCGCACCCAAGCGGTCTTAACCCTGATCCGTCGAGCCCCTGCGCTGCATCTGGGCGCCACAACCCCACCACCGGTGGCCGCGCCCGAGGTGCGGGCGGCGCTCTGCACGCTGGGTGCCGCCCTGTGGCCCGCCGACGCCGAGCTGGCGGAGCGCTGCGTCCGCGCGGCACAGGCAGACGACGCGTCGGCGGTGCGCTCCGCTGCCGCGCAGGCCGCGGCGGGATTGGTCGAGCGCTGCAGGTCGGAGCAGACCCCGGCCGCAGCGACGCCGGGGGGGCATGGCGAGCAAACGCTGCGTGCTGCGCTGGACGCGCTGGGCACGCTGGGCCGCGACCCGGTGCTGGCAGTGCGGCTCGCCGTGGCCCGAGCGCTGGCGCCCGACCTCTGCGCCTGGCAGCCGGCGCTGCTGGCGCTGGCGCTGGCCCTTGGCGCCGACCGGCACGAGAGGGTGGCGAGCCTGGGCTTGGAGCGCGCCGCCGCATCCCTCCGGCAGCGAGTGGATGCAGAGGGGCGGGGCGCGGCGGCACGAGACGCACCCGCCCTGGCGGCGTGCCTGGCGGGCGCGCTGCGCCCGACCCGGCCCTTCAAGGTGCAGTGGGCGGCCTGCGGCCTCGCCCGGGCCCTGCTGGAGGTTGGCAGCAGCGCAGGTGAATGCGTGGCCGTGCCAGCCCCGGATCTCGTTCCGCCACTGCTGGAGGGCGCCCTTTCCTCCCCCAGCGAGCGCACCCGGGCGCTGTGTGTGGAGCTGCTCAGGACGGCCATCCCCCAGATGACGGGGGGCAGCCTGGTCCTGGTCCTGCAGCGCCTAACAGGGGCGCGCCAGGGCCGTCAGCTCGCAGGCAAGGTTGGGGGGGGTGGCAGGGGTGGTGCAATGGCACAGCAGTGGATGCATCTGTCTGCGTGTGACTGTGTGAGTTGGTGAGAGACTTGGGGCTCAGGTCTTGGCAGGCATGAACGTTTGCCAAACATTTCCATTCTCATGTCGTCCTCCAGGGGACACTGTTCAGCGCAATGCCCCTCACTTGCAAACTTCCCAAGCCAATGAGGAAGCAACACGTCCTCCTCCACTCGCAACGAGCTTTGAGCCAGAAGAGGATGTCCTGATCCGCCTCGTCCTGAAAAGAGCAGAACACCTGGGCCTGGCGGCATGGGGACTGCCCTGCTGCACTCCTACAGACCAGTCAGCACAGGACAAATCCGCACACAGCCCCACAATGCTCGACTCCATGCTCAGCGACTGGCTGCGCCAAGCAGAGGATACGCACTCCCTCCAAAGCCTGGAGGTTGCCAGGCGAGGACTTGACGCCCTGGCCTTCTCTAAAGAAGGCCAGGAGGGCGAGAGTGGTCCTTGCAGCATGCCGTGATCGGACCCCTACTTTCCCTGCCCCTCAGCATGCCCCGGACGTCTTCTTCACGTGTATTCCATGCAACCCTCCTTCCGTATCGTCAGCTAGATGGCTTCAAATCTCTGTGGCAACCAAATTTGCTCACCCCTGTACACAAGATCCACCCGATGCTGGGTCTACAGGCAGGCACAGGACACGGAGCAGTTGCATACTCTTGCCATCATCAAGCGGCTGCCAGTCATGTTGAGGCTGCTTCGTCGCCTGCAGCCGCAGCAGTGACATCCATGGCCGCCCTTTCCTCCTGATTCGACTGGTCAGGGGCCGATGGGCCCACTGCGGCGCCCCCACCAGCCGCAGTCCTGCCCATATAAGCCTGCTCCAATTGCACCTGCAATCAAAACACGCAGAATGGTGGGTCATATGTGTGATGCACAGATGGCACAGATCGGATGGCTACTATCATTTTGAAAGCAAGGGTGGTGTGCTACAGGAGAAGGGAACTGTAGCCAGGGCACAGAATTCCTGTCAGGATGGCATCAACCACCTTCAACTTGTTTGCACGCCTGGCACAGAGCTGGAAAACTTCCAGTCATATGCATTCGTGGGCGTCTCTGGGGTCACCTGGCTGCGCGGTGCGCTGTAAAATGACTCATGACCCATACCAGAACAACTCCTTCAATAACATCCGCGACACTCACGGCCTGGTTCATGGCAGAGAGACGCCGGGATGCAGCCATGCATCGCTTCAGCACACCCTCCAGTTGCTTCAAGAAATCGACTATTGGGTGCAAGGTGGGAAAAGGAGTGCAACATTAGTGTGCTGGTAGAGGTGTTCCCCTGTTAGGCTTTCAAAAGCTATGCTTCCTGGCTCTCTTTAGATCCCTTCTGGACAGATACAATACCTCAGAAGTCACCTTGCGAAGGGGACGCGTCGCCAAACCTTACTGTCCCATGTTCTTGGTCAATGCTGGCAGTCAGCTCCCCAGAGTCCACCATCCTGCGGCATGAGAATGCAGTCCAATGATGGGGGTGCACTGGCCAGCTTCTGCCTACCAAACCTTGACAGAAACTGATCCTTTCCAGACACTGTCAGGGAGCGCGCAGCGTTGAAGCAGGCACGAGGAGCTGAAGCCTGTTCAGTAAACACATGCTATCGAGCCTGAATCCTACCTCAGTATGAGGGGCTCCACCTCCCGTACGTCTAGTGACAGCTGAACGAGACAGTGACGGGGAAGAACAAGTTTCTATTCTTGGTCCTTATTTCCACTGCAAAAGTGTCAAACGAGGATTCCGAGAACCTGGCCCACCACCTCACATCCACTTCACAAGACATGGGCAGAGGAAAAGAGCCCTCACCAGCTCTGCAGCCTTCTCAAACGCGATGGTGGTGTACACCTTGGTCAGTCTGCGCACCGCCCTCGCCTTGGAGGCCTGCAGCGCCAGTTGCAGCAGTCCCCAGTTCCCGTCCTGGGTTTTGTGTACGGGGCCAGGGGCAAGTGCTGTTGAAGGGCTGGAGGGACGACGACTGCCACAATGGGCAGGTTCCTGCTCAGCAGCAAGGTCCGCATCATGCTGCTGCGCCCCGCAATCTCCGGGGGAGGCCAGCCAGCCACCCGAGTGCAATTGAGAAGCAGTGTTTGGACAACCACGTGTGCTGCAATGCCTGAGCTCGCCAATCCAGACCCCCCTCTCCATGCGCTTCAGCACCTGGATGAAGGCAGGCGCCGACGTCTCCAGCCAGGAGGCAAGGTCTGGGAGGGGTCCCACCGCTGTCAGGTGCCGGCCAGCAGTCAGGTACAGGGCACACTCGGACTTCACGGTGCGGCTGAGGATGGGCGGCGCGCTCTTGGGGAGGACACCAACACTCGCTGCAGGGTGGTTGTGGAGTTGTATGTTCAGGGCTTGTGAGGATGACGGCGGCAGGGAGAATGCCGGGCAGAGCAGCATGGTGCCCTGCTCCAACAATATCCAATGTCTGTGCAAGACCATGCCGGGGACGGAGCAACATGCAGGCCGGCCTCACCCTTGTGCAGGACATGCAACAGCATCCACTTCTTGGCGGCTGCTATGGTGACGGCGCTGACCACCCCCGAGGGCACAGAGAGCGCACATTCAAAAAACCACAGTGCGCAAGCGTAGCGCCGCCTGAATTGAGATTGGAGGAGGGGAATATGTGGGATGGGGTGCCATGTACGGGACACATGTGCAGGCTCAATATTCTCCAGGCAGTGCTTTGACAGACCACTGTTGCCGCTTCAAGCACATCTGCGACGCTCATGTCCTCACTGCAGCTCACCTGGTGGTCTCCACCAGCCCTCCATAGTAGCAGTAGAGGAGCACATCCAGGTTGGTCGAACCAGTCTTGGAAGGATCCACTGCATGCATGCAAGTAATATGTGCAGCTTAGGGAGGTGTACCTGTGACATACAATATCTCCAAACATATGCAGCAAGTGCCGTGAAAGAATAGCTTACCTTCACGGTGAATCATTGCCTGGAGCTCACCCTGAGCCTGCAAGCCGGTCCAACCCAGCACACGAGCACCAGTGACTTACCGTCATAGGCTTCGTGCTCAATGAAAGGGAGTGCAGCATGATAATTCTTGGTGAGGATGCACCTGTTGCAAGAAAATATCTTGGGTATGAGTGCGAATTGGCAGATGTCATGCCGCCATGAACCTCCTCACACAATCTCTGCAAACTTGCATCCCACTGAAGCGGTATGCAGTGCATTGCCAAAGCGACGCAAGCCAGCTGAATAGTCATTCTGTACCCCAGCCTAACTCACAGCTGGAAAATGTCAGCATGCAAGGGGCTGATGTACTTTGTGCCAGGAATGAGTCGCAATGCTGCCTTCCGCAAGGTGCAGAGGGCGGACTTTCCAGCCCCTTCCCTCAGAGCCGCAGACTTCATGCGTCTGGCCAGACGTGCGACTGGTGAGGGACAGCAGCAGTGAGGTAGTAGAATGGATCAGGAAGGTGTCAGGCGGCCCCAACTGTGGATGCTTTCCGTCGTATCGATGCGACAAGGGGGAGTTTGCAGGAATACTACGTGCAATCTGTCCTTCCCAACATACCCAGGGCCTTGTCGATGCATCAGGCATACAACCTGTCTGCTCTAAAACCCTCTCAGCCACCAACTCTCACCAAGTGGCATGCTCAACTGAAGCTGGCTCGCATCCCCATTTTCCAGCAGGGCTACCTCAGCAGCCAAAAGGTCCATGTTCCTATGAGTGTCTGGGCTTGCTCTGCCCACAGCATCCCTGCATTGAATGCGAAGGAATGGTCAGCCTACATGCCTGGCAACCATACACCACATCTACCCTGCGCACGATTGCAATGTAGATATCCTACATCCTCCTCACACTCACAGCAAGTACAGGCATCCCAGGGACTGCACGCCTGGATCTAGGGACGCAGCAGCAGCCAGTAGTGTGTCGCGATCGCTGTTTGCCAAGGATTGCACGCATGCGTCGGATTCAAGAATGCTCTTCAGCTCCGTCGCATTCGTCGTACGAATGCGGGTGACAAGCTCCTCCATGGCAAGTGATCTAGGACTCAAAGGCCCAGCCCGATGACCCCTTATCGAGGGCAGTACGTTTGAGAGTAATCAGATCTCCAGTGTGAGCGCGATATATACACAGAACGCGGGCACAGCCTTCCAGTATATTAGGCTAATGATTTCAGCACTGTCTCAAGCAGGGCGCATGGCCTCTCAACGGCGAGGTCGGACTTGATACCTCCCCAATGCATATATGCCGCGCATAATGCCCGACCTGGGTCGACCAGATCTGCAGTCTACCGTCAGAATCCTCCCCGCAGCGTCTACCGAGGGTGACGTCCCCACCCTCCGCGCGCGAAGTGTTGCAATGAGGCTGCGTGTGTTTGTCCCAGGCACCGGCCAGCCTACAGCGCCAGAGCGGGAAACGCTGGGCAGTAACGCCGGAGACCTGGGCCGATTCGATCCTCTTCGACGCGACTTCTGTCACTGGGGCCACCGAGTTCAAGGCAGCATGGTGCGAGAGGGCTGACGCCGCCGGCCTAGACTGTGGGACCAGCCAGCCGTGACCACTGGGGTGTTGCCGGGGATAGCGACTGCCGGCGAGGGTGCTAGGCGGAATGGGCTAGTTTAGAATACACTCCCTGACCCTTTCGAGCGTTATGGTGATGACGCTGAGCCCGAGAGGTCCTCCGGCTGGTAGCCGGGTCACAGTCGGGTGGCTTACCAGCCTATCCCCCTCCACCCTTGCAGGAGAACAACCCCATCAAGCTCGCCATTGTGGTGAAGGTCATCGGCCGCACCGGCAGCCGTGGCCAGGTGCGCGGGGGAACGACCGCATGGCTGGGTGGTTGAGCAAGGACCTGGCCTCCCCAACTGAGTTTTGTCCTGCTCAATGCCTCGCCTTCCCCTTCCCTCTCTCTCAGGTCACTCAGGTCCGCGTGAAGTTCCTGAACGACCAGGAGCGTCAGATCATGCGGAACGTGAAGGGCCCCGTGCGTGAGGGTGAGCGAGGAGTGAATTGTGGAGGCGGAGGGATGGGCTGGGGTTGGGCTGTGGGAGCACCCAGCTGGCCTGCCTGGGTTGTCGCAACATTCTCAAGCAGGCTCATCCTGCTCAAAACCATGCTCCCCACCTCTCCTCGAAGGTGATGTGCTGACCCTGCTCGAGTCTGAGCGCGAGGCTCGCCGGCTGCGGTGATCGGCGCGCCTGCGTCGCACCTGTACCTGCTTCGTGCCCTGGCCTGCCCCGGGGTGCTTTGCTATGGTTTCCTGGGCAATGTAACCCCCTCCTCCTGCCACTCTGGTCCTCGTGCAAAAGGGACTTGGGAAGGATGCGGTGCGAACAGGTGGCTGCTGGCCTGAGAAGGCAGGGGGACAAGTTGAGCAAGACCCGCAGCTCTGGAGAACCTGTGATGTTGCCCGCGCAGGCCCCTTGTCCCCGCCCCGATGCCCGCGTCGCCACGCATGCGTGCGCGTCTCGTGCGCCTCGTGCACGGCAGGCCGAGACGGCCGCCGCTGCGCCCTCCTGTGCAGCCGTCGGCGCAGGCGCCGCACTGTTCATGCGACCGTGGAGCAACTCGCGGATACCGCCCTCCAGCGCGCGAGCGTCTCCCCCGGCGCCCCCCGCCTTTGCGTTTCCTGCGCCAGCGCGACGCCGTCCTCCGCGCTGGCCACCACGCCGGCGGCGCACAGCGCCACGCCCGCGTTGAGGTTCAGCGCGTCCGCCACGGGCCCCCGCCCCCCGCCAAACACGTCCTTGCAGAATTTTGGTTTGGTGGGGGGATGATTGATCATGTCCATGATTTTAAGGAGGGCGTCGAGCACCGTGCGACCGGTAGACGCCCCCGAGTGATCCTGCAGGGGCTTCGTTCTCCCCCCTCCCACCCACTCGGACCCCCTTTCCACCTCGAGTATGGCGGCGTTCAGCCTCGCGTCCCCGCCCTTGAGGTCCTCCACCGTGGCCCGGGGGATGCCCAGGTCCCGCGGCTCCAGGGAGTACTCCCGCTTCCCGGCCTGCGTCACCTCCACCACCGAGGCAGGGCCCAGCGGGGTCAGCTCGTCCAGCCCCATGGAGTGCACCACCAGCGAGCGCTGGGTGCCCAATCGCTGCGAGGAGGAGGGGGGGAGGGGGGGCCGTGGCGGGGGGGGGGTTGATAGCACTGACGCAGCAAACAGGGACTCCCACGCCCAGAGGATGCCTCTTGGCAGGACGGCACGCCGCAATGCACGCGTCTGCCCAGCTTGAAGGTTGCCTGGGTGCACATTCCCTGCACAGCAGTCCCTGCGGCGCCTCGTCGGCCAGTGAAACCACCCCTCCCCCGCCCAGATCACCATCGGACCCTTGCATCCCCACAACACTCTGGCGACTACCTGCAAGGCATCCGCCATGACGTGGGATATGCTGGGCGAGTAGACTCCGACCAAGCCATAGGCGGCGTGCGCAGGGTTCAGCAGTGGGCCCAGCAGGTTGAATACGGTGCGGATCTTCAGCGCCCTGCGCACCGGCACCACCGCCTGGACGTTTGGGGAGGTTGTCGGAGGACGCATGATGGATGCGGTTTCGTGCTGGGGCGTAGGCATCGGTGTGCCCGGGACCAAGGTGGGGAAAGGCAGGGGGGCATAGAACAGCAGGGTAGGAGTATGCAATCGAGTGCCAGAGCCAGCCTGTGGAATTACACACGGCAGGGCCTAGCAGCGACGGCCCACAACCATTCCCTTGCTCCAGATTGCTGCCCACCGCCTGGCCCCCACCGCGCCCGACCCCCTGCCCTTGTGGGCCGCAGATCCATTTCATCAGGGCCCACCTTCATGGCCGGGTGGAAGACCGGCGCGTACATGAAGCCCACGCCGACCTCATCGATACAGCGGGCCACCCCCGCTGCGTCCAGCTCCACAGTCACCCCCAGGGCCTATGGAAAGAGCGATGTGCGGAAGCGTGGGGAGGTGGAAGGAAGGTGCATGTGGGGTGCAGGCATGCGCAGCCGGGTTTCACCATGTGCAGGGGGCTGTTGTGACCTACATGAGCTCAGCCTTCCCTCGTCTTTCAGGCCCCTGGACTCACCTCCAGGACATCTGCGCTCCCACACAGGCTCGAGACGGAGCGGTTGCCGTGCTTGGCCACGCGCGCACCCGCGGCAGCCGCCACCACGCATGCCCCCGTGGAGATGTTCACGGAGCCAATGCCGTCGCCGCCGGTCCCCACGATGTCCACCACTGCGCATGCACAGGAGGGGCATACGCTGAGGGGTCGGGACCGCTGGCGGGGCCCGGGCCTGCCCAGGCAGGTCAGCACTCCCCATATCACTTTCCCGATGACCGCACCGTCGTGTGGCGTGTCCACGCGCAACCCCAATTCCAGCATGGCCTGCGCCAGTCCGGCAATCTCCTCCGCCGTTTCTCCCTGGGCAAGAGGAAACGGGGATGGGGGTCATGATCGCACCCCGCACGAGGCGGTTGTCCCTGGGAGCGGCCACATGAGACACCACAGACGCCTACAGGTCGATGCAGTGTGTGCCCACATGGCAATGCGGTTGTAACATGCGACGATGTGAGCCGTCCCAGAGCCACAGACCTTGGCCCTCAGGAGGACGAGGAAGGCGGCCAGCTGCGTGGGCGATGTTTCAGCAATCATGCCGTGCAGAAGGCTTTTGCATGCGTCAAAACCAAGATCCTCGCGGGCTATGAGCCGCTCCAGAGCCTGCGGGACGGGCGAGCCGAGGGGTGTTCTGGCTCGGGAGATCCTCAGCGGGGTTGCCTACAGGGAGAGCACCCCATCGCCAACCTCTGACCCTCCTGCGCCACGCACATGTCTGAGCTCCAGCACTGGCGCTCCATTTTTCAAATCAGACGATGCTCGAGCGGCAGGAGTTCGAATGCAGGGCCTCTGCGGGGGGGGTGATCGACGCAGGAACACACCCACTGGAGGTCTGCAGGCAGAGTTAATTGCCATGCCCACCACCATCCCGAGCGGCAGAGCCTGATGGTCTCCCGTTGTCTTTCGAGTATCTTATGCTGAATTCAGGCCTCCGACTGTGTCATGTCGACTGTCCCCGATTAAGTGCCGTTCGCTGCGCCAAGGCATGCGCGCGGCGGTCATGCTGTCCGATCACCCGGAAAAGTGGATATGCATCCATCCTTCGACACATGCAGCACGCGCTGAAAATACCCCTTCTGAGCTGAATCTGATCATTATTGTCGTGGGGATCTGCATTGGCTTGCTCCTCTTCTCTTGATGCAAGGGTGGAGGGTGGTGCCGGTGCTGTCCTGGCCAGTGCCTGGTCTCAGGCACCCCCTTGCCCATCGTCGCCATGCACTGCCCCTGAAACCATGGACAGGGCCATGCCAGCGCCCCATCAGATCATATCAGGAGCATGCGTCCAGGGAGTCGCCCCCTTCGCAGGCCATCGGGCCCATTCAGCACCTGGCCTGCCCCCCCTGGCAAGGCAGCCAGCAGGAGATGGAGGTGTGCGCTCATGGCACTTGCATGAGCTGAGAGACGTCCTGTCGAGGGGGTTCTTGGAGCTTTGGCCCCTCCTTGGACGACGCCTGTGCCTTGGGGGGACACGGGGCGGTGCCATGCACGTGTCGATATGCATCCTGGATGCCCTACATCAGCTCTGTGCCACCCTTTCCCGGCTGCACTCGACACCCCGCAGGCGCTCCACCAGCTCGAGCGGCGCCTGGACCAGGGGCGGTGCAGGGGGCGGTACACGCGGGACACCGCCGTGTGGTTCCTGCGAGACAGGCGGCTGGACGTCGCAGAGGCTGCCGGGAAGCTGGAGGCCATGCTGGACTGGCGAGCCCGCATCGGGTGAGCACCGCGGTCAACAGAGGCACGGGGCACGCATTTACACCGTGGTATTTGGCCCCGCTTTCGCATTGACAGGTCCCCTCTCATGCGACCCGTAACCTTCCAATCCGCTCGCCGCCGCTAGGGCGGATGGGCTGGACTGGGCCTCAGTCGCCAAGGAGGCGGCCAGCGGGAAGGTGTACCTGCACCCGCATCGCGACGTGCTGGGGAGGCCGGTGGTGGTCATCCACGTCAGGAAGCATGTCATGGGTGGGTAGTTCGAAGGGTTTTTTGGGGGGGGGGGGAGGGGAGGACTTCTAACTTGGGCATGCCCTTTCGGGACAGGCCCCAGCCACTTGAATGGGCTATGTGGGGGGAACGCAGGCGACGCAGATACCCGGCAAGGGAACGCACTGAGGGCTTCCAGCCAGGGGTGCTGCTCCCCGATGCCTGATGCTTGGTCCGCCGGGCTGCCCAGCAAGGGAAGCAGGTTGACCTGCCAGCACGACTCCCATGGTCATGAGACCCCCAGGTGCGTCCCCCGGCGCTGACAGCCAGCGGCTCTGCGCCTGGATCCTGGATGCTGCGCTGGCTGCGCTCCCACCGGGGCAGGAGTGCGTGCTCGGGATCTTCGACCTCAAGGGCTTCTCCCTGCAGAACGCAGATCTAGGCTTTGCACGTTTCCTGGTGAGGTGTGGCACGCCTTCTTCTTTGGGAGTCTGACAGTGGCTGACCCTTTTTGTGGCAGTTCAACCACGGGAAACCTGTTCTGTTTGTGCTGAGTGATGGGGCCCATTATGGTCAAGGTGTCCATCATGTCCCTTGTACCTGCAATGTCTGTATGTATCAGGGTGTCCGCCCTACGTTTCCCTGTTCCCAGCTTTGACACAGCAATCCACCCTCCACCTCGAAGGTCGATGCGCTGTTCACTTATTATCCCCGGAGACTGGGCCAGGCTGTGCTGGTGGATCCCCCCTGGGCGTTCCAGCCGGGCTGGTCTGTTGTGAAGCCGGTACGCGGGGGTGCATCTTCCGCACGTGCGGCAGCTCCCGGACTTTAAGTGCCCGGTGATCCGCGTCTTTGCCCTAGCCCACTGGGAACCTCATGAATCTGTGCCCCGCAGTGGCTCGGAAAGTATGGCGACCTGGTGAGAGTTTGTTCCGCGCGTCAGGTAGGAGTCGAGTACTTTCAGCCTGGCACGGCACCAAGTGGCTTCGGACCATCCTAGCCCAGACGGATGGGAGGCATGCCAACTCGAGCACCTTCCGTGTAATAATATAATCGATTGGCATGCGCTAATTCAGATTTCGCATGGCTGTATGCCTGAATGTGGAACGTCTGCCGAAGGCGCACAGCGTGAGGCCCGCGACCCTGTGGTCGGCAACCCTCGGTCGCTTTCGGCCAGCCCCAGGATTGCTTTGTAATGACTGTGCATAATGGCAGTACAGGCGCTCGCTCGCGATCTATGCACAATCGACTCCTTCGCTATCTCTGGTCGAAATTCAGAGCCGGGGGACAAGCTTTCATGAGTTTCCAGATACTGTAGGGCCTGAGCGACAGTTCCCATAGGGGCCCCCTCCCGAGGACCCCGGGATCCCGTTTTCCAGTCGGGGACGAGAGAGCTCATCGCTTACGTGCCCCCGCTGAAAAGCGTGTCTGCGTCATTCACATCTGCTAAATCCGTCCTAATTAGGCTTTGTGTGGCCATAAAGGAGGAAGTTTTGCCTGTGTGAGCCGCGGGCATCCACTATTATTCGATTCCCGACAAGGCACTCTAGGGACCATGTCGGCAGGACAGGAGCCAAACACAGATGCGCAGGATGCTTACGACTCTTTCGACTCGAAACAGCGTCGCAGGAAGAGGACGAAGCACGGTGAGCGGGGTGGCGAGGTGGGTGCCTGCCCGGTAGGTACCCATCCCGGCTCACGACGGGGCAGGCTCACGCGCCCCATCTACTCTCGGCAGGTCGATACGTCGCTGATATTACTTACGAGGAGCTATCTCGATGCTTTAACATGGTGCGGGGGGAGCAATTGTTTTGGACCTCACATGCCCCTTTCACGCGGTGCCCCAAGTTCCAGCCATGGCAGCTATTGCGGATGCGCCCGCATCCAAGCCAGCCCCGTGCGGTCGATAACCTCCTATATTTTCCTTGCTTTGCAGCCAGCGCTGCAGGCGTGCGCGGAGCTGGGCATCGGCCTGACGATGGTGAAGCGCCTGTCCCGGAAGTATGGGATCATGCGCTGGCCCTACCGTAAGAACAGGGCGGAGCGCAGAGTGGCCGGCTGGGACGAACAGCATGACATGGCCAACTCTTCTGACCTGGGTGAGTACTAAAAAGGAGCTCATGGGAGGGGGGACTCATGGGTGGTGGGTGTACAGCATGCCTCGCCTGTGCACCCCAGTGAGTGGGCCTGCATGGAGAGCCATGACCCCCAAGCTGACGGGTGCTGGTGGGTGAGCCAGCCAACTGTACGCCATGCCCAAGCCCTCGCCATGCCCAGCCTGTGGCCTTTGCTGGTCCGGTGCCCGAAAAACTGCACGAAGATGGCCCCTCCACATGCACACATGTGTTGTGTCTGGCGCGAGCCTACGTGCCGTCCTCGCCCCCATGCCTTGGGACCCATCACACATACTCCCTCCCTGCAGACGTGACAGTCGGTCTGTCTGGGGTGAGCCTCCCCTCCCTGGAGGCCATGCCTTCCAGCACGCCGGGCTCCGGCGCTGTGCCCGCCCCAGTCGCCCAGGAACCCCGGGCCCAGGGCGAGCTGGTGGACCGCCGGTGGGCCTCCTCCGACTCGTCGCACGTCAACTACCACGCCGTCGCAGCCGCAGCCAGGTCCCCGACCGCCCCCGCCCCCTCCGCGCTGGGCTTCGGCGCGGTGGTGGCCGAGGCACTAGCCCGCGCCCAGCGAGGCGCGCGCCCGGTCGCCCCCGTCGCGACGCGGGCCGTCACCTTGGACCGCTGGGCGCCCCCTCCCCCTGCCGCGCGCCCGACCGGACCCCACCCGCCCCGCGGCCGCGGCGCGGCGCTGGGCGTGCTGGCGGAGCTGAGCAGGTCCCATCCCCAGCTCATGACCCAACTGGTGGATGCCCTGGCCGCCAACCAGGCCGGCCAGGGCTCCGCCGGGCGCAGCCCCTCGCACCAGGCGCCGCCTACGGGCCCGGCGCAGCTGCTGAGGATCCGCACCGGGGTCACGCCCGCCTCCCCATTCTTGCCAGACACGGGCACATGCCCGCTGAGCCTGGGGGCCTCCCAGCCCAGGCCCCGCCCCGCGCCCTTTGGGAGCAGGCGGTCGGCCTTCTCCGCGCTCTCGCTGTGAAGCCGTTGCCCCAGCAGAGTTTTCTCTCCTACCTCTGTCATATCTGCCAGCAGCCGCCGCACGTGACGTGGCACGCCCCCTCTCCGCTGCATGTTCCGACTCATATATAGTGCCTGGTACTCCACCCTCCAGCCCCTCTCCACCCTCTCTCAAACACTTCCCCTCACCTTGACGCCATGCGCCCCACAATTAAGTGTGTTTTCTCACCCCCTGCGCTCCACAGCGCGCCCTTGAGTGCTCTTTCTTTTTCTTCTTTGGTGTGGGTGAAGTTCTTCCTTTGCTACCTGGAAAGGACACTACCCTTGCCCCCGCTGCTGCTGCCCCCACTTCCATTGCTCCCTGCGGCGAATGGAAGGCTTGCACAAGAGGCTGACACCCTGGGGTATACCTTCCGGACCCTCTCATCTGCAAAGAATCCCCTGCTTTTGGCAAACTACTGGAGGAATGTGCCTTCAGGGTCATTAGATTGACTTTATCCTCCCCACATTGGAGCCCCCTTCAACCATGCATAGGTTGGAATGTAGGCACCACATGATCCTACCCCTTTCTCTTTGCCATATTGGCGCAGCCCTGTAATGCGATGAAGCGCAACGGGTGCATGAGCCTTGGTGCCAGCCCAAGGCAGTGATGCATGGCAACAGCAGAATATCCGCCATGCCTGAGCACTGAGCAAACCACATTGTCCCCAGACATAGTCCGAATCCCCAGAGAGAGAGGCTCACACTGTTCTTGTGTGCAAGAATTGTCTCGTACATGCACTAAGGGCAAGTGGGGATGAACCCGTGCACTTGCGCGCTTAGACCCCGGACTGCCAACACAGCCAGGCGGCAATGGCTTGCCAGAGTTGTAAATCGCCCCCCCGCCCTCCTTCTAACCCTCTTTGGTACTCGGGAGGGCACGACGTAGGCTAAGGTAGGCACTCGCAGGTCGTGCCGGAGAGAGAAGCATAGGCGGCGACTGACACACGGAGGCAGACCCGGTGTCGCGAGAGCTCGGCCCGCAGCTCTGACCCGCCCCTCGGCCCGACGTGCCCACCACAGATGGCGAAGGACAAGAGCCGCAGCACGGAGCTTGTCTCCCGGGAGTACACCATCAACCTGGGCAAGAAGCTGCACGACATCTCCTTCAAGAAGAGGGCGCCGCGCGCACTCAAGGAGATCAAGAAGTTCGCCTCCAAGCAGATGAACACCTCTGATGTGCGGATTGACATCAAGCTGAACAAGGCTGTGTGGAGCCAGGTACGCGAAGGAAGATGGTAGTATGGGCCAACTCTGGGGCAAGGGGTGGTGCAAGCGGGGGCGGCATGCATTTCCCCAAGGGTGCAGAGTGAGCGCATGTGACCGGAACGATGTGGTGTGTGGCAGAGTTGGTGATGGCAATGCACAATGTGCTACATCATTCGCTGTATGCTGAGTTGGAAGAATGTTAGGGTGGCAAACGGCTGCCGACGGTGGTCTGACTCGCCCCCCTGACTCTCCCTTCCTCGTCCTGTCCCCGAACAGGGCATCAAGAACGTGCCACGGCGCCTGCGCATCGTCGTGCAGCGAAAGCGCAACGAGGACGATGATGACAAGGTGGGTGACCGTGTGGGGCGGGAGGCAAAGGTGCGGCATGGACGGCGCTTCGCCTTTCTGCTGACCGCATGCCTCAAGGCACGCTCTCCTCCCTCCCTCATGGACACTGCAGGAGCAGCTGTACTCTTTTGTCACCCTGGCCGACGACCAGAACACCAAGGGCAAGGGCACCGTCCTCCTGGATGCCTGATCTTGCCGCCTTCGCCGTGCTTTCCTTCTGGGTGCCCGGCCTGTAATTCGTTCGCACAAGGGTGCACCTGAAGTGGGTGACAGGCGGGGCAAACCTTGAGGCCTGGGAGATGGGACGCTACGAGCGTTCGCCCATACTGGACAAGCTCGGTGATACAGCGCGTTCCAAGGCAGTTTTGGTCCACTTGGAAAGGGCATGTGACAGCCTTGGCCTGCTGAGCGCCATGTCTGGTGTGGGAGTTGCGTTGTAGGACACCCGACATCGAGGCCCTTGGGAGTACGACATGTCTTCCCTGCTCTTGCACCATGACGCGCACAGACTTTGGCCCAGGAGTTCGCCAGCAGATTGACGAAAGCATGCTGCCAGGCCACAATAGGCCGCCCCGCGCCTTCCAGTTACCATCGCCGACAGCACTGGCGTCCAACCCAGCACCCCCTGGAGCTGCCTTCAGACCCGAGACCAAAGATTCTCCCATCCCCACCTCATTCCTCACCTCCCACATTTCCCTCACGCTGCCACTCCCCGCACCCCAATGCGACGAGGTGTGCGGGTCCACCCCCTCGACCCCCCCCCCCCTCCCTGGACTGAGTGCGTTACAGGGGCGACCAGCGCGGGTCCGGGGGCTCAGAAGCGCAGCTTGGTGAAGAACCACCTGTTCTTCCCGGTCTTGAACTTCTCCTCCAGCAGGGCCTTGGCGGCCTTGTTGGCCTCCTTGCGCTTGGTGGAGTTCTCCAGCGCCTCGTTGCTGACCACGCCCTTGAGCTCCAGGTCCAGCGTGTAGCGGGTGGGCATGAGGTGGGTGTAGTTCACGGCCTTGATGAAGGTCTTCAGGCTGGAGCGCCGGGCTTGGACCTTGAGGGAGCTCTTCTTGGTTACCTGCGAGGAGCAGAGAAAGCGGGGGGGATTCGGGCCAGGCATTTGCAGGTCCTGAAGATTCACAAACTACAAGTTTCCCGGCTCTCCTTGCATTACAGCGCACAACCATTGGAGCCCATGGGTGGGTGGCCAGCCCAGGAACCAGCTCATTGCAGGGGGCCAGCCATCCGAGAAGCCCTCCTCCTCCCCAGCCCGTCCCGCCCTGCTTCCCCGATTGCGCACCTTGCGCGGCTCTTTGCTCAGGCCCAGCACGAGGGCGTGGCCGTAGGGGCGGCTGGACGCACCGTCATCGAAGTTCTTGACGATGACAGCCTTCTTCCCGGCGTGCCGCCCGGTCAGAAGGATCACCACCTTCCCGGACTGCAAAAACGCATTACGGAGGAGGTCTTAGTAGGTATTGGGATGCTACACGGTGCATCCTGCATCCTCCCCGACACGGGACCAGCACCCTCCGGCGCCGGGGGCCCAGTCGCCAGGTGCTCCAGGGCCGTCCGCGCCCTTAACCGCCTCCCACGCACCTTCAAGAACTTCACCATGGCTGCTGTAGCTCTGCCTGCCAGACTCCAGCACAGAAAGAGACAGGGCGCTGGCCGAGTACAGTAAAATGGCCGCCCCGAGCTACCCGGGTCAATTGGGCCCCCAGCTGGCACCCATGGCCCTTCGCAGTGCAAACATGCAGGTGACCACGAGGACTGGTCAGATCCATCTAACGCCCTGCATTGTCACTGCTGAGGCTGCATAGATATTGGACTTAATCTCGAGATAACAGGCTCCTTGTCGGGGGGCATGCTGCCCTCTTGCGGGGTGGGGCAGAGGCACGCTGTCCTTCTCCCGCAGGGCCCTCTCCATGCCAGCATCACCCTCTGTCGAGGAGTACATCCCAGACCGCACCTCCCGTCCTGCGCTGGAGTAGGGTACGATGGGAACAGACACAGCTTCCGGCCTGGACCCCCACCTCGGCCCAACCGTGCCAGCGTGGCACGGCCAGCTGCTGGCCCGGATGTCGTGTCCACCGCTCCCGCCCCCCCCTCGAAGGGGGGCCTGGCCCAGCGGGTCATCTCCGGATCTCTGCTGGCTTCACTGGCCCTCGTCATGATCGGTGCCGGGGGCTGGCCCTTCGCGAGCCTCGCCTGCCTGGCTGCCTGGCAGTGCTCCAGGGAGTACGTGGGCCTGCTGCAGGCCTCCGGCATGGCCTCCGGTATGGAACCCCCCAGCAAGCTGACGTCCAGCACAGTGACCCTCTTCTGCGTCGCCCTGAACGTCTGGACCGCGGCGTCCAGAGGGAGGGGCAGCACGCCCCTCGCTGTTGCCGCCTTCTGCCTCATGTTCATGCAGCTCGTGGATGCTCACAAGCCGCGCTTCGCACAGCTGGCGTCCACCGTGTTCGGTCTGATATACTGTGGTGAGGAGGGGGGACCGTGTCTGTCGGTGTGGAGGGAGAGATGAGGGGTGGTGACAGGGCAGGCGTGCCATGGCACCCACCAGCTCCTGACCACAGTCCGCCCCGGCGCATGCCTGCGCGTGCAGCGCACCGCGCCCCTGAATCGGTCTGAACCCCCTCGGTCCAGCTGTGCGCCTGACGCATGCGTGTGGTCCTCAGCCTGTCAGGGCTGTCACCGAGCAAGAGGTCTCCCTGATCCTCGGCCCTGCAGGGTACCTGCCCAGCTTCTGGCTGAGGCTCCGGATGCTGGACGTGCCGGCAATCAACTCGCAGCTTCTGCACAGCTGGCCGGTGAGTCACATGTGGATGGAGGTCGTGACTGGGTGGGGTGGGCCTCGCATCGCTCTGGGGTGTCTGATCTCAGCGGAGAGGGCTACCCTGAGCCCTGGGTGCTGGCTGCCCGTGCCACAGTCCCTCCCACCTGTGCCTGCTGGGTATGGTGATCCCCCACACGGCAAACCTGTCTCCCCCGCCTGAGGCCAGGCCGCTCAACTCCACCACCATCCCATGCACCCCCACAGGTCTCCCTGGGGGGCTTGAGCCACGTGACGGTTGGCCTGGTGGCCACCCTCACCACCGTGGCATGCGTGGTGGGCGCCGACACGGGGGCCTACTTCACGGGGCGCGCCTTTGGCCGCACGCGTCTGCACAGCATCAGCCCCAAGAAGACGGTGGAGGGGGCGGCGGGGGGCCTGGTGGCCTCTGTGGCCGTGGCCCTGGCCTCCTGGCGCTTCCTGGGCTGGCCCAGCGGCCCGGCTCAGGCGGCGGGCCTGGGCGCCCTCGTCTTTGTCTCCTCGGTGGCCGGAGACCTGATAGAGAGCGTGATCAAGCGTGACGCGGGGCTGAAGGACGCCTCCAACCTCATCCCCGGGCATGGCGGGCTGCTGGACCGCCTGGACTCCTACCTCTTCACCGGCGCCTGCGTCTACTTCCTCATCACGGCTGTGCTGCCTGGCTTTGGAGTGTAGGCTCGCCAGGCTGGTGCCAAAGACCGCACCGGGGGACACGCGGAAGCAAGGCCGGGAGACCGTGGTGCCCCTCGCGCAGCGAGGACGACTCCCGCAGCCAACCCTGAGGCGCGCTGCCCTCCACCCCGCTGGCGAGGCGCTCGCCGCGGATCATTATTAGGGGGCTCCCTAGCTGTGCCGCATCTCACTGACCGAATAACACGTGAAATTGATCGTTTCACCGCGACGGACAGAGGACCGGTTGACGCCGCAAGAGGTAACATGGTCCGGCACACAACCAAGGAAACGCCGCTCCACTGCTGCTGCGCATGCTGGGGTCGCCCCTTCCAGCAGGAAACCCAAACCCACGGCCCGGCTGCTCCCACCAGTTTTGGAGAAGGGATTGTACGGCAGCCAAACCATACGATTCGACCTCGGATATTCTGCCCGGGGCCAGTACGCCTGACCTCACAGCTCCGCGACACAGAGAGACTCCAACGGGCCATGTCGGCCGCTGCTTTCTTCAGGTCGGCACCCTGCCAGCGGACCGGGGGCGAGCCCTCCTGCAGCTATGCTCCCTCTCCTCAGCGAGCCTCGCATCGCCGCTCCGCTGCACGTCCCCGCCCTGCCCTGCGCGCACGGGCTTCCGCGGGCGGCCTGTCTTACAAGGACGCCGGGGTGGACATCGATGCTGGGAACGAGCTAGTCCGCCGCATCCAGAAGCTCAACCCCAACATCGGGGGCTTCAGCGGCATGGTGCCCTTCGGTGACTCCTTCCTCGTGGCGGGAACCGACGGGGTGGGGACCAAGCTCAAGCTGGCCTTTGACGTGGGCAAGCATGACACTGTGGGCATTGACCTGGTTGCCATGAGCGTGAACGACATCATCACCTCGGGTGCCAAGCCCATGTTCTTCCTGGACTACTTTGCGACGGGGAAGCTGGATGTGGACACCGCTGAGCAGGTGGATGGAGGGGTGAATCTGTGAGGATTACCGTGTGTATGGGGTGTGGTCCTGGTCAGGGTGTCCCTGAGCATGCACCTGCATCCCCGGTCCCGCACCCTCAAGCGCACCTGCATCCAAACCCATCCGCGGCTTTGTCCCCACCTCGGATGTGGTCTTGAGCATGTGCCACAAGACTGGCACAGATTTTATACTGCTTGCCCCCCCTTCTGTCCCCCTGACCGGGGACGACCATGGGCATTGTGGCATGATCCCTGTGGAACATCTTTCGTGATGAGCACGCAAACCTCCTTCCTATCTCCGCTCTGCATTGGGGTGTGTTGCAGGGCAGGCCTGCCATTCCTTGCATGATGGTTCCCGTACAGGTGCTCGTGCCCATTCCATTGCTGATGCCCATTGGCCCCCCCTCCCCCTGATATCCCAGGTCATCAAGGGCATCGTGGAGGGATGCCGGCAGTCTGACTGCACCCTGATGGGGGGCGAGGTGAGGAGGCTGCTGGGGAGCCCGGTCGCTGGTCATGCATGAGGTCAGCGTGCACCTGCCACCAGCTGCCTCCCTGCTCTACGCAGCACCCTGCTCCCTGCTCCCTCCTCCTTCCCTCGGCCTCACCAATCTTCGCCTCCCGCAGACGGCGGAGATGCCGGGCTTCTACAGCCCCGGCGAGTACGACCTCGCCGGCTTCGCGGTGGGCTCCGTGCTGCAGTCGCGGGTGATCGACGGCAAGCGCATCGCCGCCGGCGACGCCGTGCTGGCCTTGCCCTCCTCCGGCGTCCACTCCAACGGCTTCAGCCTGGTGCGAAAGGTGCTGGAGGTCAGCGGCACCGGCCTGGGCGACGCCGCGCCCTGGTCCGACGACAGCGTGGGGCGCTCGCTGCTCACCCCCACCACCATCTACGTCCGCGACGTGCTCAGGCTGACGGAGGCCGTCGACGTCAAGGTCAGCCTGGTGAAGGGGGGGGGTGGAGAGTGGGAAAGGGTCCATGCAGGGACACCGCAATGTGAGCAAGGGCGTGCTGGGCGACACTGCCTCCAGTCATCCGGACCAGGTGACCAGTACTTGCATGCCCCCCAAAATCCATGCGCAGGGCCTGGTACACATGACAGGGGGCGGGTTCCCGGAAAACATCCCACGGGTGGTGCCCAAGGGCCTGGCCACCCGGGTCAGCCGCGGCTCCTGGGAGGTGCCCGCGCTCTTCCAGTGGCTGCAGGAGGTGCGCATGGGGCGGGGCGGTGTGTGTGTGTGCGTGTGGAAGGCTGCGGTGGGGAACCCTGCTGTGTGCCCCTGCTTGGCGGGATATGTGTGGGGTGCGATGGAGCCTCGCTTGCTCATATGTGCTTCCCTGTGGCCGGCTCTTGGATGGGCAAGGGTCCCCCTCCCGTCCTCACCCATGTCCCCTCTGCGTCCTGGGCTGCAGTTGCATGTCCTTCCCCATGCTCCACATAGCGATGTTTCCCCCCTCTCTCCCCCCCCCCCCCAGGCCGGCAAGGTGGCGGACGAGGAGATGTTCCGGACCTTCAACATGGGCGTGGGCATGGTCATCGTGGTGGCGCCCAAGGATGTGGACGCCGTGCTCCAGACCCTGCCCCAGGCCTGGGTGATGGGGAAGATCGTGGAGGGGTCGGGCGTCGAGTTCACCGACTAGACCGGCGGAGTCTGGCGGGCGGGTGTGGAGGCTGGCAGTGGGCATGTGATGGAGCAGCTGAGGAGTGCGGTGGTCATGCTGAGCTGATCGTCCCGCATTGCTGCTCGGCACCTGGACGCCAGCCACCCCCGACCCTCCTGCCCCACATGCACGATCTTTGGTAGTCAGCGTGCACCTTCTCTGCGATTTCTGTACGACTGTTTGTACAACAGCACGTGGTCAAGGAGGGCAACGTCGGGTGGAGGCAGAGGTCTTTGTCAGAGGGGTCAAGGACTGTGTGTTGCGGTGGCGACCTCTGTCTGAACAGGAGCAGAGCAGAAGGGGCGAGGGAGCGGACCCCCCATGCACCTATGCCTTGTGTCGCTTGGACCTGGGCGGCAGCTTAGCCATGGTGTTTGTGGTTCCCTGGGCCAGCGCCTGGTCAGGCGCAGGCACGGAGTTCTCCTCTCCCGCCAGTTCTACCATGGGCTTCTGGCTGGCTGCCTGCAGGGCAGCACAACACATATATGTGGGATTGAGGGTGTATGAGTATGACTGGGATGGCTGTCGGCACCCTTCCACCCCCTCGGCAAAGGTATGTACAGGAGCGTGCGTGCTGCTCCAGGCGCTCTCACAGCACCACCGCCCCTGAAGCAAACACACCGCATGCTCACTTGGCTGCTGGTGATCATCTGGGTTGCCAGATCCTCAGCTGCAGCCTCGTGGGGGAGGTGCGCGTCCAATAGGGTTAGCGTGAAGCGCATCGTGTCACGGTCAGCTGGCTTGCTGATGCCCACATTGCCGTTGTTGATGAGCTGCATGGGTGGCGGTGGGACTTTGACTCGGAATGGGTACAGCGTGGTCTAGGGCTTGGGAGGGGGCAGGGAGTCTCACCAGGCTGCGAGAAGTGGACGCCATTATGTCATGCGGAACCCAACTCACGACCATGCTGGACATGTCTGTTGTCCTTCACTCGCACATGATACCCCGCGCCACGCTGTCCACCTACACAGGACACGTGCACCACGCCCGTCCCATCCCCAGCCGCGGGGACAGGTGAGGCGCGCATTCGTGAACCTGTTCAGTACCTGGAGGAGGGACGAGAAGGTGCGGGACACCTCAAAGCGGTTTGCTGTCCACTGCACTACCTCAGAGAACAGGGTGGGGGCGGCAGGCACCGACTCGGCAGCTGTTCCTGTGCGGGAGGTGGAGTTGGCTGTGGGGCAGGGTGTCGCAGTGTCTCATCATCCCCCCATGCACTCAAAATCATGTAGCCACGGTGGCCTTGCTCCCCATCCGGCGCTCGGTGCTGAAGCAAAATAACCCAGCAAGGCCCGATCCCAGGAATGATCATCCAGACACCCCCCCACACACACACATACACACACACACACACACATACACACACACAACCCCAACTCTGGGCCCACAGCCGCCCTCCCGCCGCACCTGGCTCCCTCAGGCTGAGCCCCTGCATGGCATCCAGAACCCTCTGGCCGTACACATGGATGTCAAAGGCGGGGCGGGCGTCCTCCTCCTCCAGCACCGGCCCGATACGCGAGCGCCACCCGCCAACCCTGCTGGCCAGCTCAGTCTGGACCTGGGCGGCGGCCGCCGCGGCGATCATGCGGCTGATGTGAGCCTTCAGGAGGTCGTCGAAAGTCATGCTGGTGGCATCCACGCATGAGCCTGGCGGGTGGTGGGGGAGTGGGAATGGGGCATGGGGTGTTGAGGGCTTCAAGGGATCGGGAGGAAACATGCTTGGCACCAAGAGTTTAGCCAGAAATCACCCCCCCCTCACAAACAACATGCCCCTGCCCATGAACGCACCATGCAATGTAAGCTCATCAACAGCACCCACGGGAACCCATCATTCACCCCACTGTCACTCACCGTCGATGCCAGTCTGAAAGGCTGTGCTTGTGAGGGTGGGGTCCCTCCACCCCTCGGCAGCCGCCGCCGAGACTAGGAGGTCATCGCCGTCCAGTCCATCCGCCGAAGGGATCGGCACATTTTCATAGTCGTCGGCCTCAAACCCGCCATCGTACCCGCCATCGTCTGCAGGGTGGTAGGGGAGTAGGGGTGAGCCAGGGTGTCTAAATCATGTAGCCACGGTGGCCTTGCTCCCCATCCGGCGCTCGGTGCTGAAGCAAAATAACCCAGCAAGGCCCGATCCCAGGAATGATCATCCAGACACCCCCCCACACACACACATACACACACACACACACACATACACACACACAACCCCAACTCTGGGCCCACAGCCGCCCTCCCGCCGCACCTGGCTCCCTCAGGCTGAGCCCCTGCATGGCATCCAGAACCCTCTGGCCGTACACATGGATGTCAAAGGCGGGGCGGGCGTCCTCCTCCTCCAGCACCGGCCCGATACGCGAGCGCCACCCGCCAACCCTGCTGGCCAGCTCAGTCTGGACCTGGGCGGCGGCCGCCGCGGCGATCATGCGGCTGATGTGAGCCTTCAGGAGGTCGTCGAAAGTCATGCTGGTGGCATCCACGCATGAGCCTGGCGGGTGGTGGGGGAGTGGGAATGGGGCATGGGGTGTTGAGGGCTTCAAGGGATCGGGAGGAAACATGCTTGGCACCAAGAGTTTAGCCAGAAATCACCCCCCCCTCACAAACAACATGCCCCTGCCCATGAACGCACCATGCAATGTAAGCTCATCAACAGCACCCACGGGAACCCATCATTCACCCCACTGTCACTCACCGTCGATGCCAGTCTGAAAGGCTGTGCTTGTGAGGGTGGGGTCCCTCCACCCCTCGGCAGCCGCCGCCGAGACTAGGAGGTCATCGCCGTCCAGTCCATCCGCCGAAGGGATCGGCACATTTTCATAGTCGTCGGCCTCAAACCCGCCATCGTACCCGCCATCGTCTGCAGGGTGGTAGGGGAGTAGGGGTGAGCCAGGGTGTCTGTGCGGAGGCAATGGAGCAGGGTAGTTCCCGAAACTCTACCCTTTCATCCTGCACATCGCATCGCCTGATGGGCTGGTGGGGACGTCTGTTTTGCTGCAGCGTGAGACCCTTTCCCTCCCCTCTGCCAACCGCACGCACAGTCGTCCTTGGCATCGTCAAATTCGTCGGCTTCCTGTACCCCCGCCAAGTCAGCACCGTCATCCTCTTGATCGAAGGCAGCCTGCAAACCATGGTGGGGCCGCGAGGATGCAGCGGTGGCTCTCTGCATCAGGATGAAGGGGGGACGAGAACACTGTGTAATGAATGGCAGAAGCAATTGCATGCTGGATACCTTGGAACCAAAGGGTCTCCATACCACGTCCAAGCTCAAAGCTGGGCATTGGCTCCTGAATTCTGTGGTTCCTCATACCGCAAATTTTGGACACCGCCACCCCAGTAATCACGCGCCCCCCCCCCCTCGTCCATCAGCCCTACCCGGTCTATCGTCCTGGCCTGTTTGGGGAGTCCATAGGCAAACTCCCGGAAGAACAGCCCATCGGGTGGAACGGCCCTGTGAATTGCCTCCTGCAGTGTCTGGAACGGCTGTGCCGGCCGCTGATTCCGTGGCTTGTTGGGTACCTGGTTGTAGGGGTGAGGGGGCCAGTATCGTTCGAAGGGGCTTCTGACACTGGTGACCAAACCAGGCCGCTGATCAGAGCTGGCCACAGGCCTGCCACCAGCTGCCGCCCACGACCAGCACCTCACCCGCAGCGCTTTGCGCAGGGGCTTGGGCGCCACCGGTCCCGAATCGTTGGGGTCCAGGGGTGTATATGGGTCGTACAAGTCCTCGCTCTCCTCCTCCGAGTCAAAGGCCGCTGGGTTGCTGCTCAGCTCGCCGGCCCGCTTCCCTGGAGCCGCCATTGCAGCAGTGGCCACCCCAAGCCGAGCGTCCGGCTCTCCTGGGGATCCGCCGTACCCGCCGTCCAGATCGCCGCGGTCATCATCGTCATCCATGTAGTCGCCGCCATACTCCTGCCCACCCCAGTCGTCCTCCAGTGGGTTGTCCGCTGTCGGGACTCCTCCAGCATCGGGCTGCCCATACCCACTCGCATCCTCCCGTGGTCGGCCAAACGCGTCCCCGGAAACACCCTGTGTCGCGTCAGTCGGCTGCAGGCCGGCGTCCAGGTGCATGCCGTCCGCGCTTTCCAGCAGCAGAGCTCCGGACACATGCACCGCGCAGCTGTGGACCTGGGGAGGGGGGCAGGGAGCCCTTGTAATGGGTAGTCAGGGGATCAGGAAAACCATGTCGATCCCATTGTACCTACCTACAGCTCCCTGATTGCATGCAAACCTGCATCGCTCTGCCTGGCCAGCTTGCGCCCACCCAGCATTCAGATCAACTCACCCTAAACCCAGCGGCATCCCCCTCCTTCTGGGGGATTCCCGTTAGCGCCAGCAGCGTGGCTGGGGGTCGCAAGGGGGCTACAGTGCCTTTGTCCCCAGCGCCTTCATCCAGATCGAGGTACTTGCCCTCCTCCAGGTCATCCAGGGACAGGAAGGCTTCATCCTCCTCTATGTCACTATCGTCGTCGTCGTCATTCTTGGCCGTGCCTGCCCTTTTCTTGGCGCCATTTTTGCCCTCCCTGGTGGTGAAAGCAGACTTAGCTCAGTACATGGTATCAAAAGTATGCGTCATGAGCCGGTCTTTGCAGTGCGCAGTGCCCACAAACCCCCACTTTGCACAGCAGCAGCTTCAGAAGACAGCCACCCCCCCCTAGGCCCACACCTGCTCTCTGCCAGGTACTCTAATGCCTGGAACACCAGGGTGTGGAGATACTCGACCTTTTTGCTGTACACACATGCTGATCCCTGAATGACCAGCGCAGCTGATCAAGGGAAAGGCAGGAGAGGAGGCTGTTATCGTACGAGAATCAGTGGACTCCAGGTGGCCCACTACTACCCCGAAACAGCGCCTTGCCTGAACGATGCTAGCATAAAAAGGCAGGACACCCCCCGCCGCCAAGGCTTCACCTTCAGCAAAGTTCAGAGATGAACCTCCTTCGAAGGTGAAGGCGATGTTCTCCAAGGCATCCTGTGCAATATAAGAATGGGCTGGTGGGTGACACAGGCCCTGTTCCCACCCGAGCACCTGCCTCGTCTTCAGCGGGCAGCCTCACGCCCTTGACCGTCATCGCACCAGGTATTCGTCTAGCTCGGTGGCGATCTTCACATTCCAGTTGGCAGCCAGGTCCCGGATGGGCTGCAGCAAGTGTGCGAAGCGCTCCTCGGCCTGCATCCCGACAACCGTCGCCCCTACCGCCGGGCCATGTACTTGGCAAGTGCCCTCTTTAAGGTCAAAATGCCGATTCCAAACTCTCGTCGACTGCCTGAGGACGCCCGTACCCTCCACCCGCCCCTGGCTGTTGTCACTGGATCGAGGGGATTTGAACAGATCGCACAGCACGAGCCCGAGACGCGGGTGCCGAACCACCTTCGCCTGCACACCAGCTGGACCCGAGTGGCGCCTTCTACCCACACCCCCGACCTTGCGTGACACAACAGCAAAAATCTCAGGGGCAAGCATCCCTGCAAGGCCCCGTTGACACCTGCCAGATTTCCCCCGACCAGCCGTGTTCGGTTGCGAGGGGACCTCGTCGCCTGGCTCCCACATGCCCTGACTCCGGCATGACAAAAAATAGCAGTATTGCGCCCCAGGCGGGGGTTCACACCATCGGATCCCGAGTCTGGGTCGAGGATGGTGTGGAGGGCTGGGTCAAGGCCAAGGTGGTTGCCCTGGGGCCCACGGATATCACCGTGGCTCTGGAGGACGGCACCTCCAGGACCTGCAAGGCGCAGGATCTTCCCCTGCAGAACCCTGGGACCTATGGCGTGGAGGTGAGGACGTGGTGAAGGCCGGACATGGGGTTGTTAGGTGGGTGCAGTCGCCGTGCAGTAATTGTAAGCTAATGCTGATTTCGGAGGGTGCGGCGTTGAAGCCTTGGTGATGCAGGAATCGTGCTCTTGAGACCTGCATGCTCCATTGCCCGTTGCGCACCAGATCATGGCCCAAGGGGTGCGAAGCCTCACACCGAGTCGTGCGATGACACATGGCGCTGGCTGGCCATCAGCGCTCTTCAGCGACTCGCCTCTTCCCTTTCACACACCCCTCCCCCCTCGACACCGCTCCACTTCCAGGACATGACCACCCTGTCGTACCTGAACGAGCCGGGGGTGCTGTGGAACCTGCGCGTGCGCTACGACCAGAACGACATCTACACCTACACGGGCTCCATCCTGATCGCGGTCAACCCCTTTGCGGCCATGCCCCATCTGTACGGTGCCCACATGATGGACCAATACCGCGGCGTCGGCCTGGGCGAGCTGTCCCCGCACGTCTACGCCGTGGCCGACTCCGCCTACCGCCAGATGCGGCGGGAGGGTCGAAGCCAGAGCATCCTGGTGAGGGATGTAGAGTGTGGGGCCGGAGGGGGACCAGGGCCTGCGCTTGACGGGCGACGGCGGCGGGACCTGTGTCGGACCCTCGCACGCATGTCACCGGTGCGTGCCGGGCTTGTTCTGACGCCCCTAACCTCATTTACCCCCCCCCTTCCTCCCCTTCTCAACAATCACCTCGACTGCAGGTGTCTGGCGAGTCCGGAGCGGGGAAGACAGAGACCAGCAAGCTGATCATGCAGTACCTGGCCTGGATGGGGGGTTACCGTGCAGAGTCAGCGCCCACCAACGGCAGCATCCGCAGCGTGGAGCAGCAGGTGCTGGAGTCCAACCCGCTGCTGGAGGCGTTTGGCAACGCCAAGACCTCACGCAACGACAACTCCTCCCGCTTCGGAAAGTTCACCGAGATCCAATTCGGCCGCGACGGCCGCATCACGGGTGGGGGTGGGGGTGGGGGTGGGGGCGGGAGGGCAGGGCGGGGTGCTGTGGTGACCCTTGTGTGAATGGTGGAGCAAACAAGACTCTCAAACTGTGCTGGGCGGAGGTTTGAAGCACGCAGCTTGTGGCCAGCAAGGGCTGGCCCTTGCCTGCGGCTACTTGTGGCGGGTCCACGGGGCCTCGCCCGCCAGTCTCAACAAGATTCCGTTCCCCACATTGCCCCACCCCCGCCCTGATCATGTGTTTTCAGGCGCCGCGATTCGGACCTACCTGCTGGAGCGGTCACGTGTGGTGGCGGTGGCGTCCCCCGAGCGCAACTACCACGTCTTCTACCAGCTGTGCGGGGGCGCGGACGAGGCGGAGGCCGCGCGCCTGCGCCTGGGCCCCGCGCGCGGGTTCCGCTACCTGAACCAGAGCGACTGCCACGAGCTGGCGGGGGTGAGCGACGCGGAGGAGTACCGCCGCACGCGCCGCGCCATGACGCTGGTGGGCATCGACGCCGCCTCCCAGGACGCCGTCTTCGCGGTGGTGGCGGCCGTGCTGCACCTGGGCAACGTCGCGTTCGTCCCCGGCGACGGCGGCGACGGCAGCGCCGTGGCCGAGCCGGCCTGGGCCCACCTGGAGGCTGCTGCGGCGCTGCTGGGCGTGGATGCCGCGGGCCTGGCCCGTGCACTCACCACCCGCACCCGCCAGACCCCCGACGGTGTGTGGTGGGGGCCCTTCATGCAGGGGAGATGGGCTGTGCTGGTCTCACAGGGGATAGGGCGGGGGGCACAAGTGCTGGGCGTCGGTCGAGTTCCTGCGCGTGCCACCCACCCACTCTATTCCTCACCCCATGTCATCTCCCCCCCTCCCCCAACCAAACAAAAAGGTCCCATCGTGAGCCCGCTGGACGTGGGTGCGGCCTCCGACAACCGCGACTCGCTGGCCAAGACGGCCTACTCCCGCCTCTTCGATTGGCTGGTGGGCGCGGTGAACGACAGCATTGGGCAGGACGCAGGCGCGGCCAGCCTGATCGGCGTGCTGGACATCTACGGCTTCGAGCAGTTTGCATCCAACGACTTTGAGCAGTTCTGCATCAACCTGGCCAACGAGAAGCTGCAGCAGCACTTCAACGCCCACGTCTTCAAGCAGGAGCAGGCGGAGTACGAGCGCGAGGCCATCGCCTGGTCCTACATCGAGTTCGTGGACAACCAGGACGTGCTGGACCTGGTGGAGGCGCGGCTGGGCATCCTGGACCTCCTGGACGAGGCGTGCCGCTTCCCGCAGGCCACCCACGCCGACCTGGCCGCCAAGCTGTACGCCGCGCCGGGCGTGGCCGGGTCGGCGCGCTTCTCCAAGCCCCGCCTGGCGCCCACCGACTTTACCATCCAGCACTACGCCGGCGCGGTGACCTACCGCACCCAGAACTTCCTGGCCAAGAACCGCGACTTTGTGGTCGCCGAGCACCAGGCCCTGCTGGGCGCGTCGGGCAGTGCCTTTGTGCGCGCGCTCTTCCCCGGCGATGCCGTGCCGGGGGCGAGTGGGACTCCCGGCGCCGGCGCCTCCTCCGGCTACCGCTTCTCCAGCGTGGGGTCGCAGTTCAAGAAGCAGCTGGCAGAGCTGATGGAGGCCCTGCGCGCCATGGAGCCGCACTATGTACGCTGCATCAAGCCCAACGGCGCCAACCGCCCCGCGCGCTTCGAGAACACCAACGTCCTGCACCAGCTGCGCTGCGGCGGCGTGCTGGAGGCGGTGCGCATCTCCTGCGCGGGCTACCCCACCAAGCTGCCCTACGACGCCTTTGCCGACCACTTCTGGCCCCTGGCCGTCGACAGCCCGGGCCTGGGCGACGCCGAGCTGGCGCGGCTGGTGGTCCAGCGCCACCTGGACCCCGCCGGCGCGCAGTTCGGCACCACCCCCCCCCCAAACAAAAAGGTCCCATCGTGAGCCCGCTGGACGTGGGTGCGGCCTCCGACAACCGCGACTCGCTGGCCAAGACGGCCTACTCCCGCCTCTTCGATTGGCTGGTGGGCGCGGTGAACGACAGCATTGGGCAGGACGCAGGCGCGGCCAGCCTGATCGGCGTGCTGGACATCTACGGCTTCGAGCAGTTTGCATCCAACGACTTTGAGCAGTTCTGCATCAACCTGGCCAACGAGAAGCTGCAGCAGCACTTCAACGCCCACGTCTTCAAGCAGGAGCAGGCGGAGTACGAGCGCGAGGCCATCGCCTGGTCCTACATCGAGTTCGTGGACAACCAGGACGTGCTGGACCTGGTGGAGGCGCGGCTGGGCATCCTGGACCTCCTGGACGAGGCGTGCCGCTTCCCGCAGGCCACCCACGCCGACCTGGCCGCCAAGCTGTACGCCGCGCCGGGCGTGGCCGGGTCGGCGCGCTTCTCCAAGCCCCGCCTGGCGCCCACCGACTTTACCATCCAGCACTACGCCGGCGCGGTGACCTACCGCACCCAGAACTTCCTGGCCAAGAACCGCGACTTTGTGGTCGCCGAGCACCAGGCCCTGCTGGGCGCGTCGGGCAGTGCCTTTGTGCGCGCGCTCTTCCCCGGCGATGCCGTGCCGGGGGCGAGTGGGACTCCCGGCGCCGGCGCCTCCTCCGGCTACCGCTTCTCCAGCGTGGGGTCGCAGTTCAAGAAGCAGCTGGCAGAGCTGATGGAGGCCCTGCGCGCCATGGAGCCGCACTATGTACGCTGCATCAAGCCCAACGGCGCCAACCGCCCCGCGCGCTTCGAGAACACCAACGTCCTGCACCAGCTGCGCTGCGGCGGCGTGCTGGAGGCGGTGCGCATCTCCTGCGCGGGCTACCCCACCAAGCTGCCCTACGACGCCTTTGCCGACCACTTCTGGCCCCTGGCCGTCGACAGCCCGGGCCTGGGCGACGCCGAGCTGGCGCGGCTGGTGGTCCAGCGCCACCTGGACCCCGCCGGCGCGCAGTTCGGCACCACCAAGCTCTTCCTGCGCGCCGGCAAGATGGCCGAGCTGGACCGGGTGCGCACAGACCGCCTGAACGCCGCGGCGACGGCCATCCAGGCCCACGTCCGTGCCTGGCTGGCGCGCCGCGCTTTCCAGGAGGCCGTGGCGGCGGCGGTCGTCCTGCAGGCCGCCGCGCGCGGGTTTGCGGCGCGGAGGGAGGCGCGCCGCCTGCGCCGCATCCGCGCGGCCGTCAAGCTGCAGGCCGCCGTCCGGCGCTGGCATGTGCGTCGCTGGATCGAAGGAGGGGGGATATGGTTTGTTTCGTGTGCAAGGGGTGGGAAGGGGTGGGGTTCAAGCTGTCGGTGCGCGGATGCGCTGCTGGACCCCCCGCACCCTGCAGGCAGGAATGGAAAGCGCGGCGGCGCCCTGCCCATGCCTGCCATGCCACCGCTCGGGCGAATCCCGCCCCCGTCCCTCGACACACTCGCGCACACGCACCGCCTTCGCAGGCACGGCGCGCCTTCCTGGCCGAGGTGGCGGCTGCCAGGACGGTCCAGGCGGCCTGGCGCGGTCTCGTGGCGCGGCGCCGGGCCACGGCGATGCGCCGCGAGCGCGCCGCGCTGCGCCTGCAGTCCGCGTGGCGCGCGGCGCGCGCGCGCCGCGCCTTCCTGCGCACCCGCGCCGGCGTGGTGGCCGCGCAGGGCTGCTGGCGCCGGCGGCTGGCGCGGCGCGAGCTGCGCGCACGGCGCGCGGCCGCGCGCGACTCGGGACGCCTGCTGCAGGACAAGGCGGCGCTGGAGGCGCGGCTGGCGGAAGTGACCCGCGTCCTGGCCAGCGTGCAGGACCA